ATTACTATACATATATATATATATATATATATATATATGTGTGTATTTTCTCAGCATCACAGATGCAAGAAAGCGAGGCAGTACCAGCTGCGTGCCTCTGCGTTTGGCGTTGCTTCCTCTTTTTTCTTTTTTGATTATGTTAAGCTTCGTAGACGTGTGAATAACCAACAAGAAGAAGAGATGAAACAGCAAGAGAAAGACGAGGACGTTAATTTTCCTTCCTCTTTGTCTGCGTTGCGGTTTCCGCTCCTCAGCCTACGCCGTGGCCAACAGTCGCTGCTGCCTTGCTTTCCTCTCTTTCAAGAGCGTCGTCCTCCCTCCGTGGACCTGCGTACGTCGCTTGAAAGAAGAGAAGAAGAAAAAAGGCAGCATCTATTTTCTCCTTCTGCGAGGGTCCAGCGCAAGATGCAGAAGAAAGTGTGGTGGAAGGTGCGCGCAGGAAGGCGGCGTACAGTATCCTCCTCGTTTCACCAAGTAGCAGAGTTGTGGCAGAAACCAACAACAAAAAACGCTGAGGAGGCTTAATCCTTCTCGTTGTGATAAGGATGCAGCTGCGGCAGCTGCACGACAGGCCGGGCAATAGGCGCACCACGGTAGCGGCCGCGGAAGAGCTCCGTGTCTCGGTACGCGGAGGGCAGCGTGTTCAGCGGCTGCGGCGCGCCGCCCACGCCGGCACCCGTCCGCCACTGAAAGCCAAACTGCACAATGTCCTTCAGCAGGCGCCGCTCCTCGTAGCTGCGCACATCGGCGATGGTGCCGACCACCTTCTGGTTCACAAAAAGCAGCGGCAGCGCGGCGGTGCCGGATTTGGCGATAAGTTGATCGCGCAGCGTGCGGGCGTAGAGGTGGTGATCTAACTCGACTACTTTGAGGCGGGTGGCGTACCAGGCGAGGTAGTGGCGCATGTGCCCGGTGTCTATCGCTTGCGCTCCGACGGTGAAGACGACGGCCCAGTACTGCCTCAGGTATTCATCGAGGCTGCTCGATAGAAAAGGGCGAAAGGGGGCAGCGGAGCGGCGGCTTGGTGGGGGCATCGTTTTAGTATTATTTTTGGGGGGTATGCGCCCGCTTCTTTTCCCTTTTTTTAAAGTGTTTCGCCGATGTGTTGTCGGGGAGGGGAGGAGCACGGCGTCAATCGCCTTTTTCAGTTTTTTTTTTGTTTTCTTCCGTACTCTCTACCCTGTTGTTCACAATGGACTGGAACCGTGAAAGCTCACGCACCAACAAGAAGAGAGGTACTTAGAGAGGTGTCTTTAGTGAAGATGAAGGAGATGACGGTATGTGTGTTTTTCCAGCCGTTTATGAAAACGCATACACATGCACCACGGCAACAGCGTTCCCTTTCAGAGGGAGGGAGGAGAGGCAGCGCGCAACACTCGTGGGTGCATTCTGAGTTACCAAGGACGTCGCGGTTGTTTGTTCTTTTCATCTCACCTCTTCGTCGGAAGAAAGGGGAGGGGGTCTCGCAAAACTCTTCGCAGATATTTCAAGTTCTAGAGAGAAGAAAAAGCTTTTATTTTGTCTTTCCTGAGCAGATCACAGAAACAACAATATAAACAAGACAGACGCAGGCGTGCCCGCTGCGGTGTTCTGCGGCGCAGGATTGACGTCCCTCCTATGTTTTCTCCGTTTCTCCCCATGATCGTTTCTGAAGCATGAAACAGCAGCGGCGCATGAGCACACGAGGGGACAGGGAGCAACTGAACCGCCCACCTCCAAAGCATACAAACAGCCACAAAAAAAAAAACACGAAAACGTTCAGAAGAAGGCTAGAGAAGGCGAGGGTGAGACGGCGCCGCTGCTCTATGGTTTTCTTCCTCTACACAGTGAGCTCAGTTGAAGGCACTCCGCGGCTTGGGCAGGTGGCAGCGGCTTAAACGGCGCATGCTGTGCAGGTCGCGCTTGTCAAGACCCAGCTCCAGCGCCCGCTGACGGGTGCGGAGTGGAATAAACTGATTGTCCGCGCTCACCTCCCGCATCATGTCCCCGCAGGAGAGGCGGTGCGCCTCCCAGTGTCGCCACTCCACGCCGCGCCCACAGTCCAGGCAGAGCACCACCTGATGCTTCTCCTGGTGTGGCCCCAGCAACGCCAGCGGAACGGTCTTGTTACACTCGCCGCACCACCGCACCGCTCGCACGCACGCGGTCCAATGCTGGAAGAAAGACGCGGCGGGAACGAATACTTTGCAGTTGCGGCACCACTGCTCCTTCGCGGTGGTGACCGGTTTGCCGCTGATCTGGCGGTAGTAGATGCGCGTGGGCTCGTGCACCATGCCGTCTAAGTGCGCGAAGTCGGAGGTGTTTCGGAGAGTGAAGTCATTGAAGTCTCGCATGTGGGCGAGGAGGTTGCCCAAGTCGTTTGTATCAGCCATGCGGCGCCCGTTCAGGTTCACGTGGTACGTGTTCGGAAAGGCTAGAATGTTCAGAGGACAGATGCGTTGCCGCGGAAACACCGGGAACTGCTGCAGCTCATAGCGCACCTCGGGGTACTGCGGATGGTAGCACGAGATGCGTGTTCGTGGCAGGTCAATCGTACGGTGCTCTCGTGGGAAGTGAATGGATAGGTAGTGTGGACGCACCTGCATGACCTCCCCCACCGCACCGCCCGCTACACCGTAGTCTTTTTGCCCATCCATCAGCAGATGCACCTTGTCTCCCACGTCCACGCTCAACGCGTCAACAAGGCCGTAGGAGGCAGGCGTGGAGGACTGCGCGAGCATCGTAACAAGAAAGCTGCCCACCTCGGTGCGCTTGAACTGAATGCTCCGCTTCGGTGGTACCTTGATGGCGGGCTGGCGCGGGAAGCGTGGGAGCATGCGGGTGACGACGGCACCGCTGGAGAGGATGTCGTCGTTCAGCAACGAGAGGGTCGAGGAAGAAGAAGTGCCACTACCGCGGCTCGTGGTGCCCCCCGGGGCATCAGCTAGACCTATCCCCCTCCTCCTCTTCGCCGTTTTCCTCCGCGTGTAGGTGTGCTCGCCTGCCCCTAGCGCCCCCTCCTCTCCTTCCTCATCGTCGGCCCCGTCTAGCTCCAAGTCGTTCCCAAAACTTGTCAACTGCGCCACACTCATCGCATCCACCTCTGCGCTCTCGCCGTCGTTCTCTGCGCTGTGGCCGCCACTGCTGCTGCTTCGATTGTCATCCACCTGCGTAGTGGAGCTGGTCCACGACATCAGCTCCGCCTCCGGCTTCCCCGCCATCGACTTCGCCTCCATCTCCTTCATGTCCTCCAGCGTCAGCGCTCCGAACAGGGCGAGCTCGGTGAAGCGCTGCAGATCCTTGTCTTGCCCGTGGGTCGTGTGCAGCAGCTTCTGGACCGGGAAGAAGTCATTCCACTGCTCTAGTTGGTAGAGGTAGCCGCCGGTGTCGCTGGTGGGGGTGACGGGCAGGCGCCAGAAGTCCGCCGTGGCGTAAACCCGTAGCCCACCAAAGGGTGCATTCGGCGCATTCCGCAGTCGGCGTGCCACCGCGTCCATCGAGAGCAAAATCGATGGCGACACCCGCTCCAGCGCATCCAGCACCAGCACATCGACGCTGCACAGGCTGGGTAAGCTGCTCGCGTAGGTGGATTCGACGAGGCGAACGTGTCGCTCCAGTGTGCCTTCGAGCTGCTCCTGTGAGGGCAGCTCATCGCGGCTGACACGCAAACCGATAAAGAAGTGAATGAGTAGTCCGTCTAGACGGTTGGCGCGTTGGTTGTCGGCGGAGACGTAGGCGACCCGCTTGCCTTCCTTCTCGCACAGCTGCCCAATCGCTTTTAGCAGCGTCAGTTTGCCGGTGCGGTGATGTCCACAGAAGAGAACGTTGCAGCCGGCTTGGACCGCCTCTTTCGCTGTTTTCCGAGTGCTGGCCGCGTTGACGTGGCCGAGGCGACGGAAGTCACCAGCAAAGCCAGCCGTGTCCACCTCGCGGACGAGATGCGAGAAGAGGCGGGCGTAGCTACGACGAAACATGGAGGTAGGGGCTTCTTCGCAAGTCAGTTCAAAGAAAGAAAAATAAATAAAGAGAAAGAAGAAACAAAAAAAAATGCGCCGCAGCGTTTCTCTTCCCTATTTCTGTGGATCTGTGAGTAATAACAACAATTTAAAACAACGCAGCGTTCTTTGCTTCTTTGTTCGATTATTATTTCCGCAGCTAAACAACTGCGTGAGAGAGAAGAGAGACAAAAGCTCAAATGGTTGTACAGGAACCCGCCGCGACGAGCAAGACGCTGTCAACGCGGCAGGAGCCACCATAAAACAAGACAAACAGACTGAAATTGAGTAGGAAAGAGCAATTGAAGCCTATGAGAGACGTGTATCTCAAACAATAGAATGGGGCACATCCAGAAGACGCAGCATTCTGACTTGAAAGAGGCGCTGGAGAGTCACCTCGTCGCCAGCACGAATCTTTCGCAAAAGAGCGACCGCGTGCTCTCTCCCTGCGTCCGTGCATCATCGCGCCTCAACACGCCGTCAGAGGAGCGCAGCAAACGCGGCGAACGTCCGTAGAGAGAAGCAAAAGGAAGGCAACTCTTTGCACTTGGCCGACACACACAAACACACATACCTGCATGCGCGGTGAAGGCCCTAAAAGGCACCTGACCTCTTTCTTTGCTGCTGGCATAGAGATGGTGGTCAAATTACGTGCAGCTCGTCTGTGCTTAGTCTGTTGCTTTCTATTAAAGAGAGTAATTGTGATCCAACAAGCTGTGCCATTCAAGAAACAATAGAGAAAAAGCTCCAAGAGTGTTTCTTCAGCGATTGCTTTTTTCTCTTTCTGAGTGGTCCTCCGGCGCTGTCATTCGTTCAACGGAAGCGCTATGGTGCGAAATCGCATTAATTCAAGACGAACACCTTCTCCGGATACGTCACAGGGAAAAGGCTAGGAGGCGAAAAGAAAAAAAAAACCAACAGCTGTAGGCACCTACTGCTGCCCATCCACGGAGCGCTCGCAGTGAAAACGAACGCAGCCGTCCCTTATCATCATCATCATCCTTTAACCCTTTCCATTATCAAAAAAACAACGGGTCTTCCAACACACATCCACACGACACTGGACGGTATTCCTTCTTTCGCATCCTCCGTCGCACCGTAGCATGTAGAAGCGTAAACACACGCACACACACACACATCTCCCATCCCTTTTTTAATTCTATTCTTCTCTTTACGCGGTCACGTCATGAGGTGCTCACGCTGCGGCAGCTCGACCGCCTCGTCATCCGCAAAAATCGCCGTGTGCTTGCGCTTGCGAAACCAGTACACAACCTTCAGCGACTTCTGCTCCGGCGTGTACGGGTCAGGATCGCAGAAACCGACCAGCGTAGACTTGGTGCCGGCTGGAAGCGTCAGGGCAGAGTCGCGGACCAAGTTTTGGACGGCAATGGTGACGTCAATGACGAGAGGAATCGCGTCCTGTCGCACTGCGTCGTGCGCCGCCTCGTAGGCGTCACCATCGCCATCACCGACGCCCTCCCTCTCCCTCGCCGCCGCACTCGCGCGCCGTCGCAGCCAGCCGTTTACCAGGCGCTCCGCCACACGCGCCAGAATCTGCGAAGGCCACCAACCCTTCGAAGCAGCCAAACCTCCGCCTCTCCCTCCACCCGCTGCCGCTGCCGCCGCTTTCGTACGTCGCCGAGGCGGTGACCCCGAAGTATTCGCGGGACCCGACGACGGTGGTGGCGGTGTGGTGGGGGTCGATGAGGAGTTGGCCGCACAAGGCAGCGGTGTCGGGGTGCGTGTGACGACTGGCGTGCGAGGTGGGGTAGCGACCTCGGCGAACTGCGGTTCGATGACGCCGTAGCGCGCGTTGAGGATGACCAATCCGCCCTTGCGCTCCTCACTGGCGCGACTCATCAGCACGAGACTCTCCAGCGCCAGCTGCTCCAGCCGTGCCTTTTCTCGCGCCACATCCGTCTCCGCGATGTGTAGCTTGCGCTGCTGCGTGTAGTAGTGAATGGCCCTGGCCCGGGAGTAAGGTCTGTAGAGCATGGTGGCGATCCTGTACACCGCGAGAGGGACCGACATCCACGCCAGACCCTGGCTGACTTTGGGGGAAATAAAGACGATGATCGGCACAGAGATGCGGTGCGGGCCGCGGACGTAGAGGAGGGAGATTTGGTTCACCACCGCGAACTGCGTGCTCTCGACCAAGAAGAGCGGCGGGGCAATGGGGCTGATGGAGTAGGGCAGCACCGTCGAAAAACTCAACCCGTACTGCTGGACATTGGATGGGCAGTACAACGCCTCTACGCCAAGCGTGGTCTGCCCAGCCAGCGGGGAGCAGTTAATCGTGTACCGCAGCCGCCCATAAGCTGGCGGGTTCTTCGGGTCCTTCGTGTCCACACCGAGAATCACCTTCCCACCGGTGAAGGCGGAGAGGAACATGGTGTGGAAGCCGATGTAGGCGCTCACGCCTTGCTGCACATCCGCCGTCAAGTCGTTCACGGAGGAGCGGAAGAAGCCGTGCTCGTTCAGCGACATCGCCACGGCGCTCTCCAGTTCCGTCGTCGGCGACAGCTTCCGGATGAGCGTCAACTCTAGTTTCTGGAGCAGCTGCGCCCCCTTGAAGGCCGTCAGCTTCGACTTCATCGCCCAGAGAGGCGTCAACGCGCGATGCTGCTGCAAGCACCATTTCAGCGCCGTCACGGTGAAGCGCAGCGAGGACTCGTAGGTGCGTATGTCATCTGGCTGATACTCGACGGAGGTGGTGAGACTTGTGTTGTTGCTCCGCTGTAGTGTCATAGCATCGGTGCGGAACGTCGCGACGAGCTTCGGCGTTAGCATGTGCTGGAAAGAGCTGCGGAAGGCAACGGATTTGGGAATAACCGCCAGTAGCACCGACTGCGCGGGGGTGAGACGGCGGAAAGGGGGCGACCCACGAGGCCGCCCCGCACCGTTACGCTTGGGAGAGGAAAAGGAGGAAGAGGAAGCAGATGCACCACCGCTGCTGCTGACGTCCGACTCCGCGTGCATGCGTTGCCGCAGCTGTCGCTGCACATCCGCACTGGGGATCAGCACAATCTGCCGCCTGCCATCGACCTCGATCTCCTTGGCGGTGACGTGCGCCGCCATAGTTGGGCCCCCGCTGTTGCGGTTGCTGTTCACACTCCCATGTGGTGCTTCGGTGGAACTCGCGCCTCCTGTGGTAGACACGCCAGGCGCACCTTGCGGTGTCGTCGCCGTCTTTTTGCTCTCGGCGGCAGCCGACGCTGTCGATGTGTCTGCTGAGCCTGCTGGCGTTGCTCTTGCGTTAAACGGTGCAGACGGAGAAGCGAGAGAAGGCACGAAAGAGCTGCGTTGGCCTTTCGCGGGTTCGCTGCTGCTGCTTTGCGCGGACGCCCCTGTCGTCGGCTGCACAGTCGCGTCAGCGCGACCTTCTTCCACCGCTGTGGTGGCCGTGGCCGTCGCAGCAGCAGCAGCAGCAGCAACACCTTGCAGTTCTTCCTTCTCGTCTTGGCCCTCCTCCCCCTCTGCCTCTCCTCCCGCCTCCGCCGCCGCCGCCTCGGGAGCCAGAAACGGAAAAAAATGCGCCGTTGAGAAGTTGAGCGTCGTCTGCGACGATGCCGATGCCATTTTCGCCGTCTGCAGCAGCTGCGCCTCCCGCTCCAGCGAGAGCACGTAGGACAGAATATCCTCCCGCCGGTGCAGGCCAACCGGCACTAAGGAAAGCCGTTCAATGCCGGTGGCACCGCCGGCGTCGTAGGCGGCGCGCTGACGCTCATCTGACAGCACCGTGTAGGCGTTCTGCAGTTGCTGAAAGCGATCGTTCATGAGCGACTGCGCCGTTTCGCTTTGGTTGCTGTGTTTGTCGGTGTGGTAGCGCTGACTGAGAAACAAGAAGGCACGCCGGACCTCCTGCGGAGTGGCCTTCGGTGACACACCGAGGCAGCCGTAGTAACCAGACGGGTCGGAGGACGAGTACGCGGCAGCGCTGATGTCGGCATTCTCGGCGTTCTCACTCTCGAGCCCGCGCAGCAGCACTCTGGCTCGCTCGACGTACGCGTCGTCGTTCATGACTAAGTGAAAGAGAAAAAAAATGTATATATATATATATAAGAAAAAGAGACGCTAATGCGGACACGCAAAGGGGGTGAAATAACCGTTAATAAAGAGCTGCGTTAGGAAGATGTGAAGAAGAGGTAAATGTTGCCAGAGAAGAAAAGAAAACAAAACTCCTCTCACTTGTTCCTGAAAAAGGAAAGCGTGGAAGAGATGGTGAACGGTGGTGAAGAAGCGCGACCTCAGACAGCGCAGCGGTAAGAACAAAAGCAACAACAGGGAATGGATAATGCACGTTGTGCACGTCGGGTGTTTCGTATCTCCTCTTTCATCGACTAAGCGTTGCAATGAGAAAGAGGAGAGAGAAAGAAAAGGGGAAAAAAGAAGATGGAACACAAAATTTGTACATGGAGGACACCAGTGACGTGCACAAGAGAAACGCACAAGATGAGATGCATCGTTGTTGGTGGGATGGAGATGAAGATGTGGAGTTGTTCACGTGGCACCGGCATCGAATTCATGGGACAGGCACCATCAGCGCGCCTATTTATTCGTTTACTTGTTTTTTAAAGTGGGAATCCATTGAAGTCAAGAAGGAAAACGTCCGCTCCTCCGCCCCCCTCCGTCTTCATCGTTGAGCCGTTTCTTTCGTTACAATTCTCTTTTGCTATGTTTGAAAAAGGAAAGTTTTTGCACTCCCATCAACGTACCCACGCTTCACAAGAAGAGAGGGTGGGAGGTGGAGCTGCTCTAGAGAAAGAGAGAGAACAAGCAACGCAGTTCTGGAAACGAATGAGCGGAAAATCGCAAAGCAACAACGCAGCCCAGAAAGCGGAGGTACCCTAAAAGCAAACATAAAAAGAAGAGAGAAGTAATGTACGTAGATGGACAACCGAGAGAAACGAAGAGGCACTAACGCCTTTTTTTTTCTCTTCTTCTTTAGTCGCTGGAGGAGAGCAATCCATGGGTGTAGATGTCATCGTTACCCAGATGCCCGGTCGTGTCGTTCACCACGGCATCGAGGGGGCTAAAGCGCGATGCCCACCGGCTCGCCGCGCCCCTGCCGGTTGTATTCAAACTGCTCGACGGACGGCCCCAGACGCCCGGCACACCGTACACGAGATTCGGCGCCGTCAGCTGCAGCAGCACGCGATACCACACATCAAACTTCTTGCGAATCTCAGTCGCCAGGCTAATGCAGCGATCAGGGGTGTTGATTGTCATGCGGTAGAAGACCCGCATCGGCGACTCGAGCTGCAAACAGTCAGGGGTGATGCTCGTGACAGTGGAGAGCTTAATCTCCGCGTTCAGCACGACGCTCTGCGTGGGACTTATCGACCACATGAGCGTGGCCCGCTGCAGGTTCAGCCACACGTATCGCTGGTGCACGTGGTTGATGCGGGTCCACTTGTAGAACCAATCGCCCCCCTGAAGCTTCTCTAGGGTGGAGCTCAGCAGCGCCTCCATCTCCGCCCGCTCCTCCGCGGTGGCCGGGTGGGCGGCCTCGACGAGGCGCTGCATCATAAACTCGCCCTGACTCGCACGACTCACCTCCAGACCGTACACGCGTGTGGCCAGGGCTTGGGAATATATGTCAAACCCCGCCGGCGGCTGATACTTCGGATTCGCCGCAAACTCCGCGAAGTCCTGGCAGCGGAAGGGATTGCGCTGCGCGTAGGCGGTCTGTGCGACGTAGCCGTGCACCTTGATGTGTCCGTTGTACATGGAGGAGCGCAGCTGCTTGCGGGCTGCGCGCTCAGCCTTCTCCCGCTCCACGTTCGACATGATGGTCGGACCAGCCGTGACGACCTTGTCAGAGGGGGACGCCGAGGAGGAGCGCGCAGGCGTCGGTGCGCCTGTCTCCTGCCGCGCCTGCGGTGGCAAGGCCGAGCTCGGGTTCGTGGTCCGGTGCGAGCGGACGCCGCCGCTCGTTTGATCGCCAGCGACTCGGATGTCATCGCCAGGAAACGACCGACGAGCGGAGGACGATGCAGCTGCTGCGGGGGAGTTGGCACGCACAATCGTCGGACCGTTCAAAACCGCCGCTGCGGAGGAAGTGAACCCCGGCCCGCGGGAGAGGGGCACGCATGGCCGCTCTCCACCGCGCAGGCGATCCTCCGGCGTGGGCGTGCGGATTGACTTGTCGCGGGCTCGCCGTGAAAGGCTACGTGGAGCTCTGCGCGATTGCGATGAATGCCGTTTCGAGTTCGACGCCGTCCCAGCGGGCGTCGTCGGGCGCGTGATGGCGTTGAGCGGTGTAGGGGCAGAGGTGACGGACGGGGTGCTACGCGCGTCTCCCCGCCTGCTCCTGCCATGTGGGGTGCGTCGTGCGTGTGAATACGAGGAAGGAGTGGCGGACGACGGGAGCGCCGGCGTAGAAGTCGAAGTTGCTGCGGTTGCCGGCGCCGTCGTTGTGGCAGCGGCGCTGGAGGAGTGTGGAGCGTCACGGGCGCGATGTCGTAAAGAGGACCTTCTGTGCGGCTGCGCGGTCGAGGAAGTGGCTGCGGTGCCGCCGTAGGAGGGAGGCGACGACGGCGTGGATGTCGTCGTGGCCGTCGACGCATCGTAAAAGTTTTCTACGGGTGTGGAGTGAAGCGAGCGGGTGGCGGACGATTTGGTGGAAAGGAGGGCGGGTGGGGCTGGCACCGGGGCCCCGCCGCGACGCAAAGGCTGCTGCTGCTGCTGCTGCTGCTGCTGAAGTGTGTGGGAATTTCGTGGATTGGAGCCACCGCCGTCATACGCGTTGAAGGTTGGCAGCGATGACATTTTGGTGGAATCTGTAAAAAAAAAGGGGTGTAAGCCTCTTGATCTAGTTCGTTCTTCTTTTGGAGTGCGAGTGTGTATATGTGTGTGTGTGAGTACGAGCTTGCTCTCTCTCTCTTTCTAGGTATATACGATGCACGCCGCTGAAAGAGGCTGGACAATTAAAAATCGAGAATGGAAACGTTGACGCCGCGGCAAAACACACAAATACCTCAACAAAAAGGAGAGGGAGGAAAAAAACTGGAGTGGGAGGGAGAGTTCCGGTAGGAAGCGTGAAGGCGGAGTTCAACACACACTCATACAAGGGAAACAAGCGCACTCAGGCTTTGCGCGTACGACGGAGTGCGTGACAATGACGAGGGGGGGGGGAGGGGGGCGAAATGTCAGCCGTTGCTGAGGCTTTGAGATTCCGCAGGCGTGAAATTGAACACTTCTGTTTTTCTCTTTTACCAGTTGTCGGGAAGCAGAAAGAGAGATGAACTCGTAGCAGAAGTTGTGCGAGATTCGACCGCAGAAGCACAAGTCGATTGACGCGGGAAGAGAGGTATTAAAAGGAAAAAGTATGTGCGCTACCTCTTTGGTCAGCACGCAAGACGCGACCTCCAATGCACAAGACGGTGTTCCTGAAGTGCAGCATCCCCGTGCACCAGCTCTTGCATCCACCGCTGCCACACACACGGAGGTCGTCGCTCCCCTTTGCCAAAACAGCCGAGACACAACACCTCATACGTGCGCAGCGACGACGCAGAGAAACGAAAGTTACCCCTGTCCGAGGCACCTAACTGCAGAGGAGCACAACACGATACTTGGGAGTCGCACGTGGCATCTCCCGCCGTCAGCTGACGCTCCAGCGCCTCAACTGGGGTGGTGACAAAGCAAGAGAAGAAGCCGTCGGCGGACGCCGTCAACGCTGGAACGTATACCGTGCACAGGTACTCTAGCAATTCCGCGGCGAGCACGTGAAAGTGACGAGTGGCGTGCAGCATGGCGCGGCACGATACCAGCGCATCCAATTCGGCGGTTTCACTGATCAGGTGCGCGTCGCGCCACATGCTGTCTGTTTCTGAAGTACCATCACATCGATGATGTGTTCGCTGCCCAGTGACTGTGTCGCGGGAAAACTGCAAAAGCCACACCCAGCATGTACGCCACACCTCCTCTGTGAACCGCAGGACGCGAGGCGACGTGAGAAACGTAAGCGCAGGAGCGGCGCAGAGCGTGGTCAGCATCGCACGCGCCTCTTCTGCGACTGAAGCAGCCGTATCGTCAGCATCCCCATCATCCCATTCCCCCACAGTTTGGTCAATACCTATGCGGTCAGATGAACCGCAACGATCAAAGGTGCTCGACGCAGCCAGTCCGAGAGACATCAGTTTCTCCTCCAGCTCCCGCACCGGATCAGCGAGCGGCTGGGAATGGTGCGGGGACGGAAACCACGGTGAGAACGTCGAATGGCCTTTGGCGTCACTCGTCGTGTCAGACAACGAACAAGACTCGCCTTCACGGATCGATGCTAAGGCAGCCACGACACACGCGGCAAGCGAACTCCTCGTTCTTTCTATGTGAAAATGCCCACTCAACCTGTGGAGGAGCAGCGCCACCTCGTGCCGGGCGTCCTCCACTGTACACGGCACACCAGAATGGAACAGCCTTCGGTAGCTGTGCACCTCCGTCGTCAACTGCGCGACCCGCTTTAGCAGCCGTCGCGCTGCGCTGCAGAGAAGTGGCTGCCAAGCATCGCTGCGCCACAGAAAAGAGTGGCACTGGTCCGGCGTCATCAACACGGATGGGAGAGCGCAAGTTCGAGTGCCACCCACGTGGCTTCTTGGCGAATGAAATGGAGCGGCGTACGTTGGCTCCCATGCTTTTGGACCGACCCCGATGCTCTTAGTGAGTGGCGAAGGGGCCGCTGCAATGCGGTGATGGGACGTTGCTTTCCGATACCGTTGCCAGGACTCTTCTTGAAGCAGAAACAAAAGAAGTCGAAAGGCGTAGCGACGCGTCCATTGGTCCACCGCCTGGCGCAGCCACGGCTGTGCCCCACGTCGGTATGATGCTTCGACGACGGAAAGCGGCGACACTGCGCATAAAGAGCGATCATACGGCATCACAGCGTACTTTTCGCGGACGCTACCCACACCGTTTCCTTCACCTGTCGGTGCACGAAGCATGGACTTTTGCTGCGGCACTGCAGTCGCAGCGCCGTCGCACAGGCGCCACAAGTAGACAAGGGCTGCCATGTCCGCTTTGCCAGGTAAGCCGCTGCTTGATGGAAAGCCTTCCACAGTGAGGATGCACCACGGTGCACTCGCGCCCAGCTGCGTGCGGCCTGAAGCATCCGATTCCACGTTTTCATCGCCGTCTGCTTCGCGACGGCAGTCTTCAACGCTCAGCGTGCCCCACCCGGTGTGCACGGCCGCCGCCTCACACCACTCCACGTACTTTGTGATCATCGACAGCTGAAAAAACGTCACCTCCATCGATAGCGGCGACTCGATCGTGCGTCGCAGGAGATCCACCACCGTCTCCGCCAGCGGCAGTCGCAAGCCGTCGTCTCCTGCGTCTGCAAACTCCCCTCTTATGAGCAGCGACTCCGCCCGTAACAGCCGCAGTCCGACGTGGGAGATAAAGGGGGGTGCGTACATGGGACGCCACCGTCGGTTCGAGGCGTCATCCGCGCCGTCCAACCCGGCGGTCATCGGTGCCGCCTCTCCAGCCTTGCACAGTCGGGGCCGCATTTCGCACCTCTGAAGGAGCCCGCAGAGGGTTGGGTCATGCCTCGCGTTGCATGCTTGCGACAGATAGTCCCCGCACTGCCGAGATAGGCGCTGCTCGCACGCGAAAAGGATTTCATGCGTCGCACGTGGCGAAGCTGGCACGGTGCTGTGACGGACGAGAGGCGGCGTAGATAGCGCGGACCAGCACGCACACACATCGAGAGGGCTGCGATCCTGCTCCTCAGAGCTGAGCGACGCGACCCACGTCTCCACCAGCCACAGAGACAACTGATGCAGAGAAGGCAGCGAGTTCTCCGCATCGAAAAAACACGCTTTTTCGCGGGTGTCCTTCGCTGCTGGTAAGACTACACGCGTCTCGGCGACGCTGTTGTGATCTTTGAGCAGCGACGTGCCGTTTTGGCTGTTCATTCGACCGCCCAAAGTCCGTCGCGCCGCCGTGGCGGGAGATACACCGCCGCTGTCAACCATACCGCCCAGCCAACCTACGCAAGACGCACCGGGGCACGCGTGCAGCCACGCCCGCCAACACCGTACAAACGTGAAAATAAATTCAAGTGAGAAAAGCGGGGTTGAATCAGTGGTGGAGGCCATCCCCATCTGCCGGAGTGTATCGGCTGCGTCTTGCTGACATCCCGTAACGCACTCCTCGTCCTTCTCTAGGCCTGCCATCATGGAAGTCGAAGAGAGACTCAAGTGAAGTACACCAATGCGCAGGAGTCGCTCGTAGGGCAATATGTGTTCTAAGGGCATTTCGTCTACCAATGAAACAGCAGGGCTGCTCGCTTGGTTTGACAAAGAAACGGAAGTTTTTGACAGCACAAATCGCTGCACACATGCCAGTTTGCACCACGTCTCCTCTGCAATCAAGACGTAAGACGGGTCTTTGCTCACCCTCGAAGATTCGTCATCCATCGGTCTCGTTGTGTCGTTGATCGCTTCGGCACTCGCAGCGGCGCTTGCTGCGCACGCTGGGGAGACAACACCAATTCGCAAGTTCAGAGATGACACAGCATACACCAAACGACGTGCAACGTTCACCTCCGACAACGCAGCAGGCGTGCTGCGCGGCGGCGACGCGGCAAACTGGAGGGAGAGGCGAAATGCGACGGAGGTCATCATCGGCACCAAAGAAACCTGCTCACTCCAGAGTCGGTCTGTGTCGTTGTGACGAAGACAGCATGACACGCCTTCCTGTACTAAATAAATAGCCACATCTGCGAAGTCGTTTGCGAGCACCAGCAAGGCGCTTCGCAGCTCCGTCGTCCACAGACAACGATGCCCAGCATTGCGCGCGTCTGCACCGGCTGCGGTGCCGCCTTCGTCTGCGAGCGAGCGTTCCTTGACTCCTTTTACGGCGTTTACAGCAGGAAGGCTGCGGGTCAGCAGCCACGACAACACCTCCGCGCAGGCAACACGCAACCGCCTCGACCACGCAGACACACCCGAAAGCGCCGATCGCAACCCTACTTGATCATTTTCTGACTCTGCAGCGAGACATTGGTGCAGCTTTTGCAACGACTCGACGAGCGAATCGACGGCGAAAGCCCGTAGTGCGCGCGAAGGCAGCATCGGTGTTGCGCAACACACCAGCATGGACCAATGCCAGCAGCGCTGCGCCGCCTTGCAGAACCGCACCCAATACAACCCCTCAGTCGGCGTCACAACGCCGTGAGCGGCAGTAGTTGCGCCTGCAGCTCGCGCGGAGTGCATCGCGCGCGACGCCGCAGAAGACTCCGACAATTTCGGCAGCGAAGTGTCACCGGGCCCTGACGCCCGGCAATCCGCTGCGCCACGTTCCATGAGACGTTGAACAGCAGCGCACATGAGGCTCGCACAGACCGGTTTCTGCCACATGAGCCCACCCGGAGAGTCGTCTGAATTCTGTAATCCGTCTCGCTTCGTAAAAGTAGGAGGAAGAGAAAAAGGAGGCGTGGCAACGAGTGCGAGAAGCAACGCGGCGCCGCGCTCGAGCAAAGCCGACTCGTCCGTTATAAATGTTTGTCCTCTGCCGTTGTTCATCGCTTCGGAACCGAAGCAAGACGCGCCCGCCCTCTTCTCCCACAGCTGCGCAGTCGAGTCACAACGCGCCTGCGTACAAGGCACATGCGTTTCCGCCAGTTGCACCTGCAGAGAAATCATAATACATTGCGCCAACGTTTCGCACAGCGGTGTCAGCGCCACTCGCACCGCTGCGTCGTTAAGGGACGTTGCGACCAATGGTACGCGGCGCTGAATCCCTTCCATCAATTCGTCTTCCAAGTCTCTTTCGTCATCCATACTGCAAAGGCCGCATGGGAGGGCAGGGAAGAGCAGACGCGCTATGAAGGAGAGACACAGAGAGGGGTCTAGACAACACGCGTTGCCTCGTATGACGTGGACAAGATGCTCCACCACGCCGATGTGGCACACCGCGGGAAATGCGCAGGCGAGCAGCATCAGCGCTTCGTTTGGGGTGATGGGACTCACGAGCAGTCGTGCCTCTAGCTGGCCATGCAGCGACACTGGCGGAGGGGCGCGGGCAACCGCACATGCACCGCGTGAACCTAAGAAAAAGTTTCTCGGAGAGACATGGAGGGGTCGCCGTGCGAAGCACAACGAACAGCTGTAACGGTCATCTCTCTCCATCAGGCAAACGAGTGGTCGCAGACACGTGTGCCTCGACAACCGCGAGCGGCCTAGCTGCATCATTTAAGAAAAAAAAACCGAGAGAATAAGCGGACCCGCCGATGTTTGTGCGTCTATGCAAATAAACCAACGCCGCCACCACCGCCAGACGTAGTTGAAAATAATTTAAAAAAAGCACAGAAATCAGCGTAAGGGAAGAGAAGAACATCTCGAGGGTATTGGAATCACGTGCGTCGTGAGCACAACACGAGAAAACAGCGGCGTGAACTCTCTTTCTTTCTGTTTTTCTCTGCATCAAGTGAGAAGCTACAGTTCTCATCCATTTCTTAGGCTGCACCATTGCGACTCAACACGCTTAGCAACTTCATCTGCGCAACGGCATCTTGGAAAGCTGCAGTACGCGTGGTCCCTATGCCGGTGTACCACACGTGTCCGTGTACTTAGTTTTTTTTTTCCTTAAATAGGCGGCACGCGCCGACGCCACTAGTGCGCAGAGCTGCGTCATCACACAGATGCACTGGAATGACAAAAACACTTGGGGTCTGTTGTTGTTGTTAGAATAGTTTATCTTTTTTTCCTTTTCCCGGTGGGGTGCCGGTTGCTACCGATTATAAACAGTTAACCCAAGATGAGAGAAATAGAACAGGAAACATATGTATTATCCATCATTACTGGAGGAACCGCGAGAATATTCTTTTTCCTTTTGAAGCTGCCACTCAGCAGCGGCAGCAGCAGGTCCATCGCGCTCTCACTTAACAGAAGATTAATAGGGGTGTTAATCGAACAGAGCAAGAAAGGAAAAAAAAAACACGGAAAACGCAAACGAACTTCACGCAGGACCGTAGTGGTCAGGGCTGTGAGGGGTAACTAACGAAGATTCAAGTTGAACAGTGAAGGCAAGGCCAACATAGAGGAGCTCAAGCAGTAATAAGGGAAAACAACAGCTTTAAAACAAAAAACGCCTTGGCTGACATTTCATGCATTTTATCTGCGCGTGCTCTTTCCTTCTCCCTACTCAATCCGCACTTTCTTGCGGATATCAGCCACCTCCTCGTTGCCGTTGTCCTCGTCGGTGACCGCCACCAGCACGTTCTCGTCGCCCGCATTCACCACCTCCTCATCCACCTGCAGCTCATCCAACATCTCCTCCTGCGCCACCTCCGGCAGTTCCTCATCGTCGTACGCCTCCTCATCCGGCACCGTTGCTGCTGCGGCGGCGCCGCGCCTCGCCGCCACCTCCTCCTCCGAGAGACGGTAAATCGCAATGTCTTTCCGCAGCTCCGCGTCGCGCTCGACTTCGTCTTCGAACTCGCCCTCGTCGTCGTTCGCGTTCGCGCTGTCGTTGCGGCGGGCCGGGCCGCTGACGGAGGTCGGCTCCCCCACTGCCGTCACAATGTCGAGCTTCTTCAGCTTCCACAGACGACGGTTGCGGTTCGCCTTCTGTGATGGGAAGTGCTTGCGCACGAGGATGACGTCCTGCAGCTGCTCCGGCTTGTACCGGCGCTCGTCGAGGTCCTCGTTGTTAAACACGCGGCCCTCGAGGAGGTAGCCCTTCACCAGGTCCCCGGGGTGCAGCACACCGCCCAGGTGGGACTGGGTGACCCACTCCCGGCCCTCGCCGACCTCGCTCGACAAGCACACCGTGACGAGACCCAGCTGATAGATGCCGTTCGTCACAGGCATCAGCTGGCACTCGAGGACGTAGAATTCGACAAACTCGCGGGAGGTTTGCAATGACGCAAACGGCTTCTTCCAGTACAGCGTCCCCGTCACCTCGCCGGCGCGCAGCGTGCGGGGGTCGAGAAACACGATGGAGCTAAAAACTTTGTGCACCAGCACGAGCGGCCCCATCCCACCGAGAGACTTTAGGTAGTAGTCCTTGTAGGGGATCAGCACGAGATCCTCGCGGCACAGCGGGGCGATGTCGAGGGCAAAGGTGAAGTGCTGCACCGCCGTGTTGTTCTTGGAGTCGTGCGAGACGAGCTGCACCGCATCGCGGCGCGTCACGGGGGCCGTCCTGTTCAAGAACTCTAAGAAGTTCATCGCGTGGCTTTTATGGGCGAAGAAGAAGTCCAGGCCGTCGGGCTGGCCCTCGATGCGGATAAAGTTCTCGTGCAGCCGCTTCCGCAGAATCAGCTGTTCCAAGTATAGGAACGTCTTCTTGTGGTTCACCTTCTGACGCAGCTGCACGCAAGCGTCCCACTGCGGCTGGCCAGTGGCAACCTTCTGACACATGGTGCACTGCTGCCACGTCACGATGTACTCCACAACGCACGCCTGCTGAATGACAATGTTGTTGAAGACCTCCTTCTGTACGGTGAGTCGCAGCTTCACGCGCTTGCTGTGCGGCTCGGTCCAGAGGAACTTCGCATCAATCAGCTTCGCCTTGTTCGCGTTCGTGTTGCTGCCAGCGCTGCCATTCAGACCCTTGATGCGCTTCAGGCAGATCGTGAGCAGCTCACGGCTCTCCAGCTCAGCCCGAGCCCAGTACTTCGGCGGCTGCAGGTAACGGCCGCACTCGGGACAGTGAATGAGGATGTACTCCTTCTGCAGGTCATCGGTGATGTCGACGTGGGCGCGGAGGCAGCTGGGGCACATGTTGCTTGGATTGCTGTCGATGACAAGACCGCAGACGCAGCACTGCACCCGCGGGACGGAGCTGCGCTCTGGGTGTTGGTCATCAAGTTCCATGGCTACACACACACGAGAGAAAATAAAAAGAAAAGTGTCGGCCAGCACAGCAGGACTCGGCTTCTTTAGACTGCAGAGAAAAAAAGGTACAGAGAAGTTTGATGCAGGCACGGCTGTGCTGCTGTGCGTACGTGTATGCAAGACGCACGGCAAAGATGCAAACTGGAGAACAGCAAGAAAAAAAAAACGAGCAAGAATGATAGAAAGAAGAAATGTAAAGCGCCGGAAGACATCCCTTCCAAAAAATACGAGAGAGCTTTTTCCTAAAAAGAACCTCTGGGCACTTTCTCAGTTGTTCGAGACAGCTTGCGTCATCGCGGCGCCCCTAATTCGAAGACAAGGAAGAGGAAACACTCGTTCGCTAATGAAGACGTTGAAGAAAGGCCTTGAAGTCAAGCAGCTGAGGTCTTTGTCCTGATCGCGTGCATACATGCGCAGCTTGCTTCTACCTTTCCTTACTTTTTCTTTTCTTTTTATGGAATTTCGAGGCGGCAAACCTGTGCTTTTGCGTGTGCAGCTCTCTTTTCGGTGTAATGCATAGTAAAGGGTTTTTTTTTGTTTGAGGGGCGAAAGCTAGTAGCGTCTTTCACCACGGCGTACGTAATGGTGAGGAAGGGAAAAAGAAAACGAAAAACCAACACATCGCATGTCATCACATCGAATGCATTTGATTCAACGCACACACACATATCAGGCGCAGCAAATCCACGCAGCACACTCCGTCATCCCAGTAATTGGCATTCGATGAATCACTCGAGAACACCGACGAGGGAAGCACAAGACCTAAACAAGAGAATATCAGAAACCAGAAAAAAATATGCGTTAAAGAAAGAAAAAGGATACATTTTTCAAAAGTAGTAGTAATAATAATAATAAAGAAACGAAAAATAAGAAGAACGGGGAAAATATTTTTTGAGGAGAACACGCGGAGGGAAAGAGAGGGGAAGGGAAGTCTCTATGATGGCAGAACCAAATATAAATAGTAAAAACAGAAAGTAAAATCATCGACCCCTGTTTTGCGTTGAATGTCCAGCACTCACCATGAAAAAAAAAACAGCAAAATATAGATAAATAACGCCGTAACAGCACATGGCTCGTTACCCGGGAGAAGTAACACAAAGCTAATAATAAAAGAAAAAGAGGTAACATCTCTACACAATGTTGCGCAGAGGGAGAGGAGACAGAGGAGACAGAGAGAGATGAAACGAAGGAGATGTGTGACCTAAGACGCACACTACCGTCTACGGCGGAACAAACATCGACAAACTAAAAAAAAAGCGGTTATTGTTAGAGGAGAAAAGAAAGTGAAAAACGAGCAATATACAGGAGGAAGAAAGGAAAAAAGTGGCGAGACAAACAATTAAAAGGGAAGAGGTGAGAAGGGGAATAAAAGGCGTTACTAACAATTACAGCAATTGTATGCTGACAATAATAATAATAAAGAAAAGAATGTGAACAACGACAACAGGCAAAAGAATAAAAAAGAGAGTCGTTGACGTCACAGCAAAAAGATCACAGAGCGGTCGTGTTGGGTCGCGCTCATCGCTTTTTAATATTATTTTTATTTGATTTGCATTGCATACGCACCGCGTGCACGTACATTCACACATGTGGGGAGACCGAGTACAAGGTCCTGCTGACGACTCACAGGTTGGAGCTTGCCACCTCCACCGAAGGTCTGAAGTAGGTGGACGTTGCTAGAGAGCACGAGAGAAAAAAAGTAACAATGGAACATGTAGTCAAGAAAAAAAAGGCTAACCAAGGCGAAATGCGCACGAAGGCGGGGGGAGATACATATATACTAAAACCTTCTACAACGGTTAAGCAAGAGGAGTGCGACAGCGCAAACCAGAAAAACAAAAAACAATAATAATAGTGTTGAAGTGCATCAGCACATTCGTTAGAACAGAAAAACAAGGGTCCTCACGGTCCTCATGCTTTCTAGCTATACTATTGTGCGACAACAGCAGAAAAAAAAGTGCAGGAAGAGGGAGAGAAAGAGAGCCATCTGCGCCCGAGCGAGAAACAAAACTTAAGTGATAATCGATGGTGAAGTGAAAGACCCTTCTCAGAACCTGTCCTTTCTCTTCCTTCTTCTTCAACAGTTCCCCGCACCTTCACTATCACACACACACACAAAAAAAAAAAGGCAGCCCATCGCAAACACGTACACGGAGATGCTTCAATGGGGGAAGAGAAAGAGGCGAGAGGGGATGGAAAAGGCGAAGCACTTCGTGGGCTCTCCGCAGAGAAGGACAACGAGAGCAGAGACGGAAGGAAGAGAAGTGCGTGAAGAAGCAGATATCGACATGTCGCATTTTTTCTTTTTTTTCTGAAGACGAAGGAAACAAAAAAAAAAACGAGACCGAACGGGACAAACAAAGAGGGGGGAAAGTTTGTAAAGCGAGAAGAAAAGGGGAAAAGGAGGAAAAAGAGAACACAAGCGAACCGAAATGATAAGGATAGTCAAACGAAATGATTCGAGTCAACCAAACACACACACGCACACGCATTCATTTAACTAAAAAAAAAAGGAAAAGAAAACGACAATTCGATTTGCTAACGGAAAAGGGGGAGAAATGATAACAACAACACTAATGGTAACATGAAGAGAACAAAAAGTGCCGACGTCTCCAGCTGTGACCAGCGCAGATTCGTGCTGCCTCTCACGAAGCCGTTTCAGTTGCCCGGTGCTTGCCGGAGAGCACACTTGTCCATGCTCGACGTTCCAACGCTTCGGAGCCAAGGATGGCCCAGCAGCTTCTGCGCAGAGGGTCGACTCTTCGGGTCGTAGGAGTACAAGCACGACAAGATGAAGTTTGACGCCAAACGCGCCTCTCGGAAGCCGAGGTACGGTTCCAGCTCCATTTCGAGACTGCGGCGCGGGTAAGCGCGGTAGCGGGACGCGTAGATAAAGCCGCCATCCTGGTCCACGAACCGGTGCAGGTACTCCGGCGGCGGCCGAGTAGTGCGACGCGGCAGAGGCGTGCCTTTCATAATGCCATCGTAGTAGTCGTTGTTGCGCACACGAATGTCGGTGATCTCCGGCGGCAGAGGTCCAATGAGTTGCATCATCATCGCCAGGTGCTCCACATCCATTTCCCGCGCATCTCGGGTCTTCTTCTTCGGGTCCATGAGGAAGTTGCCGGTGATGAGCTCGAAGGCCGTGCAGCCTACACTCCACACATCCGTGGCGCTGGTAAAGTCGAGGCCCAGCAAGACCTCCGGGGCGCGGTACTCCCGCGTTTGAATCAGCGTCCCGCGCAGGTTCTCCACCACGCCAGAGGTGGTCACGTTGAAGTTCTTCTTGCAGCGCATCAGCGGCGCGAGAAGAGAGGGATTCACGCTGGGGCACAGCGCCGTCCACGTCGCGGCGGACCCAGGCGGTTCCAGCAGCGCCGACAAGCCGAAGTCGGCCAGACACACAAGATGGTCGCCTGTCTGCTGTTTCATCGCGTCGTGGAACTCGTCCGTGCTGATCATGTGACGGCGATCCTTGTTGTAGCTGCAGAACTTCTCCATCGAACCCAACAGCTTCGTGTCCACCGCACAGCACAGAATGTTCTCGGGCTTGATGTCGGTGTGCAACACGTTCAGCACGCTCAGCTCGTGCAGGGAGATGAGAACGGAGAGGATGATTTCTTTCACCAGCCGCACGTCGTCGGCACTGCGGCGGCCCCGCTGACCCTTCACCCGGTCGATGATGGAGAGCAAATTTGGACCACACAGCGGCATCACCATGCAGGTGTGCATGCCAAACTCGCCTTGCACGTCGAAGCAGTCGATGATGTTCGTGACAGTGGCGTGGGGTGGCAGGCGGGCCTCGATGTACCGCAACAGACTCACCTCGTAGTACGTCGCCTCCTGCACGCTGGATCGGCACTTCGCGACCTTCACTGCAACGAAGGCCTGTTTCGCACCGCGGCCCAGCGTCGCATGCTTCGTGTCGTAGGCCAGCCACACCGTACTGAACTCGCCCCAGCCAAGCTTCTGGATGAGCACGTAGCGGGAATGCACAATCTTGCCCGGAGTCACCGTGAGGTAGCCGCCCTCTTTGTAGGCGGACTTGTCCTCCTCAAAGCGGTCGCGCCACTGATCGATGTAGCGTTGCAGATGCGCGCGGCTGGAGACGAAGGAGTAGCCCGACAGCGCCGGAGACGGCGACTTGCTGGAGCTGGTGGAGTTGAAGCTGCCGCTGCCGCAGTGAAAGTGCGCGCTGTCGCTGCTCGTCTGCCCGTTCACGTCCGACGACACTGAGACGGCGGTGGCGCGCGTCACGACCGGGCTGCCGTTGCCGGAGTAGGTCGCACTGAGCGGCGACTGTTGCAGCGGCAGCTGCTTCATCGACAACCGCTGCTGACGAGAGAGGCAGGTGGAGAGGTCGCTCGCGGTCTGCGACAGCTTCCCGGCGCTGCCTGACGAGAGCGGCGTGGGGGCCGCCATCATGGAGGCCTTCGACGACTTCGGCGACGTCGTAGTCGTGGCTGCAGCAGCAGCAGTAGCGGTGGTAGTGGCGGTGGTGGCCTGCAGGCGGCTGTTGGAGTTACTCCGCTCCGTTGTGCATGTTGTGCTGGAGCTGAAGCGCGGCTCCTCCTCCTGTGCCGCGACCGGTAAGACGGTGTCGGCCGTCAGCTGCGGGGAGCCTCGGCTGCTGACGCCGGCTGCGAAGGCGTGGATGGGGGTGCCGGAGACGCGTCGCTCGGACTCGCGGACGGCGTTCACCACCGCCGCAGTAACGGTGGCGGTGCTAACAGGGAGGCGTGTACGTGCGGCCACAACGACGGCCGGCGCCACGGAGGTGATGTGTTGCGGCTGATGCTGTTGTTGCTGCTCTTCTGCTAGAGACGCACGTTCTTTCTCGTCCAAATCCGCTTCACGCTCGTCGTCGCCGTCGGCGGGCGGAGGCGGCGGCGGTGAGAAAGGTGCGAGGCGTGCGGCGCCCGTCATCTGACCCGCCGCGGACATCGCTGCCTCTGCATGGGCGGCATCATGACTCATATTCGCGCCGACGCTGGCCCTCGCATGCGTGCTATTATTATTAGTACGACTGCTATTGCTCGGGGCGCCGTGAACGATCGACTTGTGATACGGCATGGAGAGCCCGTTGGAGCCAGAGCGCGGGTGAGCCGCCGAGCTTGTCGCGGTGGCGTCACTCGACGCTCCCATCGCCGCAGCGGCAGGATCGGCGTGATCGATAGGTGCGTTGCACGCTTCCATTGTGTCGTGTTGGCGTTGGGGCAAACCAGCACGCTGCTCCTCACGCGGCTGGGGAGGCGAGCGCCGCTTCACTACGGCTGGTGCACGCGAAAAGGACGACGACGACGATGACGACGGCACCGCGTGGAACTGCGTAGTAGGGAAGACGACCATCGGCTTCGCACTTGTGCTGCCATCGCAGCTACGAGCACCGGCAGACGCCACCCCGCTTGCTGCTGCAGTGGCGCCCGCCTCCGCGCGGGCGTACGGGAGACCAATCACACCGTACATGGCTGGCGAACGCTGCGGCGGTGGCAGCGGCGGCTGCGACGATTGCGGCGGCGCGCTGCTCGAGGTCCCGCAGGACGACGGCGCAGAGCCGGGAGAGTAGAAACGGTCCGAGGAGTCCGTAGAGGCGGTGCGGTGCGGACGCTGCGGAGAGATCCACCGCCCGGCCATCTCACCGGATCGTGCGCCGCCACTGCCACCGCCCGCGGCGCCACTGTGCGACGGCAGGTCCGGCAGCGCAGCAGCGTCACGCGGAGGGGAAGGAATGACCGCCACCACAACGCTCGCGTGCGGGGGCGGCGGCGGGGAGCCGGTCGGGGGCTCGTGCGGCTGCGCTAGTGGGCGCTGCGGCGTCGCGATGCCCGACAGCGCCGCCCGGGACAGCAACTGCATGGCTCCATCCGATGACGGGTGCGAGGACGAGGCGGAGAATCGTCCCAGGAGGGAGCTGTTGACCCCGGGAGAGACGTTCTCCGGCTGCTTGCGCGGGAGAATGGTGGACGAGTTGGCGGCGTTGTTTGGGCTGGCCGACCGGCGTGCGGCGACGCCTGCCATGGCAGCACCGGGAGCCATCTGCAGGCTCCTGCTCATTGCGGTCGTCTGCCCACTGTGTGATGCTCCACCCATTGCGCGTTGTTGTTGAGGCTGGTGCAGCTGGTTGGGTGGGGAAAAGTGTAGGCGACCGTCACCAGTCGCCGGCGCCGGCGACGACAACCCCATGGACTGCGCCGATTTGCTCGGGTGCGGTGACAACGCCTCCGGCGTTCCCGCGGAGGCCACTCCGTTGCGGTAATGTGGTGTGCCTTGCGGGATGTTCGTCGTGTGCTGCGCGTTCGTGTTGGTCCGCACTGCCGTGAAGCCCGACTCCGCCTTCGTGGTGGGCACCTGCGCCGCCTCGGTGGTCGGGTCACCGCAGAGTGACACGCTCGTCGGTGGAGAGGTAATCACTCGTCGAAAGCGCGGCGGCTGCGGAGAGGGGGCGGAGAAGGGGGAATAGGACGACGGCGCCACGCCAGGTCCCACGTTTCGATACGTGGGATCGTTAGCGCTGGTGTGGGGGCTGGGGTTGAAGAACCGGCTTTGCGAGGGGGCCGTGCTGCGGTAGGGCGACAGCGGATTAAAGGCCGGCACCTCACTGCTGTTCTCACAGGTGATAGGAGACACCCTGTACAAGTTGGGAGAGCCGGACTGCGGGGTGGAGAACGCGCGTGTTTGTGGAGGAGGACTGTAGACGAGAGACTGCTGCTGCTGCAGTGAATGAAGCTGCTGGAGTTGCTGCAGCTGCTTGGCTGGAGTGGAGGGAGGGGATTGACTTCGTGGGGGAGGCGAAACACTGCCGTTGGGGTGCCGGCGCGGGAGGCTGTGATACACCGGTCCACCCGCTACGCCGCCGTAGACAGCGTGCTCGTCCGACATGACTAGACCGGCCGCCTTTCTGCTATCGGTCTCCGCGACGCTGGTGCCCTGCATGGATGCAGAGATCAAAAACTAAGAAAAAAAAAACAACAACGAGCAGCCTCAGCCTCAGAAGAAGGAGAGACAAAGGTCAACGAGGACAATCGACCACGCACATGCACTCACCAGCCGAATGACAGAAGAAACGTGTAAACCACCGAGAGAGGGAGAGGTAGAGGGAGAGGGGGGAAGAAAAAAGAAAAAAACACCTAAATCTCAATACCAGGCCAGTCGAGGAAAAAAAAGGAAACTGAAAAAACAATGTTTCAAACAGGTGGAAACAAAAGCCGATGATGATAATTTTCAAGACTGTCGAGACGCAGAGATCACCGGAGAAAAAAACACCAAGTGAAATTTAAAGAAGCTTTTTTAGAAAAAATTGTGTTGCGAGAGTAGGCAGCTGCCGCTGATTTCTCTCTTTTTGAGGAATTCCCTGTCAAGTTATTGTACAACGGAGAAGAAGGCAGCAGTCGTTTTATTTTTCCCTCCTGTACGTAAAGCAACGGCTACACTCTGGTTGCTGTTTTTGGCCTCAAAAAAGTGCTTGTGGATTTGTTACGCAAACAACGTGAAGAAATGAACGCTTGAATTTGCTCAACCTTGCGCGGTAGCGACGCCAGGTTGGGTGGCAAGAACAAAACGATCAACAGCAAAATAGGAAAAAGAATCGAACCAGTTAGGAAACTTTCTGACAGTGTTCGTGACTCTGTGTCCACAGAGCGTACAGTGGATGAAGAAGAAAACAGAAAAAGAAGAACGTGCGCCGCGAAAATGGAGACTTTAATATATATTGATTCTGTGCGGAGGAAGGAAAGCACAATAGAATGGTGCACTCGTGTAGCTCTTTGGGTCTTTTTCCTTTCGTCCTTGAGGCCGTTGCAATGTTTCACGTTTATAAAAAAAAAAGTAGGGAGAAGGAAACAGAGCAAGAAGCACCAATGAAGAGTACAATATAGAACGAAGAAAAGTCGGGGAAAAAGGTATTCTGATGACAATTACAACACGAAATGAACGCACTTTGGAGTTTTACGCAAAAACACGCACGATAGCGCAGATATAATGAAAGTGAGAAGAAAGAAGAAAAAGAGAACAACAGTTATTATTCTTTTTTCTTCTCCTTTAGCGAAGCGAAAAGAATCAAAAGCTTATGTTTCACGTCGCGGACCCACACACACGCGCACACACACGCACACACGCATCAACACAAAAAGAACATATACTCAATAGCGTAATAACAACAAAAAGAAGAACGGATAGCTTCCATACACCAAATACAAGAAAGCTGCGGCGGATAACTGTAAATGAAAGCTCTTTGCTTTCGATGTCGGATCGCGTTCGTACTATCAAAAGACAACGTTCTAATCTCCTAGAGCAATAGCTTTTTTTTAGATTCACCTTTACGCAAAAACGGCGAACTCGGGCACACGAGTGCCGGAAGAAAAGCAACGGGAGAAAAAAAAAGTAGAAATGGTTTTGAAGGGCCCAAAGAACTGCAAGGATCACTAATTAATTGAAAGCGTTGTGAATTCAGCGGGCGCGCAAAAATGGTAGTTCTTTAAGGAAAGCGAAAGGAAAAAAACAGAAAACTGCGGAGAGGAGATGTGCGTGTGACGTGAACAGTCCCTCAAGCACTCAAAACTAAAAATGGCCGTCTCCGTATTTTCAATTGCGGCGTGTGGTTGGCGAAGAAGACAACACGAAAAAAGAAATTGTAGAAGGTGAAGACAAAGGGTGGCAGGCTTTAAGGTCAATTACATCCGTTATAGCCTGCTTTTCTTCTATTTCCTTTTTTGCTGGACCTGTGCTGAATTTTCACTTCTTTCTTCTTGAAGAGCGAAAAAGTAAAGATATTAAAAACAAAAGAGGCTATGATTCGTCGCGTCAACGAAAAATATGTGTTAATTGAAAACCAACTGTTTTTTCTCGTCGACCCCTCGCTTCAAAATGCTATCTTCGCCTTCCTTTTTCTTTTTTGTAACCAAAAAAAACGGCTTTAAGAGAAGTTTTGGAGTCTGTGTATTGTGCAAGTTGAGCGCTGGTGTGCAAGAGCGCAGTGAAAGGGAGCCACACGCGAATACTATCAAAATCGAGCCGATGTGGGTGTTCATATGAAAAAAAAAGAAACAAGAAATGAGAAAAGGACATCAGAGAAGAGAGGTGAGGACATTTTAATTGCTGGTTGCTGCTTCTGTTTCTGCGAATCCCATCTCCAAGTGATCTGCATCGTCACGGAGAGATAGAAAGAGTACGGCAGCAATATGAATCGCAAAAATAGAGTGTACACCTATGCAAATCCGCGCAAAACACGGCAAAGCGACTGGCACGAAATGAAAACTGTGTGTTCCCTAACTTCTTTTCTTAGTTAATGCATTGCTTCTTCGTGGGGTGTAACGTTCGAAACGAACGACGGTGCCAAGTAGGAGAGTTGGTTGCGATAAAATGCACCGAAAGCAGTGAAAACACGCCGCGAAGGGAAGAAGAAAGAACAACAAAAGCAGAAAGGAACTTTAAAAAGGGAGGGGAGGAAAGAAAGCACATCGATATAAACGCACGTGGTGAAGCCGATCTTTTGTTCGTTGAGTTGCGGTTTTGCGGTTTTTCGGTGGAGGAGAACACGCAAACACCAGTCGCTTCCTTTTACGTCTATCTCGACCACCTCTTCTCTCTCCTCCCTTAAAAGTCCAACCCCAAAAAAAAAAAATGCGAGTCCGCCGTCAACGCCTCTGAGGCGCTCCAGCGACGCTAAAGTGAAAGTTTGCGGAGCTGGCGAAGCATGCGCTCCACGTCAGCAGCGCGAAGTGACTTACCCCTGCGCGCCCACGGGAGCCGCCGCTGCTGCTGCCTCTGTAAACCACACACGCTGCATCGCTCACCGTCGTGCGACGATGACAGAGATGCAGAGGTGCTCCTCGCGGCAGTTGAGCACGTGCAGATTTTCTCTTCTTCGCTCTTTCGTCTCTTCCATGTGCCGGATCCGTCGTTATACTTTTCCCCTTCCACGTCGTCGTCGTCATCCTCGTGCCCACCACCGAATTGCTGCTGTGCGGGAGAGGACGACGCTGCCGCGGCCGCCTTTGCCGCCGCGGTGTCCGCATACGTCTTCAACGCCTGACTGTAGGAGTCCTGAATGATGCTGTGGGCGATGTTCAGAATGTTGCACACAAACAGCGCCATGAAGGTGACAAAGAAGAAGCGGGCGAAGTACATCTGCAGCCGGTGCGGAGACTGGTCCATGCGGACAAAGGTGTTGAATAAGTTGTCGCCAAACATGGAGCACAGCATGGTCACGATGGCGGCGGGTACGGATTGAAAGTGGGGGTTGTTGCTGAGCCCGCCAAACACCGCCGTGCCGCACACGGCGAATCCGATGAGCACCGGCAACACACCGACCGCGAGCACAAACAGCTGCGCCAGCGCCGTGGCCAGGCCGTCGATCAGCACGTACCACGCCGGAAACAGTTTCAGTAGCACGACAACACGAAAGCTGCTGAGCAGCGCGGCAAACGCCAGCAGCAGCGTCACGGCTTCCTCGAGCGAGTCACTGGTTTGTCCGCGGTGTTGAGCGACGAGCGCCGTCGCGGCGAAGGCAAGGACGATCGCGTTGGAGAGGTAACCTAGCCACCGCCAGCCGTTTTCCTTCACCTCTGTCGAATCCAACGGCGTCCGCGACGGCGTGCGGCTGCTTGTTGTGAGGGGCGAGCATCGCTCCCTGCGCACAGGATGCTTGCCCGTCGTGGCTGCCGCGTCCTTCAGCCGCGTGCGGAGGCGCCAGTACAGATCTATCAAGGCAGCAAACATGACCAACCAGCACCCCAGCAGAGGGCCCCGCTCGGGCTGCCGGTACGACACCGACGACAAGCGCGCCGTCATCGTCATGACCGCCTTGTGGCCCTCGAACCCGTATTCCACCACAACATCCCACGTCGACGGGACCGTCGTCATCACCCCGCCACCTGGCCACCGCCGCCCGCGTGAAAAGAGCGAGAAGAAGAGCCGCAGCTGCACCACTCGGTCCAACAAATTGCCAATCGTCGAGACACGACAAGGGATGAAGGTGCCACCGGCGACGAGGTCGACCTGCGGCGCGCACGACTCGCCGTCACTGCGCAGCAACGCTGTGGCCTTGGTAAAAGGGCCGATGAGGTTGTCCAGCGTGAGCGGGTACGTCTCCGTGAGAATTCGCGCAAAGGCCGGGGAGCCGCTGTTGCCCGCGTGGTACTGCACGTAGAGCTCCGGTGGGGCAATGACGTCGCTGTTGGTGCCTCGCGTCGCGCTCAGGTCGGTGTAGTGCATGAACAGCCCACGGCTCCGGGTAGGAACGGCGTAGTAGGCTCGTACGGTGTGCTCCAGGACGCTCACAAACTCGTCAATCGTCTCGATCCGGCGGTGTAAGAGGACATAACTGCGGTCACCGCTGGCGAAGAGGTAAGAGGCAAGGGCATGCCGCGCATCGGCTACCTCGCTATTGCGCACGACCTGATATTGGAACGCAAACAAGAGCAGCAACGCCAATATGCCGACGTTTAAAAGAGAGTGAAGCAACACCATTTTTTTGCATCGATATTGTGCTGTTGTCTAATTTCCTTATGGTGGGAGAATGAAGGAAGGGGGGGGGGCCTCTGTGAAAATGGGCTTTATAGTTATTGATGGTAGTGCGTGCGAGGTTTTTCGGCTGTCTTGAGGAGAATGAGAGAATGATAAGTGCAGTTGCTTCTATTTCGATAAATACCACAAACTGACACAGCTACTGGGATGAAAACGCAGAGGAAGTCAAATGCAAGGAGGTCGTTCGACAAATATATGTAGGAAAGAAAGGGAATGCGTTACGTGCAGAGAGAGAGAAAAAAGAAAGATCAACATTTCCGTTGCACTGCTTTTCTTTTTCTTTTGCCACCTAGGAGCCGGTCTCAGTACAATTAAAAAAGGAACTAAAACGCATCGTGTTGCTGTCGAAGTCCGTGCAAACTTGGAAAGTACGATGCTGCGCTGCGGATACGTTCTCTTTTGAATACAAAAGACAATGACCAGCTTAATTGTACCTATTAGTTTCCACCCCTGTGAAGGAGCTCGCACTAAAAGGGAACGATGAAGGCGAGAATTGTGTGGCCGTGCTTTCAGACCAAGCACGCGCGACTCCATTTCCGCCCTTGTTTCTTCTTTTCTGTTTGTGCTGCTCAAAAAGTGCATAGCCCAATAAGTCGGGAAAAAAACTTGTCCAGTCGAAGCGGCACGTTTCTTTTTTGTTGTTGTTGATGTTGGCGACATTAGTGGAAGAATGCACGACCAAACCAAGAACACCACATGAACATTGACACAATCAATACTAAAACAGACAAAATAAGGACCTATTCAACGCTCTCTGCTGAGAGTATCGCAGAAGCCAAAAGAAGGGCTCTTTCCTTTCCTTCCTACTCTTTCGGTGAGGTACGTCGTTAGCAATGCTCCTTGAGCAGCAGGGCAGTGTTTCGGCGTGCATTTAGTCGTCACACATTGCAGGTGTTTCAAACACCATGCGATAGATGCACATGATAGGCTCTTCGATGTGAGTAAGTTTGTTCTCCGAGCCGCAAACAAGCTGGATGTCCGCCTTTCGATACACACCATTCCAGCACCGCATTCCATTGTCGTAAATCATTTGGGATAAATCGTACGCGTCCTTGGCCCACATGGCGTAGGTGTTTTCCGCAAATGACTTCCACTTGCCAATCAACGGCCCGCCGCCGGTGGCACCACGATCGCGTTGGAATATCTCTTTAAACATTGTCAGTTCAAATGTATGGTCACGAAAGTCAATTGTAAATGTTTTCCCTTCCAGAGTTCGCAGCAGTTCCTCAGTTGTCGGGGTTGTGGAGTTCAACACTTTTTCCGCTTCCTCAATGGCTTTCTCTACTTCCGCTAGTCTGTTTCTCCGAGACGTAACGGCCTCTTCTGCAGCCGTCGCCTCCGGTGTCGTGTACGAGTTGGGGTTTTCAGGTTCTTTCTGGGCTGCGTCGACAGCAGCCTCGCCGTTGTTGTCGCAAACATGCATGCAGGTTAAATCTGGGTGACCACATGCGAACCGGTACTCGACGGAACCAGCTGCGACGTCGGTGTCGTCCTTTGACTCGTCCTCTGGGCTCGCCGGGGCGCACTCGCAGAAACCAGAAGAGACACCACGAATGATAGTCTCGCAGTCCTTGTCCTCCGCGGCTTCACGTGGACCATCGGCTTTGCAATTGCCAGTTTGACGCCACTTGATACAACAGCTCTCTTCCTCCGCAGCCTCCCTGTCTCCCTTGGTAGCTTCCCATTCTACGTACTTGGCGCGCAGTTGCTCGCGCACCAGCTCCAAAGCTGTTTGCAATTCCTTGTTCTTTTCTTCTAGTGCCGGCAGCTCGGCAAGGATTGCCTCGCGCTCCGCCTTTTGCGCAGGAAGGGCATTGGCCAGTTCATCGTGATGTTTCTTTACTTCGGCACGCATGGCCGCCTTGATAACAGCAGCCTTTTGTAGCATTTTCCGTTCCTCCTGTTTTTGGCGAGCAAGTTCGCTTTCAACCTCACCGCAACGGTTTACACACGGGACACCGGAGGCCAACTCGTCGGAGCCGTCACAGCAGTCGCAAATTCCGTCATTGACGTGACTATGGGGAATCTGCTGCTCAAAGAAGCCTTCGTTAGTGCACTGAAATTGCCAGTTTTTTGAAAGCTGCGTCACCACGCCTTTGCGCAGCATTGCACACGCCGAAGTCCCAGGCTCGTCACTTCCGTCTGGGCACTCACAAACGTCATCGTTCACCGCCGAAAAGGGGATTGTTTTAGAGCCGTCAATGCAACGAAACTTTCCCGAGGCTTCAGCAGAATCGTAGTGACTCACGAGTGCGCGCTGGACTCCTAGCACTTTTCCGTTCACGGGTTGCCACGTGAAGCAAAGAAGTAAAAATATAACTACTGCAACCCGCATCGTTTGTGCTGAAATGGGATTACAAAAATAGGAACCAAAAAGACTGTTTCTTTTGTTGTTGCGTTGTGTTTCGCCGAGAACAGCTGCAGAATAGTGTTACTGAACTTGGAAAAGTTGCTGTTGTTATCAGAACATTCACTACTATTATGTTTGTTTTCTTCCTTGTAGTGAAAGATAGAAGCAGAAGATGAGCACTTATATCAGGCAAAAGGAAAGACGGTTGTTGAAATCATACTAGATGAAGAAATGAAAAATCAGCCACGTAAGTACACTGCTTTGTCACCTGCGGATACTTTTTGTTTCACTTGAGGGACATCTTCTAGTGAAACGGAGGTCCACGGAGAAGAAAGTGGTAACATCGTTTGCGCACCGATTTAAAGCATTCATCTGTACGCAAGCTAAGAAACGAGAAACCGTACGAACATGGAAATTTCGTGTTTTTTCCGTTAACAAACATAGAGGCAATAACGTAACAACCTTTGCGAGAAAGCTTCACCTTTACAAAAAAAAAGGGTTTAAAACACAGGAAGCATATTTATCTGCGAACGATCCGACATTGGCTCTTACAACCAATAATAATAACACGCGAAGCTCTCTTCATCCAAACCGAGAAAAAACTGTGGAGCTTCCTTCCATTTTGTGACTTAATGGATTTTTTTTGTTCGAGGTGACAAACAGAAAAAGAGCGTTGTGCTCAAGGCCACACATAAGAGCACATCCAAAAAGAGATGGAAGAAAAAAAAAATGAGTCGATAAGCTAGAAATGAGTCGAGTTAGAGTATAAAGAAGAGAAGGGAAATAGTAAAAGATGTTGTCAAAGGAAAACGCGACCGATACTATATAGAGGGGAAAAGAAAGACAGGAAAAAGTGTAGCTGCTCACATCGATCCCGATCGTCAAAAACGCTACACCACGATAGAACACAAAGAACAGATAAATAACCAAAAGAATCATTTTGCTCTCCAACGCGCAAAAACAAAAGGAGGAGTCCTAGTTGAAACTGGAACGAATCTCCAGCACGAGTTGACCATTCGTATAAATGCAAAGCCGAAAAAGCTGTCTACCTGGTCACGTGCTCAGGTTATCTAAGTCTAAAAACAGACGCACATCAGCGCAAACTTGTTCACAAATGCAGCAGGTACGGGAACTTAGACACAGAATAGCGCCTCCTGGAATGTCACGGCAGAAAACAAAAGCGAAAACCAACAATATGACAATGATATGTCTACAAAATACAAAGCAAACAAAGGACGATAGTGAAGCGTAGCTGTGGCAGAAAAGAGCAAACGATTCGAACAATAATAGCATCACTTCCGCATGTGTAACGGATTAAGCATTTGACTTCTAATTATTTGTTCACGTGCATTCACTTAATCATTCAAAGGCAAAAGGTCTTTCAACTGCCTGGAAGCAGCAACAGTGGCATTTGCAGAAACACTAGTAATAAAACAACTAAAGAAATTCGCTTCTTCTGAATGACCTAGAAGTGACTCTTGTTTCTTGAGCCTTCCTAGCACATGAGTTTCTTGCAAACGTATACATGTATGCATGTGTTTAAGAATGTGTAGGAAACAGCAAGAACATGGTGAAGTGCATAAGAAGAGCAGTGACAGCAAGAGTAGCAATAATAACGTGAAGCAGCAGATTTTCTACATTCGTGCTTCGCTATTCATGGAGGATTGGCTGCTGTTGAAAGCGTAATTATCGAGTTCGTCTAATAACGGAGTCATGCGTTCCGATGTGGAGAGTGGTGTTCCTGTGACTTTTGTGTCCTGAAGCGTGCGCAGCAGTGACTCGTCAGCCTCGACTTGTGGTATTCCCGATTGCCGCACGTAATCGCGAACAGTATTCCTCCACAACTCTGCCGTTGGGGACAACACCGAATACGGGGACGCTAAAGATATCGGTGGAGGCGCCTCCGGAACAGCCTTCGCACTTTCAATTGCATTGACGATGTGTTCTGCTTCCTCCTGTAACTCGGCGGCGACCTGTTGCGTATTATGTAAGTCGATTGGCTTTGTTGTTGGAGGGATACGACGGTCCTGGGGGTGGATGCCTTTGCAGTGTTCGTTGACACAGTTAAGGTCTTGGCAAGAGTACAGCTGGTAACGAAACGCTTGCTCGAGACGCCCGTCGGTGTACAACGTTTTAAAAAATGGGATCCAATTGTTGTGGCAGCGCACCGTCACTTTGTTGCCGTAGCGTGCGAAAAAGATGGAATCTTTCACACGATTGATTACTTCAGCATGCGGTTTCTCTTCCGCCATCATGATCTCCGCCAGCCGTTGGAAAAAACTGATACGGTGACGCACAGGCCCTGCCTCGTGAAGGTGAAGCTGATTGCACGAGAACTCCTGGTAGCATTTGTGATCTGCAAGGTGAAGGTTGCAGAACGCGCCTTTAGGGTCACGAGGAATTTTTCGCTGCGAGGGAGCTTGTGGACCCCGGATGCCGCTTTGGTAGTCCAGATAGGCGAGAAGTCGCTCAGTTATGGCTCGCACATCAGGTGCTGTGCCTAGCGTCAGCTGTGCAGCAATGAAATCACGCGCGGCCTTTGCGTACTTCGCAGCGTCAGTGTCCAGATTGCCCTCTTGTTGCTCTAAAAACACCTTTTGAATTGTATCGAATGTTTTTAACCACGTGATGGACGCGTTGGCCCCGCTGCTTTGAGAGAAGAGGTGAATAATGGTAACCAGAAGACCCACTGTCGGCTCAAAAATGTCAGCGACCTTTGATGCTCCGTATGGGATTACGTTACCCAGAATGGGAACGCCGTTCTCATCGACACGGGAGAGATACGATCTAAAATCTAATCCCATGTCCAGTACCTGAAGAGTTTCAGGGACAGAGAGCGATAGCTGCGGCCGCTTCTGGCTGGACATCGCGTTTCTTTAATCCAACAGCTACCTTGCAATCAATGGCAAAACAGATGAGCTATAATCGCGAATATGCAATGATAAGCATAAACTTAGCACTTTTAGAAGACAAGATTATTTCAGCGGTCAATGTAGAAAACATTTTTTTAGGTGCGCAAAAGAGATAAAGGAAGGGTAAAATAACAGTTTTCTGTCAAGACAGCATAGGAGACGTGCATAATATTTGCTCTTTGCAAAATCATTTGAAGGCTACGAACAGGAATGACATAATTCGGGTGTAAATCCCTTTTTTCATGTGAACTGCTTGGTGCTATCGAACAAAAGGGTATCCACGTATCGAGCTTCGGACAATAAAAGTATCAACTACTCAAAGGGGATTGTTGGTCCTGTTGCAAACGACACATAGATGTGCCGTTTTCGCATACGTTCTCACTTTTCTTGTTAGATTTCATCAAGCACAAAGGGTTATTAGGACCTAAACTATTCAGTAGTTTTTTTCCTCTTTTAAAACTACAGGTTGGCCGTTCATACCTGTTTCACAACTGCCGAGATTCGTCTTCCATTAGAACGGCTTTTTGAACTACACGTTGACTTAAGTCCGCTATTTGCATTTGCACCTTTGTAGTTTGCAGCATGACTTGACCCAGATCGGCAGTGCCAGTTTCTTCCGCAGACTGTAGATAACTATTGATTTGCCGCTCCAAGCCATCCACAGCACTTGCCGCGCTCATTGCACTAGAAAAGCTTCTAATTGACTGTTGTACCTCTGGTTTCGGAGCGGTTAAACTACGCCGCTTTAAACGTCGAGCGCTTCAACGAAAGGTTCAGATGATGACATAGAAAAGAAAAAGGAGAGAAAAAAGCGGACGGAGAGGATGTAGACACAAGGAAGTGGAAGGTATTTTTCCCTTTTCCACGAAAAAGGCACAGCACGTGGTGGTACTTTGTTTTTCCTGTGATGTAGATTCCGTTGTCGAAGCAGGCCCAGACAAATCTGTGTTGGCTTGAAACCAACGTGACTCCCTTGCTCGCCGGGAAAAATCCGTTTAACAATAACAGCCTTAAAGCTCCTCCCTTCAGACCTATTCTTTATGCTGCGCTAAAACGCACGCTAGCGAGAGTCAAGAAGAAACGTACTAGAACGTTGAATAACGTCTTTTGCGGTATCCCTAGCTTCTGTGAGACAAAGGAACGCTGTGGCACGACAGCCTACTGCAATCGTTAGCAAATGCACCAGTTGAACACGCTATAACCGTGTTTGGAACGGAGATGGGAAGAAGGATTCAGAGCATTCGTGCCTTGCAAGAAAAAGAGGGGGTAGGGTGAGAGGGGGAATAAAACCCAAAGACGTGCGCTGTGGTGTGGACCCGTCGGAGGGAGTCGCCAAGATAGATCGCTCCGGCAGCGACAGAAAGTATAGGTGCTTTCCTCTCTGCTCTTTTTGGAAGAAGTTGGTGGCTCCGGACAAAAGTCGGATCTTCGGGCGCCTGTAGACTACGTCCTTCTTTGGCTGTCCGTCTTCTTCACTGCGCTCCCGTCACTGTGATCAGCAGAGAGCAACAGCTCCTCAAGTTCAATTCCCACGTGATAGCTGCCTGACCTGAAGCGCTGCGACACACGTACTGAATCTGCCGCTGCACTCTCTTTGTATCCCTCTTACTGGAAGCCTTGATGAGGCCGCTGACTCAATGCGGTAAACTCTACGTGAGAAAACTAACGTTAAGGGTTCAGCTGGAGAATAAACAGGTACTGAGGCCGTCCCTCAGCCGATAAGTTGTGACTCGTGTCAAATCAGAAAGACTTAGAGCAGTTACGCGTTTGACCTGACCAACAAAAATGCGTGTCCGCAAGTTATGAAGGGCTTTTTGTGGTGAACAGTGGACTGGCAACGACAACAGGGCTTCGATTTGCAGTATGAACCTAGAACGGAAAAGTTACCGAAAACAGCGTTACGTCTTGTCAAATGGCCTCCAGGCAAACGATCTCGCTGCTTTTGTTTCAAAGCAGCAAGGTTGCAGTGCTGCCGTACCGAAGGTGGTCAATGAGGAGCTCCATCAACTTTTTCAAATCTTCCACGAGTACTCTGATCTTTGGTATGTAGCATTGGACACCTCAAAAAGGATTTACTGATACTGCCTTCCTTTTCGTGCGCGTAGCCGAAATAGAAGTCGGATTACTAACCAGCGCTGATAAAACTTGCATGTCGCTTTCGTGCTGAAGTGATACTTTTTTTTGTTTTTCTAATGTGCCCCTTCGCAAATTGCGCTTTTACTTCGCGCATCGCTAGTTTTTCTACGAAGACATGAAGCTGGCATTAAGTAAACTTCTGATTGCCTCATTCTTTCCGTTGGTACACTATGCATCTGAACGTGAGCAAATTCAGCTATGAAATCCGTTCCTTCTCTACCATGAGAGTCACAGCTCATAGGATTGCTCTCGCTTTCGACAAAGGAAGTACCCGCTGCTTTCAGCGCGTGACAAGCTCTCTCCCTCCTCCAGTCACTGTTACTTCGTTTTTGATCTTCTTTCCTCGTCTCCCATCAACTTCCATTCCTTCAAAAACGTACCGCGACAGTAATTTTTTTTTTTTACTAGCTGCTCAACTGCACAGAGTTAGAATCTGTCGTGTTTGCTACTATTTCCTTTGTTTTTCTTTTCTTTTTACTTTCTGAACATAACAGCTTTCATTTGAAGAGGATGAACGCTGACGAGTCTTCTTCTTTTCGGCGTAAGCTTGCGGAAAGCACTAAGCCAAAGCCTGTCGCAAGTTCACAAATGCAGGCAAATGTAAATATCGGCCTTGCGCGATCCCAAGACGCATCACAACTGTACAGGTTCCAAGACCCGTCTACTTTCACGTTTCTGAGCTCGTCCGCGGCATCCGAAAGACTTACACGGAAACTTCGTGGAGCTGAGTACGCAACACGCGCGGCGGAAAATGATAATGCTACTTCGGGGTCCGATGAGAAGTATATCGAGCTGCTGCGAATGATCCAAAAGGCTTGCCGCCGTCCCGCGAAGGTCGCCAAGGATCGTGTAGCTCCCGATGACGAACCTTTGCTCCGCAATATTCACACAGCCGAAGATGCCGTCGCGTTTTTCACGGCTAACGGCAGTTCGACCAGCCTCAAGCATGTTTTCCTCAATTGCGCTCCAAAAGGCGTGAAATTTCGCCCATACGACCTGGTGGTTACGGAAAAGGGCTCGGAGGAGCCTGAGCATTATATTTTGAGCGCCACAGGTATCGTCCACATGCGCCCCGGGCGGCCTTCTGAAGTCATGACGCTCGCAGATTACATGAAAGAATCTTCTCTTTTTAACATTCTACAAAATATTCCCTTTTTTAAGAATTTTCTTTTGTACAAAGCGTTTCTTCGTCTGCAGATGAAGCTACGCCAGCGCAAGTATGCCGCCATACGGAGGGCTTTGTCGAAGGACCTGCTTATTGCGAAGCCAACATTTGCCTACCCCATCCTCGATCTTGTGAAGCATGCACACACCATTTCTGATGCGAAATTGATCGAGTACGTTCCGCAAGGCAAGCATGATTACGTGGTGGATGATTTTGCCCTGTCCCAGTCGAGACAGCGGCAGAAGGCTTCCGTTTTTGTGAACGGTATTATCGAGCGCATGGAGGAGAAGGTCACAAAGCTTGTTGAGGTACTTCAGCATCGCGCTGACGTTCCAGATATCAACACGCGAGAGGCGCTGGAGCAGTACCTGCTCACGATGGCCGTTGGAGAGGGAGCCGACACCAGAGCGAAGCGGAAGGTCAAGTCTATGAGCGACGCCCGCGAGGATTTGGAACGGCGAATGCGAGAGTTGAAGCGAAGCCTGGTGGAGTACTCGAAACTGCACCTCTTTATCCGTCTTGTTGACTTTCTGGCATCTGAGCAGCTATTCTGTCGCGTGCTTTCTGTCGCCCAGACATTCCTCAACACCGTGCGCGGACAGATGCAAAGCGAGGTTCGCAAAGTTGGTTTTCAGATATTTCTCCATCCTGAAGATACGACCATTGTGTTTGATCCGAAAGAGGAAGTTTTACGCGACGTCTTTGCCAGCCTGCTCTCTGGTTGCACAGATGCTGTTACCATCAGTCCCCGTCTTTGCGCTCAAAAATACCTGAAAGCACTGTTTCCCATTTCGCCGAAAATCTGGAATATTGGCGATGAGTTGCGGTCGAACGCGAGGCTTGATTATATCCACTCGGCGCTTTTGGAGATTCTGCACAATGATTACGAGAAGGCAGATGTGCGCCTCGTGACGTATCTCACTACTGTGCCGCACATTCAATTTTTGCAGAAGTCATGGGAGGAGGTCGAAGATGCGTGTAAGCAAGAAACCCGCGAAAGTGTTTTGTCTGCAAATAGCCTGGCAAAACTGTACCGTCGTTTGCAGGAAGCTCAGGACGCCCTTCGCGTGCTCATTGCGTCTTATGTGGGGTGTCTTCTTTGGATCAACGCGTCAAAGTTGAAGACGGAAATCGAACCCCGCATGGTGATTCTGCGTGACGGAATGAATTCCACACTCCGGGCCACCGCACGAGACCTGATTCGGGAGCTGAACACGTTCTTCAAGCAGAAATCACAGGCAATGAATGAGCGGCCGCAGACCTTACGAGAGTTTGCAGACTTTACAGCGGAGTACAAAGAAATCGTTTCAATCGCACGCGAGACCGACGCAAAAATCGCGCAGGCGGAGGCGCTTTGTGAACTTATGGACCGGCAACAGGTTGAGTTTCAGGACGACGAAGATAAGCAGCTGCGCGAACGTACGCTGGGTAGCAGTTCTTCAAGTGGGTCTCTGCGCAGCGTTTTCGACTCGGCACGCCTGCAGGCGGGCGAGTTCATCGAAGAAAACATGCCAACACACGTCGACACACTGCAAGCCGAAGTGGCCAGCGTAGAGGAGGAATGTGCCGGTCTCAACGAGATGCTTCTCGGAGAAGAGTTTGCAGCCTTGTCAGATAACACGGAGCCGTTGCTGCAGTATTTGATTGACATAAACGCTAAGCTCACTGAGATTGAGGCAAGAGAGGAACAGCTGAGTCGGTACGCGAAGCTATTTAGCCAACACTCGTTCGACTGGTCGTTTATCAGCGACGTCAAGGCACTTTTCCAGGCTCGCGAAGAGGTGTGGAATCTTCTCACTACGTTTAACAAGAAGACTGAATACTGGTTCGAGACGCCTGTCAAGGAGCTCGATACCCTCGAAATGGAGGAGCAGGTCAATCTTCTTGTCCGCCGCGCCGGCGTCGTTAATCGCACTATGCTCGAGCGGAATTACGAGGACGAGGTCGCCCCGCACCTGATAGAGGAGCTGCGGTCTATCCGCGTCAACATGGGGGTTATTCACGACTGCGGAAACAAGCACATGACACAGGAACACTGGAATGCGGTGCTGAAGCAGATCACTGGAAATGCGTACAGCTACCACGACGACTTAAACCTCAACGCCTTGGAGGAATGGAACATTTTCGCGTACAAAGAAGCACTCTCGGAACAGTCTGGGCTGGCAACTGGTGAATGGAAGATTTCGAACGATTTGGACGCAGTGAAGCAAATCTGGGACGCTTTGGGCTTTACGACAAAGCCATACAAAAACCGAGAAGGCGTCTTTATTTTGGATCAGCTGGAGGATGTGATTCAGCAGTTGGATGATCACCAAATCGAGTTGCAGACTACCATGGCGTCCCGCTTTGTCGCCCCAGTACGTGACAAGGTGGAGAAGTGGATTCACGACCTTCGCCTCGTCGGCGACGTAATTGACGAATGGATCACGCTGCAGAAAAACTGGATGTACCTTGAGTTTATTTTCTCGTCTGAAGACATTAAGGAGCAGCTACCCGAGGAGAGCGGCATGTTCGACAACGTGGATCGCCTGTTCCGCTCGCTGACCTCAAGGGCCAACAACCAGAAGAACGTGTTCCAAATTTGCACTGAGGAAGGCGTCTTAGAGGACTTGCAGGTCAACAATGCCAACATCGATCAAATCCAGAAGAAACTGGAGGACTACCTGGAGACGAAGCGCATCGCCTTCCCACGCTTTTATTTTCTGTCCAATGATGAGCTGCTTTCGATTTTGTCAGATGTGCGCAACCCCAAAGCGGTGCAGCCGCACCTGTCCAAGTGCTTCGACTCCATCGCAACGCTCGTGTTCTCCGACGAGGAGTGCTCCGAGATTGTCGGCATGGTTTCCGGGGAAGGCGAGCAAGTGTCGTTTGAAAAGCCAGTGTACCCCGTCGGCAACGTGGAACAGTGGCTTGCTGAGATTGAGCGTATGATGAAGGCGTCGCTCTACATGCACATGCAGCTCACGCTAGAAATGGTAACGCAGCGGAAGCGCGAGGAGTGGATTTTCCAGCATCCGGCGCAGTGCATTCAGGCTGTGGACATGATTATGTGGACCGGACAAGTGGAAGCCGCCATCGACGGCGCATCGCTTTCCTCCTATCACAAGGAGTATCACGGTCAGATTCTCCGCATGGTGGAGCTGACGCGGCAGCCGCTCTCGAAGCTGCAGCGCATCCTCGTCGGCACCCTCATCGTGCTCGACGTGCATAATCGCGATATTGTGCAGAATTTGAGCAGCGAGCACGTCGTGAGCCTTGACGACTTCGCCTGGTACCAGCAGCTGCGCTATTACTGGGAGGACAGCGGCCGCAAGGCACGCAGTGGGGAAAAGAACGTCGGCATTCATCATTGCAATGCACACTTGTGGTACGGCTACGAATATCTTGGAAATCAAGCGCGGCTCGTCATTACGCCCCTTACCGATCGCGCGTTTTTGACGTGCACGAACGCACTGGCCATGAATCTTGGCGCCGCACCGCAGGGTCCGGCTGGTACCGGCAAAACCGAGTCCGTGAAAGATCTCGGCAAGGCTCTCGCGCGGCAGGTGGTCGTCTTCAACTGTTCCGACGGCATTCACTACAAGACTATGTCGCGCATGTTTGCAGGTCTGGCGCAAGCTGGCGCGTGGGCCTGCTTCGATGAGTTCAACCGTATTGAGCTGGAGGTGCTCTCCGTGATTGCGCAGCAAATGCTGGACATCACGACGGCGCTGACGCACAAGCTGACACGTATGGACTTTGACGGGCATCCGATCCAGCTTAGCCCAAACTTCGGCGTCTTTATCACGATGAATCCTGGCTACGCGGGGCGCACGGAGCTGCCGGACAACCTCAAAGCGCTTTTTCGGCCCATTTGCATGATGATTCCAGACTACGCCCTCATCGCAGAGATCATGTTCTACTCCGAGGGGTTTTCCAACGCGCGCACATTGGCGCAGAAGATGGTGCAGCTGTACAAGCTGAGCTCCGAGCAGCTCTCCAAGCAGGACCACTACGATTTCGGTATGCGTGCGGTGAAGTCTATCCTGGTCATGGCGGGCTCCCTCAAGCGACACAGCGCAAACGAGAGCGAGGACATGCTGCTCATCCGCGCGATGCGCGACGCCAACGTGCCAAAGTTTCTCCGCGACGACACCACGCTCTTCATGGCACTCGTCAGGGACCTCTTCCCCACCATAGCGATGGAGGAAACCCCCAATACGCTGTTGGTGGACTACCTGAAGCGGCAGTTGGTGGACGACGGTCACCAGGCGGTGGAGGGGATGGTGACCAAGGCGATGCAGCTGTACGACACCCTGCTCGTCCGGCACGGTGTGATGCTGGTCGGTCAGACCTTCAGCGGAAAGTCGACTGTGCTGCGCACGGTGCAGCAGTCGCTGACGCACATCAAGGAGGATGGACACGGCACCGGGGACAACACACCGCTCTTCAACAAGGTGCACCTGCTGCAGCTCAATCCCAAGTCCGTCTCTATGGGCGAGCTGTACGGCCAAGTGAATGAGATCACCCGCGAGTGGACGGACGGCATCCTCAGCAGCATCGCCCGCGGCATCACCCGTGCTGCGCTGACCGAGCCGGACCGGCAGTGGGTTGTCTTCGATGGACCTGTCGACGCGTTGTGGATTGAGAACATGAACACCGTATTGGATGACAACAAGCTGTTGTGTCTCTTCAACGGTGAGCGCATTAAGCTGCCGACCACGGCAACGTTCATGTTCGAGGTGCAGGACTTGCGCGTCGCATCGCCGGCAACGGTGTCCCGTTGCGGCATGGTGTACTTGGAACCGTACTACCTGGACGGTCACCGCGGCTGGGTGCCGATTGCGCGCAGTCTCGTCGAGAGCAAGGCGAAGACCGATGCACGCCTGCGCAAGGATCGCCTGTTGGAGCTGCTGCAGCTGCTGCTGCCAGACACGCTCGAATTTATTCGCACGCACTGCCACGAGTGGATTCCGTCCGTTGATGCGCAGCTGGCGGTGAACTGTGTGGAGCTCCTGCAAGGGTTTCTTGCGACGTGCGAGGACGAGAAGGTGTGGCCGCGCGAGGCGGTTCGATCGGACGACGAACCCGCCGGCGATGGCGACGAGGCGGACAACATCCAGCGCACCGACACGGATATACTGGCAGCCACGAAGCGCAGTTCTTCCGCCGCTGCCGCCCGTCCCATCCCCAGTACCCCCGCGGAGTTCGCCCGGCCTCCCATCACCAACGCCTCCGCGGCCACGCTGGACGAGAGTCGACTCTTCGACATGTACTTCTTCATGGCGTTTGTGTGGGCGGTTGGCGGCAATCTGCGCGATGACTCCCGGGAGGCTTTTAATACGTTTCTGCGGGAGAAGGTGGCGGTGGCACTGCCAGGGCTGCTGCCGTCGCAGGCAACCGCTGCGACTGCCACGGCGGCCCCTGAAGACGCCAATGTCAGCGTGTACGACTACGTGGTGCACCGCCCGTCCATGCAGTTCATCACTTGGAACCACCTTGTCCCGACGTTCATGTACGACCGCTGCAGTTCGCACTTTGAGCTGGTGGTGCCAACCGCAGAGGGGGTCGCCTTCAACACGCTGCTGAGTGTGCTAACGTCGTCATCGCAACACGTCTTGGTGAACGGTGTCACCGGCACCGGCAAGTCGCTCGGTGTGCTGAACTTTCTCACCAACTCCCGCCACACGGACGAACCAACAAGCGCGTGGGAGTCCTTCAGCGTCGTCTTCTCCGCCCAGACGCGCAGCAAAGACATCGAGGATCGGCTGGAAAGCAAACTGTACAAGATCCGCAGCACCGCCCTCGGCCCAACCCCAGGCAAGCGCGCGATTCTCTTCGTGGATGACATCAACATGCCCACGCCAGAGGTCTTCGGCGCCTCGCCGCCGCTTGAGCTGCTGCGGCAGCTCATCACGCAGCGCGGCTTCTACGACACGCACAAGAGCCCCGCCGCCTTTAAGGAGATCCACGATGTGGTGATGCTCGCCGCGTGCGGTGTGCCGGGTGGCGGCCGCAACGAAATGACGCAGCGCCTGACCTCGCGCTTCCACCTCATCTGTCAGCCCGCCATTTCCGAGTCGTCGACGCGGCGCATCTTCGGCTCCCTCCTGTACGGCTTCCTGCAGCAGTGGGACTCGGAGGACGTTCGCGGGCTCTCCTCGAAGCTCGTCGCCGCGACGTTGGTGTGCTACGAGCGCATCACGCAGGAGAAGCTGCCGACGCCGACGCGCTCGCACTACACCTTCAACCTGCGCGATATGGGTAAGGTGATTCAGGGCGTCATGCAGACCTCGCCCCGCGTCACCACGTCCGTCACCGCCTTCCACCGCCTCTTCCTGCATGAGGTGTCCCGCACCTTCCACGACCGCCTCGTCGACACGAATGATCGCAAGTGGTGGTGGTCGACGCTGGCGGACGTCTGCAAGAACGTCCTCGGCGAGACGTGGGCGCCATCGTTCGAGGAGCTCATCTTCGGCGACTTTATGCGCCGTGACCGCGCACACTACCAGGAGGTCACCGAGACAACTGACGCCATTGCCCATACGCTCAGCGAGTACCAGAACGGGTACAACATGGAGTACAATAAAGAAGTGGACTTGGTCTTCTTCAAGGCCGCCGAGCAGCACGTGGCGCGGCTGTGTCGAGTCCTTCGTCAACCCCGCGGACACGCTCTGGTGGTGGGGATGGGCGGTACCGGTCGGCAATCCCTCTGCAAGCTCGCCGCCTTCATCTGCAACCTCCCTGTATACGAGGTCACCATCACACGCACCTTCAACATGACGGAGTTCCACGACAGTCTTAAGAAGGTTCTGCTGGAGAGCGCGTGCCGCGACAAGCCGGTGCTCTTCTTCCTCTCCGACACGCAGCTCGTGAAGGAGGAGATGCTGGAGGACATCAACAACCTACTCAACACGGGCGAGGTCCCAAATCTGATGCAGTCGGACGACATCGACCAGATTGTGGAGGCGGTGCGTCCCTACGCCGTCGCCGCCGGCAAGCGTGAGACACGCAACACGATTTTCTCGCACTTTGTCAGCATGTGCCGCGATCACGTGCACATTGTGTTGGCCATGTCGCCGGTAGGTGAGCAGTTCCGCCGTCGCCTGCGCATGTTTCCGTCTCTCGTGAACTGCTGCACCATCGACTGGTTTGACCAGTGGCCCCGCGACGCCCTCTCGTCCGTGGCGCAGCGCGTGCTGGTGAACCTGTCGATGAGCGAGGAGGACAAGGCGAACCTGATCGAACTCTGCGTGTCGATTCACGTGGGTGCGCAGGAGGCCTCCGAGGAGTTCTACGCCGAGCTGCGGCGCCGCACCTACACGACCCCGGCGTCATATCTCGGCCTCCTCACGAGTTATCAGCAGCTGCTGGAGGAGCAGAACAGAGTGGTGACGGTGCAGGTGGAGCGCTACCAAGGCGGTCTCGACACCCTACGCAGCACGCAGACCATGGTGGATGAGATGAAGATGAAGCTGACCGAGATGCGGCCCAAATTGATCGAAGCGGCCAAGGAGACGGAGGAGATCATGGGCCGGGTGGAGCAGGAGCAGGCGTCGGCCGAGACGGTGCGGAAGCAGTGCGCGGAGGAGGAGGCGGTCGCGAAGGACATCCAGGCTGAGGCCGACGCCATCCGCGGCGAGTGCCAGGCGGAGCTCACGAAAGCGCTCCCCATCTTGAAGGCAGCCGAGGACGCCTTGGCGGAGCTGCGCCCGGATGACATTCGCGAGGTCCGCAGCTTCCTGAAGCCGGCCTCCCGCGTGGTGCTGGTGCTGGAGGCGGTGCTCATTCTCTTGGGCGAGAAGGACCTGAGCTGGGACCGCGCGAAGCTTGTGATGAGCCGCATGGACTTCATCAAGGATCTCCTGAACTACAAGCGCGACGACTTGACGGAGAAGATCATCAAGGCGTTGCAGAAGTACGTGAACAACCCTGACTTCCAGCCGGAGGAGGTGGAAAAGAGCTCGAAGGCGTGCAAGTCGCTCGCGATGTGGGTGCTGGCGATGAACAACTACTATGAGGTGGTGAAGGTGGTGGCCCCGAAGCGCGCACGCCTGGCAGAGGCGGAGGGAAAGGTGGCCGTCGCAACGGAGGCCCTACAGGAGGCCCGTTGCCGCCTGCGCAGCATCGAGGAGAAACTCGAGGCGCTGCAGGCGGAGATGAAGGAGAATGTGCGCAAGAAGCACCAACTGGAAGAGGATATCGATCTCACGACGGTGCGACTGGAACGGGCCGAGCAGCTCATGAGCGGCCTCGGCTCCGAGCAGACGCGGTGGGCGCAGGCGGTGACGCAGCTGACGGAGGAGAAGGCAGGCCACGCCGGCACGATGGTGCTGGCAGCTGGTGCGGTGGCCTACCTCGGCCCCTTCACGTCAACGTATCGCGAGCGCCTTCTGCGTGCGTGGTACGACAAGTGTGTGGCGCTGGAGCTCCCGGTGGGGCAGGCGCAGTTCCAGCTCTCCAGCATCATGGACCCTGTTCGCATTCGTACCTGGTCCCAGCAGGGCCTGCCCACCGACCACTTCAGTGTGGAGAACGGCGTGGTGGTGCACAAGTCGCACCGATGGTGCCTCTGCATCGATCCTCAGGGGCAGGCCGTGAACTGGATTCGCTCGATGGAGCGAGAGCGTAACCTTCGAGTGGTGAAGCTGACCGATCCAAGCTACATGCGCACCCTCGAAAACGCGATTCGCGTTGGCCTGCCGGTGCTCATCGAAAATGTCGGGGAGTCCCTCGACGCCGCATTGGATCCGGTGCTACTCCGGCAAACCTACCGCTCGCAAGGTCGACTGCTCATTAAGCTAGGCGACAGCGAGGTCGACTACGACCCGAAGTTCCAGCTGTACATGACGACGAAGCTGCCGAACCCCTCCTTCTCGCCTGAGCTGCAGATTAAGATGACGGTGGTGAACTTCACGGTGACCCCGATCGGTCTCGAGAACCAGCTGTTGGCCGATGTGGTGCGAGTCGAAATGGCGGAGCTTGAGCAGCGGGCTGATCAGACGGTGCTGGACATCGCCCACGGCAAGGATGAGCTGAAGGCGTTGGAGGACAAGATTCTCCAGCTCCTCGCCTCCTCCACGGGCAACATCCTCGACAACGAACAGCTCGTCAACACGCTGCAGGAGGCGAAGCGGACGAGCGAGAGCGTCGGTCACGCTCTGCGGGTCGCGGAGGAGACGCAGCGCGACATCGGTGCCGCGCGCGATCGCTACCGCCCCGTCGCGCGGCGCGGCGCCACCGTTTACTCGGTCATCACCGAGCTGGCCCGGTTGAACCACATGTATCAGAACTCACTGGACTTCTTCAAGCAGCTCTTCGTGCTGACGCTGAAGCAGACGGAGAGGAACGATGACGTCGAGCAGCGCGTGGCGACGCTGCTGCCGGCCGTGACGCTTCGGTCGTACAACACCGTCTGCCGCGGTCTCTTCGAGACGGACAAGCTGATCTTTGCGGTGCTGCTGTATGTGCATATTGCCCGCCAGGAGGGCGCCGTGGCCGACGACGAGTGGTCGTTTATGCTGAAGGGCAGTGAGGGCAAGCGGTACGTAGATGAGGAGATTGATCCACCGCCGGCGTGGATGAGCCTGACCTCGTGGAATGAGCTGTCCGCCTTGGCGGCGACGATTCCTGCCTTTTCGCCCTTCAAGGACGCGGTCATGGACCACGAAGACGCGTGGGCTGCGTGGAGCGCGAACGACAAGGCCTACGAAGGCTACCCTGCGAGCTTGGGCTCGCACACAGGCTGGCAGCGGCTGCTCGTGCTGAAGGTGTTCCGCGAGGACCTGCTAAACTACGGCCTGTCGTTGCTGATTGAGCAGGAGTTGGGCAAGGCGTTCACGGAGAGCCCGGCGTTCGATCTGGAGGGCTGCTTCCAGGACAGTGCCCCTACCGCGCCCATTATCTTCGTGCTGACGCCCGGCACAGACCCGACGCAACTCTTCACGGAGTTCGCGGAGCGAAAAGGCTTCGGGTCTCGCAAGATGATGCTCTCACTCGGGCAAGATCAGGGCTACAAGGCCGAAGAAATGATCCGCATCGCCAGCACCGAGACGGGTGCGTGGGTCTATCTGCAAAACTGTCACGTGTACTCCTCCTGGATGCCATCGCTGGAGCGCATCTTGGAGGATCTGACGCGTCGCGATGTGCAGCGCGACTTCCGCCTGTGGCTCACCACGATGCCTGTTGCCTCCTTTCCGGTGCTGCTGCTGCAGTCCGGCGTGAAGGTGGTGAAGGAGCCGCCACAGGGCCTCAAGGCGAACATGCGCGACACCTTCTCCGTCGCCGTAACGTCCGAGTTGTGGGACAGCTGCCCACGCAACCCGTCGACGTGGCGTCGCATGCTGCTCTCCCTCACCTTCTTCCACGCGGTGATCCAGGAGCGGCGCCGCTTCGGGCCGCTGGGGTGGAACATCCCGTACGAGTGGAGTCAGCCGGACTTCTCTGCGAGTGTGCAGGCCCTGCAGATCTACCTGCGCGACGAGGGCGACGCCGTGCCGTGGAGTGCTCTGCGGTACATGGTCGGCGTCATCAACTACGGCGGGCGTGTCACCGACTTCCTCGACAACCGCTGCCTTGAGACCATCCTGGAGAAGTTCTTCCACGAGGGCATCGTGGTGCCGGACACCGAGGTGGACTTCTCGGCGGATGCCGTCTACTGCATCCCGGCAGACACGACGTCGTTGACGGACATCCGGGCCTACCTGAACGACCTCCCTACCTTCGAAAGTCCGGAGCTGTTTGGCCTGCACGCCAACGCCGACATCACCTTCAACAAGAACACGGTGCGGCGTCAGCTGGCGGCTATCCTGTCCGTGCAGCCGCGCACCAAGGCGGCGGCCGGTCGCAGTCCCGAGGAAAAGGTGCTGGAGCTGGTAATGGAGTTCCAGCGACGGCTGCCCGCACCGATCGACAAGTCACAGGCGCACCCCGACACCTACCGCCTCACGGATGACGGTACGATGATCTCGCTCGGGACGGTGGCGAGTCAAGAAATCCTTTTCTTCAACGGCGTCCTCGCTAAGCTGAGGCGCACGCTGAGTTTATTAGCGAGCGCCATCAAGGGGGAGGTGGTGATGTCCGCGGAACTCGAGGCGATGTTCGACGCGATTCTGCTCGGCCAGGTGCCGAAGTTGTGGCACGACGGCGGCTACCTGTCCCGCAAGCCCCTCGCCTCCTGGTTCGAGGATACGCTGCAGCGCACGGAGTTCTTCCGGGAGTGGAACGACCACGGCGCGCCGACGAGCTTTTGGATCTCAGGCTTCTTCTTCCCCCAGGGCTTTCTCACCGGTGTCCTGCAGACCCACAGCCGCCTGCACACGATCCCGATTGACGAGGTCAAGTTCCGCACTAACGTCACCCGCTGCGAGCTGCCGGAGGACGTCATGGAGGATGTGGAGAGCGGGGTGTACATTCACGGTGTGTTTGTGGAGGGAGCGGGCTTCGACCTCAAGGAACGCACGCTGATGGAGAGCAAGCCCGGTGCACTTTACACGCCGATGCCGGTCATTCACCTGCAACCGGTGCGTAGCGGGGAGACGACGGCGACGGACGAGACGTACGCCTGTCCCGTGTACAAAACATCTGCGCGTGTGGGTATGCTGTCGACGACCGGGCTGTCGACGAACTTCGTTGTGTCGTTGGATTTGACGTCCACCCCCGGGGTTCCGCCGCAGCATTGGATCGACCGTGGTGTGGCGCTGCTGTGCATGCTAGATGATTAACTCCCCCACTTAAGACGACATCCGTGAGTAGCTATGCTCTCTGTATTATTATTATTGCTGTTACTCTTGATCGAAAGTGATATCATCGCTTTTCTTTGGAATCGTTGTTGCGGTCGTTGTCGGTTCGTTCACTGATAGGTATTTGTATGCTTTTTTGGGGGTGTTTAACGTTTACGTTAGTGAACGGATGAATTTTTCAGGTGACTTGCCCTTCACATGTGCGTTGATCGGTTTTTTTTGTGTTTTTTTTTTTCTTCTTCCTCTCTCGTTCTTTCCCTCTTTAGGGGGTGCGCTTGCAGGCGAGAACGCTGCGCAGCGCCTTTGATGTACACGATCATGCAAATACGGGTTTTTTTTTTTGCTTCTCAGCTTCTTTCTTTCTTTTAGAGTTGCTGTTTACTATGTAAAGCATCTTATGTTGACTTGTTTCATTTGCTTTGTGCATTTGAGCCACAGCGAAGGAGTACCGCTGCCTCGTTGGAGAGATCAGCGCATCAGCTGCACATTGCTCGCATGGATGTAGAAAAGTGTAGTGACGTTCTGTTTTTTTTTTTTTTGGAAGGAGGAAAGAAAAGGCAGATGCCACGACTGCAAGAAACACGATGAAGTATGCGCGTTTTTTCTTTTTTTTTTAACTAGTGTGAAGGTAACACAGAAGAAAGAGTCGAGACGCGTGGACTCCGCAGCTTGTCTCTCTTGGTAGAGGCTTCTCACGGCTCGATGCGCGTTGTTGCTTTTCTGCAACCTTAACAGCACCACCTTTTCCCCTGATGGATTGCAGAATGCTAATACGAAGGTGTGGTGGCGAAAAAGGTCGAGCTAACTTCCTGCTTACACACAAATAATTGTGATGTAACTCTATGATCACTTGCACCTTCTTTTTCCTCCCCTCTATATTGTGTGTTTTATATGGAATGTGAACTATCCTCATCGAACTCTTCATCTAATTCCGCACACACTCTGCTCGCGTGTACTCGCGACGTGGCATGAACGTTCGCGATCATTCTACTCATTTCTCTCTTACATACCGATGCCTTTCACTACTACTGCAACTCATCTTTAGCAGCTAGCCGGAGAGTCGTGAAACGTTGCGGGTGTTCCTGCACCTCTCACTCTCGCAGCTTTTCCTTTTCTTTCCCCTCCACAGGGAAAAGCTACAGCGGCGGCCGACTGCGGTTTTCCTGTTGTTGTTGTTTTTGCGTTGTCGTATCGTTTTTTCTTTCTTCAAGGAACCGAGAGAGAGAGAGAGAGAGAGGAGAATTTCTGTCTAGCATTGAGCTGCCGGACGTGTAGTGCTTTTACCCCCCCCCTCCTCGTTGCACGTTGAGTGTGCTCTCTTCTTCGTGGTGGTTTGGCGTGTCGTTGTTGGCGCACCATTCTTTTTTTATTATTATGATTCTGCCACTTATCTTCATATTGCCCACTTTAGCACCTTACCTTACGGAATCGCGTAAAATCATATGTATCATTTCTTTATTCATCACAGTTCTTTCTTTTTCTCCTTTTATCGTTTGTCAGGTAGCGTTGTTTCATGTTTCGAAAGCCGTCCTGCACGGCGTGCAGTGCCGCACCTCGCCGGGTAGCCACGTCCATCACCGCGACCTCAGCTGCATACTCGAACAACAACACAACAGCGGCAACGGCACTCACCAGCATTTTCCTCAACGTGTCAAAGCGATTCTTCAGCCGCAAGTCAATCGAAGAAAGCCTCCCTTCGCACATCAAGGTCGATCCCCATGCGCAGGCGATCAAGGATAAGGAGAAGGAAGGGATAGGCAGAGACGCCTACGCCAGCGGCATCAACGGCATCTACGGCAACCGCGCGGAGTCTGCCATGCGAGGCATGCTAGGCCCGAAAGGGCAGGCCGACGCTCGCGAGTCACGCGCGGTTCCTATTCTAGGCCGTGCTACCGTGCAAGGCACTGAGTACACGCTCGATCGCTCGACCGTCTTTGAGCACTGGCGCTACCGCTGCCCTGAGCCGGTGGGGTGGCACCTGTCCAAGCTGGGCTCCGCGACGTGCAAGATGGTCGACAACATCGGCGAGGCGGTGGAGTCGCTGCAGCTGCAGATTATTAAAGGCTGTAACGTGTTTGAGATAGACGGGTCCGCCTCGGAGATTCACCAGAGCGTCGCACGCGGCATGTTCGAGGCGCTGCAGGCCTTCGAGCTAGACCGCAGCGGTTTCGTTGTGGTAGCCCGCTGCGGGCTGATCACGCAGCCACCTTTTCAGGAGGAAATCACGAAGGTGGAGACGTCCAACACGGCCGCGGTGCGCAACCGCATCATCCCACTGTTTGAGCGGTACAAGGCCTCCTCGCTGCCGGCGACGTCGCTCAAGTCTGGTTTTCGCATTAGCGAACTCGACGATACTCAGCTAGCGCGACTGAACTTGCGCCGCGTCAACCACAGGACCGCCGCGGGTCTCTCCCCGGACTGGCTGGATGCCTTCTTCACAAACGTGGCCTACAACACTCGTTTTGAGTGCATCGACGTCTTACTCCTCGAAGGCATCCACACCTTGTTTGACGGCCGCCCGGACGAGCACGTCGACGACGACGTGTTGCAGCTCTTTGCGTACCTTGAAAACCAAGTAAAGCAAGGGGTGCTGCAGTACTACGGCATCTCCTCCCCGCATCTCGCCTCTCCGGTGCCGCGCAACTACCCGAAGATGCCGCCCGATGCGATGGTGCCGGAGCACCTTCGACAGCCGCCGAAAGAGCCGGCGACGATCAACCTTTACCGCCTCATGGCTTTGGCGGAGCGCGCGGGTGGGAAGCACCACCACTTCCGCTTTGTGCAGTACCCCTTCAACCTTACCCAACATCAAGCGATGAGCGCACCGCTCCCCTACGACGGCAGACACACGCTCGCCACGCTGGCCAAGGCGCTGGGGCTGACGACGCTTGGCTACAGCCCGCTCGAAACGACGAACCTGATGCAGCTGCCGGAGCGCTATCACAATTTCCCCATGGAGGCGGACCTGAAGGCGCTGCGCATGAACTTCTTCACCGTTTGCGAGCGCTGTGTGCTGAAAGAGATGGAGGTGAAGGAGTCGCTCGACAAAGGACCCGACACGCTGCCGCCCATCGAGGACCTCTTCGTCGCCAGCGTCTACCTCGCGGCGCAGCGGCAGTTCACGAACGTGTTCTTCTTCTCCTCGTGGGTGAATCACTACATGATGCCTCGCTTCCGCCGCGCCATCACGCGCTTTAGGGAGGCGTCGGGTGCCGACATGAAGGAGTGGGCGAAGCAGTACGAGCAGCTCATCAGCGACATGCTGCGCATGCGGCAACGCATGTTCGAGCACAAGCACGGCCGGCGCGCCGCCAGCTTCAACATGGCAATCGACCACATCAGCCCTACCTTGGCGCGGTGCCCCATGCTGAACCAGAAGGCGATTAACTTCGCCACCTACGGCTGCGACGCCTTGCTGTGCGGCTTCCACGTCTCCCGCTACTTCCACGAGGCGACGGAGCTGAATCCGGCGAAGGACGGCAACCTGCCGATCCCGGAGCACGAGATCATGGCGTTGTGTGAGACGGAGCAGGTCAGCTACGCGAACATCTCCCCGCCGCACCCGTACATGCTCGAGCCGCTCGTGACGCAGAACAAGATTTCGAAGCAGCGGCAAAAAGGCGCGGAATACCTTGTCCAGGTTGATCCACAGAATCCAAAGTTTCCAGACATCCCAGAGGAGCTGGAGGCGGAGAGCGAGGCGGAGGACCACCACGTCGTCGACGGCGAGACGATCGCTGCGGAGAAGACGAAAACGGCGACGGCGGAAGAGAAGTAATGCTCCCGTAATAGGCAGCTTTCTGCGCTGGCCACACGAAGGTTAGGCGCCCTCTTGCCTGACCTCTCAGGCAATATGTCACAAGAAGCACCATAGCAGAGCACCTGTTGCGGTTACACGGCGGCAATTCATTTGCCGATCACCTGGAGCTGCTTTCGCGGTGTTGCCACTGCACGCTGAGTTTGCGTCACTCGCGCTCCGAAAAGCTGCCTGCAACGAGCTGGGAGGAGCATCTCCTTTATCCTTCTGCGGACGATCCTGGATTATCATCATTATTGTTATTTTTGAAGAGGAGAGGTGAGAGGGAGATGGATTCTGAGTCCGCAAGCCTCTGATGCATGTGTGTAAGCTGCACGCTTCGCCGGTTTTTATTTATTTTTGACGGCTCCTCTGCGGTGAAGAGGCCACATTGGTGGTGGGCCGTCTATCCTTTTTTGTTCCTTCGCATCTTCGGGGACGAGGTGGAGATATTTGTTTTCGTGTGTATTTGTGGTGTTGTGGCTGGTTCGAAGGCCTTTCTTCATCTTTTTCTATTATTATAATTAGTTTTAAGCAACTGATTTTTTTTGTCGACCACGAGATGATGCCGGCGTGGGAGAGACACTCTGCCCTTCCCCCGCCCCCCCCCCCTCTTTGAGACAGGCGCACGCTCACACTCCAGAGTGCATCGTGCGGTGTTCGTTGTGCCTCAAACGCAGCATAAACACCAGCGTAGCGCACTTCTTTGGTCTTTCTTGCACGTGGAGGATCAGCTGAGCAACGAGGAACGTCTTTTTGTTTCTTTGATTGTTTCTTGAGATGTGAGGTTGTCGCGTATCACGGCACCCATCTTCTCGTTAACAGCGTGCACTAACTGATGCATAAGAAAAAGCCAAAGTCATCGAAGAGGTGCCCAACGTGATGAACGTCCGCGTATGAGAAACGTTCAAGTGCGCTGATCATAATCGCCACACACACACACACACAACTCCGCTCTTTGTCGTTTCATATTTCTTCTTTCCCCTTTCTCTTTTTCTATTGTTTTCAGTTCGTTATTTTTTGCGGCGCAGACACCGAGTGGTTATTTCCTCATCTTCCTTTTAAAAAGAAAAACCAGTTCTTCCTCTGGCAATCCCCGCTCGTCTGCCCAGTACGAGCCAACAGCTGTTTTTTTAACGTTCTTTAACGGCATACACACCGCATATAAGGTACGCATCTTAAAAAAAAGAAACAGCATTAACAAAAAGAAGGCAAGCTTTTTTTCTTCTAATCGTCTCCTAGCGCCAGAATGATGTTTTCGCGAGTTGCCGTCGTCGCGCTGGCGCTGCTGCTCGGCACAATCTGCGTGACCCACTCGGCCTTGGCCGGCCCCATCCTGGAGGTTGCCGTGGACCACGCGATCATGTTCAACCGGCAGTTTGGCTCTCAAACAGACATCCCCTACGGCAGCCGTGCGGTGTTGCTGCGCGGCGAGATGGTGCGCTACGCCGCTGGCGCGTCGAGGACCTATTCTGGCTACACCGTCTACGTCCCGTGCCGCGAGCACTTGAGCAAGTCCGCCGTGCAGCAACTCGCCGGGTCGACGCGGACGGCCTCCGCTGCGAAGGGGCTTGTGCTGGAGCTGTGCGATACGGACACTGCGAATGAGCAGGCACTCGCCCTCTTCTTCGCCACCGCCGCGGCGGACATCCCCATCTACTTTCTGCCGCGCGGCGAGGCGTCGCAGCAGCTGGCCAAGCTACTGACCTCCGCCGCAACCCACAGCGGCTCGACGGATCGGGTGGTGCTGTCCATCGGCAGTACGGTGCGGACCACCGCGCCAACCGCGAACCTCACGCTGCCCACCGCGCTCATTGAAAGCACCTTCACCAACCGGCCCAAGGAGGCGCGGAAGCTGGGGGCTTCCTCGCTGCCGCACGTCCTCGTCACGGCACATTTTGACTCCCTCGGGGTGGCGCCGACGGCGCTGACGAACGGCGGGGCGACGGGTGCGGTGGCGGCGATGGAGCTGTGGCGCCGGCTGACGGCCGCCCCGACGGTGCAGGAGGACGGCGTGGCGGCTGGCACGTCGCCCTACGCGGTGACGATGGTGCTGGGCAGCTCGTCTCGTTTCAACTACGCCGGCACGAAGTCGTGGGCCGCGCAGCACTCGGACGCCGAGCTGGACCGTTTCAAGGTGGTGCTGAGTCTGGATGAACTTCTGTTGAGCCCCGACACGGCGGCCGACGCCGCAGACCTCTACCTGCACGTCCACGACTCTTTGCTGAAGCGCCCGCATGGTCAGCAGGTGGTGGAGCAGGCGGAGGCCGTGGCGAAGGCGCACGGTATCTCCCTGAAGGTCGTCCCGGGAAAGACGAACTACCAGCATTACGACCTCAAGTTCGAGCACGAGGTCTTTGCCAGCCGGCAGATGACCGCCATCACGCTCTCCGCGCGTCGCACCCACCACGTGGATCAGATCTTCCGCGACGTGCGGCGGCCGCCCTTCACCGCTGCGGACACCGCAGAGCTGACGAAGCGAGTCAACTTTGTCGAGGCCCTCGTCCGCGTGCTTGTGTCGGCGGGCGACAAGGATGCGTCGCTGCAGTGGCCGGGCTCTGCTTCCTACGTCATGGGGATGTTGCACTACGCGAGCATCTCGCACCGCTCCACCGTCTCCCACAGCGGCGCGGACTTGAAACAGTACGCGACGGCAGTGGAGCATCAGATGCGGGCGCAGGCGTCGGTGGCTCAGCGTGCGGGCTCGAGCACGGCGACATCGACTGTGACCTTCCTGCGTCTGCGCATGCCGAGCATTACCCTCTCTGGCCCGTATGAGGAGAAGATGGCCGTGTTCTTAGCCAAGTCCTACCTTTTTGAGTGCGGTGTAGCGGCCGTGACGCTGGTGGCGGTGCTTGCGTTTCTCTATGTGGAGCTCGGCGTGTCGGGCATCAAGAGTCTCGTACTGGATTAAAACACCTGTGAACTCTGAAGGTCGACAGCGAGAGCAACAAGGACACACACACACACACACAAGGGAAAACGTGCATTTTGGTTTTAACGAAAGAACGTAGTAGGCGCGGCATGCAGCAAAGGATTCAGCCTTCCCCCTTGTAGACAAAAAAGGAAAGAAAAACAGGTCGTGGGTTTGTTGCCGTTGATATTTGTCGGTGGCGTGTGTGTTTATGCGTGGTGAGGGTTTTTATCTCCGTTTTCTGTTTTGGCTTTTGCTTCCGCGTTGGCGATATATGTTATATTCTCTCCTCTTCTGTGTGGCTTTGTTGTCTGGCGTGAGTCTGCCTTCAATGGTGGCTCAATACATAAGTCTTTTAACTCAGCAAAAAACCCGAAATAAAACATACAAAGAACGCTTCACAGGGAACACAGGAAGCTGGTGCATTAGCACTCTATGAGGTCCGGCCCCCCCCCCCCCTTTCCCCTTCCGCTGTCTCCCTCTGTTTCTGCTCAACTGGATGTGGGAAAGGGGTAACTTGTACGGTGCCGGAACGATTCAGATGAGTCTCCCTCCCAAAAAGAAAGACGGCGTTTGCTCAGTCGTTGCCCTTTCTTCTTGGATCGTCGGCTTCTATTATCAGTATAGGACCGTTTTCTTCATACCCTTCTAACGTCCTTTTTTGAGGAGTTCATGGCCCTAATAAATTTGGTGGAATACGTTAGTGCAGTTGCACTATCGTCTGCAAATGCGCATCGTCGTCGCTCACTTTGGAGTGTTTTGGTGACTCCTGAACAGGCACTCGGCGGTGTTGTCTGGACGCGGATATTCTTCTTTATTTCTATTGTTTCTTCACCTCTCCTGCATTTTCACCTCTCTTGACCTTTTGTTTGTGTTTTCCAGCTTCTTCCCCTCTCTTTTCCTTTCCAGGCTGCCGCACTTAAGAAGCCCACGGTACAGAAACCGCATTATCATCCCGTCTCGACGTTTGACACCTCCAACGAATTCTTTTTGCTTCTCCTCGCTCCTCTCCTGTCGGTATTGACGTATATTTCTCAGCTGCGTTCTTCACAAAATAATAGAAAAGGGGAAAGGTGGGCCTGCTGATTTTCCTCTTTTCTTGTCAAAAGGAAAGTATATATATATATATATCGTTGTCACAACTACAGCTTTCGTTGCTCGTATTCTTCTTTGCTTCACGTACGCGCTTTCGCGGATTATTATTATTTGAGCTGACTTGACTTGTTGCAATTGTTGTTGTGGTTTTGAAGGTGTTCGGCGTGTTAGTTGAAGGTGCTCGCGTTAATCCTCTTCGCTTCCTCCCTCCTCTTCTTCTTCGTTGCCGCTTAAGAACTTTTTTTCTGGCTTTCTATAAGCTGCACCCGAGAGACTCGCGCTCAAACATTTTAGTATAGATATATACTAACTGGCATCGTCCTTGACCTGCTTTTAAAGTGAAGCTTCTGCGTTTGCGTGAAGCTCTACTTCGCAGGACCGCTGCTTGCGCACCCACTCGTTGCCCTTCTCTTCCCTTGCGTGTGTGTGTGTGTGTCTTCGTATCTTTCGGAAATCAAGGGAAAACGCGCGGGGAGGAAAAGGCACGTTTGTGTTTAGTCGACGGGTAGCGAATCAAGAGATATAGATACGAATATGATGTACCATCGCGCGCTCCGATTTGTGCCAGTCGCCACAGGACGGATGGCACGCCCGGTGCACCAACGCACGCTTCACTTTTGTGTCTTGGCGACGTCTGTAGGCCACCAACGGGCTGCGCTCGCCGAGTCGCGGCGCTTCCACGGCGATCACGGGGATCGCGAGAAGCCGGTCCAGGTGGAGTTCACGCTGCCAGACGGGGAAGTGAAGACGGTGACGGGCTACGAAGGGCAGACACTTCTCGACGTGTGCGCGGAGCAGGGCTTGCCGATGGAGGGCGCCTGCGGTGGGTCCTGTGCGTGTTCGACCTGTCATGTGTATTTGCAGGAGAAGGCGATGGACTTGTTTGAGGAGGCGACGGATGAAGAAAACGACATGATTGACCAGGCGTTCTACCCAGAGCCAACCTCACGTCTGGGTTGTCAGCTGCGCCTGAAGAAGGGCGTACATGATGGATTGAAGGTGAAGATGCCGCGAGCAACGCGTAACATGTACGTTGACGGCGCTAAGGTGGTCCCGCATTGAAAACTGGTGTCTTTTGTTAATGCCTCCCACCCAACATCTCTCTTTTCCTTTTGTGAAGCACGCGCGAAGCAAACGGTCATGTAGATTTATCGCCCTTCAGCTGCGCAGACATTCACATCCCAGTAGGCTTCAACGAAATTAATATTAAAAAAAAGCCACAGATCGTGAAAAGGCTTTCTTTGTGTGTGTGTGTGTGTTCTGTTTTGTTTTGCGTTGACTGATCTCACACATTGGTACTTTTGATCTCTCTTTATACACTATCCTTTCACCGTCCTGCTCTGTTGAAGTATCTTGTTTCTCCCTTCCTCTCCAAGAGAGTCCCCTCGCTGCTGCAGACGATAATGCACTTGCATCTATATATATATATGCTCTTTTTTTTTATACATCTATTTTCTATCATTATCATCATCAAGTCGAGCCTGTGAAATAATGCGCTGCACCTTATGCGGATTCGAAGGAGCCTTGCGGAAAGGCGATGAGATGTGCGTATTATTTATAAAGCACGACTTTGAGGAGGTGTGTGTGTGTGTGCGTATGTATGCGGAGCGAGCGCGGCGAACTACTTTCACTGGGCAACGCTGTTTACAGGATGAGAGCGAAGCAATGGAAGCGCCAACAACAACAAACACAAACACATATATATATATATATATCTTCACAGTTCTGCGATATCAGGCATCTCATCGAGGCATCTTCGAAGCTCTTGGTGTCGTTCCTTCTGTTGGTTTTTGCTCAGCAACGTCAAGCCACTTTTGCTGGATTAATGCGGAGGTTCTCGTTGTGTTTTTTTCTGAAAGAACAAAGGTTTTTTTTCACCCCCGTAGCCGTCTTTCCAAATCTGCTGAATTCGAATCTGTTTCATCTACATCTCTGTCTTCTCTTCTTCCGTTTTTTTTTTTAGAAAATCAAAGTATTTTTCACCTGGAAGATTCGCCCATCTTCGTTTTATTATTACCCATTGCCTTTCCACCTGCCATGGCGTCCTTCTCCCCTCTTGACAGTTACAAAGCACGCAGCCGAGGCCTGATGCCGACGGGCATCGTCATCGACAAGTCATGCCGCGTGTACGTGACGCAGATTCCTCTCGAGCGCATCGAGCGTGACGGCGCCAACGCGATGAAGGCGGAGTTCGAAGTTTACGGCCCGCTCGAGTCGTATAAAATGTTCACCGACCGCTCCGGCCGCTTCGTGGGCAGCGCCCTCTGCACCTACCGCAACCCGGCAGATGCCTCCATGGCCATCTACTGCATGGACGGCGTCGAGGTGGAAAGCTCCACCCTGCACGTCGAGCCGGCCAAGGAGCACGGCGTGGTACTGCTCTCCGGCAGCAGCGGCAACAGCAGCAACAACCGCGATCACAGTCGCGGGTTTCTGCGTGACACGCGCTGGCAGTCCGCGCGTGGTGGCCGTGGTGGAGACGGGGCACGGTGGCTGAACGCGGGGGGTGCGGGGGACGGGGAGGGGACAAAGGCGAACGGCACAGACGGGTCGGCCACGTCATTTCCGCACGGCGAAAGTATGGACAACGAACAGGCAGAAGGCCCCGTCAGCGGCGACGGCTTTGGTGCCTCGGCCTCCGAGGAGGAAGGGAAGTGGAGCCACGACAAATACGAGCTCATCGCAGAGGGGAGAGACATGGACGAGGTCCTTGGCATCCGTCGCCCGATGCGTGGTGGGGCGCGTGGCCGCGGTGGCGGTCGCGGTGGCGGCATGGCAGGTCAGCGTAGTGGCGATCGAGTGGCCATGGCGTTTGAGAGGTACATTCACGAGCGAGACGTGGCGGTGGAGGACAAGTCGTTGCCGCCACCGCCCGCCTACACCGATGCGGTCGCAGAGACCCCCACGGACGCCAACACTGCGGTGGCCAGTGCGGCTGAAAACGTAGAGACAATGGGGGAAATCGCCTTTGGCGAGGATGAACCGACGACGACGGTGACAGGCAAAGAGTTCGGTGCGCTGCCGGGGGAAGCGAAGGAGGAAGCTTAGAACTTGGTGCGTGAGCTTTGCTGGATGTAAGAAAGCCTGTGTTGCCTGCACAGGCAGCGCGGCGTGTGCAGGCCACAGCATTTTCTCTCTCTCTCTCTCTCTTTTAGTCGCCGTTAAAGATCTTTGTGACGCCGGTGAAGTCGCGCTTTTGGTTGTTGTTGATGCTGTGTTCATCTGAGTCGGTTAAAGAAAAACGATATTAAAAAAACAACGGGGACTCTTTATGAGAATTCTTCGGAGACGCAGCACCGTCAACTCTTTTTTTTCATCCGTTCTCATTTTCTAGTATGCTGTGCGGTGGCGAATAGACGAGGCTTGCCGGATCCTATCTCCCGTGCGGCTGGCTGAAGCCTTCGCACTTATTCAGAAAGGGCACTCAGATGCGGCAGCAACGGTTCTTCTTCTTCTTTTTTTTTTGATTGTCGTTGCTGCTGCTTTTCTCCGCTGCGACGTCTCTCGCGGCGGTTCGCACGGAGACGTACGCGTGGTCGAGGTTCGAGGTGCACCTTGTCTATGTTGCGTAATCCTTTTTGTTTTCCCTCTCCCCCTCTGTTAATCCTCCCCCTTTTTTTCGATTATTATTTCACAATCACACACACACACACACGCATGTCACCCCGATACACAGCACCGTAAAGTACTGGACGGCGCAATTGCTCTTGTGTCGCAAACAGCAAACGCCGACGCCCGGCACGAGTGCCTGCCAAATCGCGAAGACGAGGCGAACTCTACGGGAAAAAAAGGGGGCAGGGAGGTGCACCAACCCAGTTCGAAGGAGTACGGACGATGTTCCTCCGAAGGCCTTTGCAACGAGGGTCCGCCGGACAGGTGATCTTGCCCTTCTCCTGGCTGGGGTGTGCCTCTGCGCGGTCCTTTTCCTCCACCACCGTTTTGCAAAAGAAGACGATAAAGAAACGGTCAACCAAGCGTCCTAAACATGAGCGGAAGCAGCCACAGCCGCAGCGCCTTACATCTCCTACGGTGGTGGCCGCAGACGAGGTGAACGGTTCGACAAAGGCAGCAACGCTTCAGACTGCCCATCCAGTCTGTCAGGCGGACTCCTCTGCCTCCGCTGCTGCCTCAACTTCGACAACAACCGCTGCGAGAGGCGGCATTCGGGAGAAGGAGCGAGATCTGCTGCGGTACTTTGGTCGTGCTCGCCACCACTACGACGCCGTGCCGCTGCACAAGGCGACGGCGGCGTTGCAGTGCGCTTCCAACGCCCAGGCGAACCGAGTGCCCTTCGCGACGTTATTTCCGTCGCCGACGGTGTCTCCTCCACGAGCTTCGCGTACCTCACTGATGAACGCGGAGGGCGGGGCGAACGCGTCCCTGTATGCCACCACATCCGATGACGCACCTTACACTTCTCCGCCCTCAGTGGATGCGTCGGCTTTCGCGGCACCAAACCTGTTCGTTGGCTACGATCACAAGCTGCGTCAGTTCCCCGACTGGACGAGGGCACGAGCGCTAAACACACGCTTTGGCAGCGCGGTCGATGGTAATAAGCTGTTTGGCGCTCGTGAGGTACCGCTGCTGGACATTTCGGAAGACACATCGACGGTGTGGGCGACGCTGGGGACGGCCTGGGAAGAAGTACTTCTCCGCTGCTCCGCGTCGTGCAGTGCAGCTCTGTCGATTCCTTCTCATCAATCGGTTTGCTTTGTGGTGTGCTTTGCGCAGACGCGACAAAGCTTTGCGATTGCCTCCTCGATGCATTTCATGGCCCAGGACGCCGTGCAACGATGCGCGGCGAGTCCTGCGGCGGCTTCTCCAATTTTTGCGGTGGTGCCGATCTACGTTGGTGTACACGCACCCCTCGCCTCCACCCATCGCGGCGAGCGTCGCGGCACCAAACAGGCGCAGCGAACACTGCACAGCTGCGTCGAGTACGCGTCTGGAGGTCTCTACACGTGCTCGGCAGTGACGCAGTGTCTTGCGCGGATGGAGCCGCGCACCTGCGCCGTGCCCTCCACGGAGCCTGGACAAGACGCGCGTACGTACCGCCTCGACGCGCACGTCTTTTTAGTATCGGATACGTGGCTGAACGCGCGGAGTGTGGCCGACTTGTACGCTGGACACCTCCGTGCATCGGATGCGGGTGCGGCCGCCATGCACATGGCCGATGCTACATCTGCCCACGAGGAAAGGGAAGGGGCGGAGGGAATTCATGCCGGTGTAGTCCCCATTTTTGATATGCTGAACGTGAAGAAGGACACCTCCGCAGCGGGCACTGGCGCCGCGACGGAGCCAGCCATGCCGTTCATTCCCGATGCGTCGCGGCAGCACGTCCACGTCTTTCCAGGGGTCGTCTTTGACCAACTCAGCCGGAAGGAGCAAAGCGCCTTGGGGGCTTTTTTGTGGTGTACGATGGAACGTGTGTGTGGGAAGGGCGTTGGTTCTGCGTAGCGCGCCTCCAAATTGAAGCAGGTGGACGAAAGGTGGGGAAATACATATATAACGGAGGTGATACGCTTTTTGCGCGGGCTGGCGAAAATGGTTTCGTCGGACGATTTCTGCTGCCTCCTGTGTTGATTTGCCCGCATTAGCACTTCTTCACACAACTTTAATGAAGGAAAACCCTTAGGTGTGTGTGCCAAAAAGAAAAGGAAAGAATCATTCCCCCTGTTTCTTCTCTGTTGTTCTGCGTAAGAAGGCGTCCCTGCACACCGGATATGCGGCGCTAAATTGATCTTTTTAAATAGCCGGTGAACGAGAATTCTCTGTTTTCGTTGAGTGCATGTTCCTTTCATCTGGGTGTGTGCGAATGTGGGTGTGTGTGCCACCGCGGGTAAGGAGGGCCTCACCGCTCCTTTCTCAGTTTTCCCATCCCCGCTGTCTTACACGCCAAGACCTTTTTTTTTCTTTTTGAACTTCTGCCCTTCTCGTTTCTCTTTCTGTTCTCTGTGGGATGCTGACACGCGGTATTATCGTTTGTTGTTGTTGTTGTTTAGGTCGGCAGCACATTTCATCTCATCTACTGTGCCGCGCTGAGCTGCGTAAACTCCTATATATATTGTGCCGGTGATTTTTCTTTCTTTTCCCCGTCGATGTATATTACCCCCTGCTTCTTTGTATAGGTAAGGCCGCTTTGGAATATTTTTCTCCGCTATCCTCCTCCCCCTTTTTTTTTGGGAGGGCTCTATAGCTTCCAACAACACTTTGTTTCCTTTGTTCGCTGCTGCTTCCCCCCCCCTCCACACACACGGGTGTATACTCACACAACGCTGTGTCCCGAAATGTATATTGGAATTGATTAGGGCGGTTTTTCTCTCCCGTTCTTACGTATTCTTCTTTCGGCTTCAAATGCACGCGCCACGCCGCACGCATGCGCTCCCTCGCCCCTTCGTCGCGTTAGACTCCACAGACGGCGATGACCCGAGTCTCGCATTGAACTCCTCGCCTGAGGACAGGCCGACGGCGCACAGAGGGCTGCGTAACTCACGCCGAATCAACAAAGGAGGCGCACCAGTGCTGTCCTCGCTCGCCAAGCCAGCTCCTGCATCTCCACACACGGCGCGCAACGCTGAATCAACAGTGCTGGCACACAAGCAACGCACCGATCACCTTTCCCCGCGAGCCATGTGGTGTGCACCGACGCCGCGCCCTGTGCCCCTGCCGAATCTTCTTCCTGCGGTGCCAACGTCGAGCGTCTCCCGTACTTCAAAGACGATCGACGTTTCGCGCAACACCTTCCTCGCTCCCGTGGGAAGCGCCACCGACAAGAACGCTTCAACGTCCGTGGATGAGGTGCAGGTGGCGGACAGGTCAGACGGCTACGGCGACGAGTACGTGCGACTCATCTTTAACTCTTCACTCTCGATGAACGAGTCCGCTGACGCTACGTCGTCGCCGCATCAGCCGCAACGGCCGCAGCAACGACGTAGCACGACAGCAGCACCGACTGCAAATCGGCTACCACCCGTGTTGCCCACCACGCACAGTATCACAGACGCGCAGGCCACCGCGGTTCTGGCACAGTTGCCGGACCACCTTCCCTCCCGCGAGACGCCGCCAGCACCGCTTCCCACTGCTCCGACGGCTGCTTCATCCACAGGTGCGCAGCATCAGCAAGCGCTTTCCGCAGCGAAGGAGACGCCGTTGGCGTTGGCCGACTCACCGCAGCAGGAAGCCTGGTGGTCCACGCTGGACGGCACTTCCTCCGCTTACAACTCACTCCTCGGTACTGGGCACTGTCATAGCGGGGCCAGTGCCGGTGCGGGGTATCGAAACGTCCATCAAACCACGCAGAGTCTTAACGACACCCTCGGCCGTGCAGACCGTGCGGCGATGGTGCTGTCGATGGACTACCCCAGACTCAGCTCCGAGGGCGTGAAGGCGGCGGATCGGTCGTTGACTGGCGCGGCGTCTGCGGCGGCGTCAGTCGGCGACGCCACGCACGGGAGAGGAGACGCAGAAGCGGACCCTTCTGGAGATCCGATCACGGCGGCAGTGGCGACACTCGCCGCACGCCTCTCTCACGCTGCGGACAAGAGCCACACAGGCACGCTTAGCAACAACAATAACAATGTTGTCTTGGCGGAAATCACCGCGAGTACGTTGGGGCGCCAGAACACGATCCAAGAACTGCACGACACGCTACGTATGACAGAAATAAGTCGACTTGATCCGCTGAAGCAGCAGCAGCAGCAGCAACTATCGCCCAATGTCGTACCTCTTGTGGAAGCGGCAGGTGATGGTTGCATAAGCCTCGACGACGCTTTTTCACTGGACGCACGCCAGCGCCTTCCGACTGCAGTCGGTGATCGCCATAACATCCCACTTGTTTCCATTGTAAATCAACAACAACACCACACGCAGCAAACCAGCGGAGGCGAGGAGTCAGGGAACGCGGCAGGACTTGGGGGTGTTGGCAGCAGACGCACGCGCGACGCCCTCGCACGGCTGTACGCCATACCAAATGACGGCCCACCTGCGCCGCCCGAGGTGGTAGCAACGGCAGTCGCAACAGCACCGACACAGCCATCGCGGACCCTGTCGTTTCTCAGTCGATCCGGCCCTTCTTTTGCGGCGCCGGCACCACCGGTTTCCACTGACAACGCCATGCGAACGATGCCGTGGCAGTGCGAGGTGCTTTCCCGCGCAACAGTGGAGCGCCGTTACGGGCCGCTGGAGGCGGCGCACGCTGCACACCCCTCTCGCGCATCCCGGAGGAAACAGCCGCCAGCGTCTCCACATACACGCAGCTCAAGTCCTGTGCATCGAGGCGCTGCTGGGTCTCGTACGTTGCCGAACCCGCATCCGCAACAGCAACAACCGTCTTCCTTGACTTCGTCTTCGGTCTCCAGTGCCGTCTTCTCCTGTGTCTCGCTGTCCAGCTCTCTCTTCCTACGTGAATTGGGCCACGGTGAGGCGCGTCGGAAGTCACACATGGCATTCCTCCACAAAACAAACGCGCTGTCTGCTCCAGGGCAAGGCACCGCACTCAACGTGACGCATCTTCTTGACAAGAATGGGGCGGCGAAGACGCTACAGAGTCAGCAGCAGCAGCAACAAACGCTGAAGGAATGCGCGGCGGCGGAGGCTGCTGCCTCGTACCGACGGGAGCAGCAGCGTTTGTACGTCAGTCAACTCGCGACAGCATCACGTGCGCTGGCCGGCGGCGACAACTCCAGTGACGCGATTGAGCCGCACCTCGACGTCGATTACCTCTTTTCTGACTTCACCCCCAGAGTTCGCGACTACACCGTCGTGTGCGCAGCAGCGAAGGTGCCGCAGGAGGACGGCGGTGGCCCAAAGACGAGCGGAGCCGCGGGGAATGAGAAGGACGGCAGCGCAAAGGACGCAGATGGCACCGTTGCATCTCCCTCTTCTTCTACCCACTCCACTCCGCGAGACGCGCTGCAGGACGCGGTGCAAGCCCGTCAAGCACTGCTGCGCCGACACGTGCAGGAAAGCCCCTCCTGGGATCGGCTGTTGCATCGGGTGCGGCAGTGGTGTGACCGCACGCAGGTCATGGTCCGCCTGGAAAACGGCGAATGCGTTGAGCAGACAGGCGTGCGCCCACCGCCGCAGCTACTGCAGCCCTTGCCACGACAGCGAGAATCACCATTCCCTCTCACCACAGAGGCAGACTTTGCAATGGACAGCTACAAAGACAACGGGGGCGAGCTGCCACAACAGCTGCAGCAGTATTCCGTGTACGTCGACGACCCGGCGGTGGCCCACAACCTCGTCATGCAGCAGCTCACCCAAGAAGCGGAGGATATCCAGCGAAAGAACGCTCTGCAGCGGTGCCGGCAGCGTCAACAGCAATTGAGGGCTAAAATGAACCAGTCCGCGCTGGGCGAGCCGGAGGCGTCCGAGCTGCCGTCAAATAGCAGCAACATCGCACCGATAGATCGTCTCGCTCTTGGAAACGGGCGGTCAGGCAGCACGGTGTCCACGTGGGCGAAGACGTCCACGGCGTCGTTGTTTGCGAACTCGGCGGGGAATAACCTGACCCCCACCACGTCTCCGGATGGGACTCCGATGGATCCCGCCCATGTGACGTCCGCATTCGACAGCACGCCGTCCACTGCGTTGCCGCCGCATCAAGGTCTCCACGTTAATACGCAAGACAACAGAAACGTTTTGCCCGTTAGCACGGTGGATGGTCACGAGGAGCGTGGCGCTGCCCAAGCCGCGATGCAGTCCGCCTTTAAGGATTTTGCGACGCCATTTAAAGCATCTGCCGTGCAGGGTCCGTCGTCGCTGCACGCGGCTCTGTGCGCCAAACTCCAAACTTGGGGGGAGCCAGTGGAAGAGACTGACGATGACGTGGACGCTGACGATGATGTGGGTGCCGAGCTCGTGCCGTCTGCAGAGGTGGGACAGAGGGAGTCGGCGGGGGCGCTGGTGCTGTGGGGAAAGGGCTCTGCGTGTCTAGCGGAGGACGAGAAGCGAAAAGCGAGCCACCGCATATCCTTTATATCCTTCACGAAGCAAGATGACGTGGGCCAGGGACAACCGCCTGGCAAAAAATCGCGAACGCATTCTTTAAACTCCGGCTCCCGCCTGCTGTCATTTCGTTTGTCGAGTGTAGAGAAAGATCTCTTTGTGTTTGTGCTCACATGTGGGAGCAGCAGCCAGACCACCAGCAGCGCGGCAGACAGCGGTTTGCTCTCGCTGCTCTATAATCCAGGGAGGCGGTCAATGTGGAAACAGCAGCAGTGGCAGGCGCTGCTACAGCCGAGTGGCATGAGGGAGGATAACAGCATTGTCGCGGCTTGGCAAGCAGGGATTGCACTTCAGACGATTCTGCGCGACGGACTCGGTGTGCCGCCGCTGCCCAAGAAGAACGACAGCGCTGTCGAGGTGCCGCGAGAAGGAGAACAGATGCCACAGAAGGAGGGCAGCAGCGCTGCGTGTTCAGCGGCTCCACGGCCGTCTGTTCCGTGGGAGGCGTTGATCACCGCCGCACTGGAAGGCTACAACGTGCTGGACCTTCGCTTCTTAAAGCACCTACATGAGGCCCTGTGGACATACGAAGTGTGGCGGCAACGTCAAGCGCTGGAGAAGCCCATCGACGCCGAAGTGGCGAGTCGGCGGCTACCAGGTGTAACGATTCTTCCGACTAGTACGACGACTGCGACTGCCGCGTGCAGCTCCACGAAGCCGCCACCCGTCTGCCCACTTACGCTTTACACCCCCCACCGGACTTCCATCTTTTCCATGGCAAGAAAAAGCGAGGTAGACGAAGGCGCATGCGTGACACCACCGGCCTCCCTTGTTGGGTCTTCCGTGACCGTGGATGCCGCAGATTTGTTCTGCGCGCTCAGCACCACGTCGACGCTAGTCTCCTGGCTGCTCGCGGCCCAGCGGTCGAGTCCAACGAGCAGTTGGATGGACATCCTCGACGCGATGCCCGCGCGGCAGCAGCAAGAATGGCACTCTGTGGTGGTCGAGTGCTTATCCGCAGCAGTGAAAGGAGCACCTGCGCCTCCTCCGTCCACCAACTCCCCCACCGACCTTCCCCTCTCATCGCCGCCATCGACACCGCAGACGACCTCCGCGTCCTTGCCAGCGCAACGAAAGGTCTCGCAGTCGCTCGACAGGGCCGCTGCAGCGCCGATCTCCGCGTTCGCATGCGATGTGTCCGTCGCCGTGGCGGCCATGCTGTGGCGTCAGCGTTTATTTCATGAACTACTCAAACGTAGCCTCGCCTTCGTGGATGCAACCCCGGCAACAGCGAGCACCAACGATGGTCGCGGCCTTCTCGCCCGCACCGAACTCTCCGCATGCCCTGCACCGCCCGCCGGCCCATTCCCTTGTATAGGCTCTACCCCGTACCTACCGGACGAGGAAGGCCGCGTCACCTACCCGTTGGACATGCGGAACGGCTACCTGCTGTCCTCGCTGGCGCGCGAGGACGTTGAGAACCGAATCGTGCCTCAATTGAAAGAGACGCGGCGGCAGTACGCGGAGGCGCTGCGCACGGCCCGTTCCGCGGCGGCCAGCGCCGTCACCACCGCGATCAAAACGCCGACGGATGTTCCTCCTGCGCCGCCCCCGAAAGCCTCCTCCTCGCTTCTTTTGGCCCTGCAGCAGCGCGTGCACCTGCATCGACTCATGCGGAGCGAACTGCGTTTTATCTCGCTGCTATCTTCTTTATGGAGCCACGAGCAAACAATTCGCGCGTTTAATCAGCACGTGGATGCCTTCAACGAGTTCCTTCGGGCGGAGCAGCAGCGCTGGGGCCCGCTGTACCGCAGCTCCCTCACTGTGGCCTACTGCGTGTGCGTGGAGCTGGCGGAGAAGAAGATGGAGAACCTCTCACCGGATTTGCTGCCGTTTGTCCCAGTCGTGGCCTCGTTTATGGGCTGCCGAGGCGGGCACCGTGAGATGCGCACAAAGCTGCGGTCCGTCATGCTGGACCTGCTGGAGCGCGCCAAGAAGGCGGAGGTACACGTTGATACGCCGCTGTGGCAGGGACAGCGGTCGCGGGTGCTGGCGGAGGCGGTGGCCGCAGCGCAACGCGCCCCGCGGCGTGCAGGAGCCGTGGTGTCGTGCTTGGCGACGGAGTCGGATGTGGTCGCACTGCCGCTGACGGAGGTTGCCTTGCCTGCCGTCCAGCTGAAGAGTTCGCTGCCTCTTACGCCTCCTGGGAATGAATAGCGTTGCGGTGTGTGTGTGTGTGTGACACGCGTGCTGCGTAAATACGGCCTGCACGACGGGCAATGCCCGTTTTCTTTCCCTGTTTCTTCAATAAAGGTACTGTATGTCTGCGTGCTCCCTTTCGATTGATGCTGCATCGCACTTGTCAACCACCTTCGCGATGGGGTGCTGATACTTATTTCCTCTTCGTTTTTTATTTATTTCCTCTCCTCGTCGAACCGCATGGTGCATCTCTTGCATGAAGGGTGAACACGAAGGTGGATGTAGCTGCGCATTTAACGTGATCTATTTCACGAGGTGCAATGCGTCAGCTGAGGAAGGCGAAGCGCATTTTCTCCCATTTGAAAGGGGGCTAAAAAGTGAAAAGAACACTGCGGCCGTCAATTGGTTAGTGCAAGTCGCAGTCATTCATGCCGGTGAAGCAAACTTCGATGTTTTCCCCTCGCCCCAAAGTGTCCCAAGATCCTTCTCCAATGCTGAACACGGACGCTGTTGCCGCCCTCCTTCTTGATCTTCCATTCCTCCTTTCACCGTGTTTTGTTTGATTCCCCCTCCCCTCTCCCCCCTTGCACACAGTGTTTGGACCTTCGCACGCACACTTCCCGAATCAAATTCGGTGCTTCCGAAAGCCATGCGTCTATGGCGGCAGCAGGGTCAGCGTTGGGAGATGCGTCGCCTCCACAACGTTGCTGCAACCTACCTGCGCGATGCCCAGCAATTCGTGTCGCCAATTCTTTCTTCGCGCTGTTTTCAGTCGACATACAAAACGGGGGCGTCGTCGTCCCCACGGGCGGTGCCGTCCGAACGCGAGGAAGAGACGCCGCCAGAACCGGTAGACAGCGATGAGAACCTTTCTCGCCTGCGTGAGCTACTTGGCGAGGTCAGCCCGAAGGACAGCGCGGCTCTCTTTTTCAAAACGCACCTTCCCCTTCGCGAAGAGGTGTGGCCAAACCTCATATGCACCGCACCTCCAACCCCCAAAGCTCCATTACCATCAGCAGCATCGTCAGCGGTGGCGGCGACGACGTTGACTCCTCAGTACAACAGCGTCGCAGCCATTAATAACATACAAGAGCAGCAGCAGCAGCAGACAAGAGCGAAGGCGGTCCACTCGCCGCAGCACCGCGATCCGCTGCGCTGGTACGGCGGCCCCCCAGGAGTGATAAGAGATGTGGACTACTTTACAGCTACCATGGCCGCGCAGTTCAACGATTTCTTTCGTACGCAGTATTACATGCAGAAGCGACCAACTGCGCCTCTGCTGCGGTGTCCGGCCTGTGCAGCCCAACTGCTTGCGGTGGAAGAGCAAGGAGCAGAAAAGATAAGCGGTTTGCGGAGCAGCTACTTGCGTACGCCGACGTCGTCGCGGCTGTGGATGGACCCACCAGCACTGGACCGTCACCTCAGCTGGGCACACCCGGATCAGCTCTACACCCCTCAGGAGCTCGCCGCCTACAACGATCAGGTGCATCGCGAGCTTTTGTACAGCTGCGGGTTGGCTGCCGCCGTCCGCTCCGCCTGCGGCGTGGACAGGAACAACACAGCGGAGCCGTTGGATGAGTGGAAGACGACGCCGGCGCGGCTTATTCTTGCCGTCGACGTGGCCAACGTGGAGATGGGCGCCTCCGCGACGGTGCTGGACATGCTCACCTCAAGCGAGCTGTGCCGCATCTTTGCGCAAGTCCCCGTCGCGATCTGTGCGACGCATGAGTTGTTCGTGCCGTTTGCGTCGAAGATTCTGCACGCGCTTTATCAGCTGGCGCTGCTGCACCCCTCCTCGACGCTGCACCCCTTCGCCGCGAACACCTCGCTGGAGTCGGGCGATGTGATGATGTCGGCCTACGTGAATGAAATGATGCTGGCGAGTCGCACACGAGCGATACCGCCTGTGGTGCTACTCACAAACGATGGCCAGCAGCGGCAGGTGGCGAAGGAGATGCACGGGTCGGCGCAGCGGACCCTGTCGCCGGTGGGGGTTGTACGATTCGCCTCGCCGGGCCTCGTGTCCAGCTTCGCAGAGGAGATGCGAGCCGCGCTGACAGGCAGTTTTTGGAAGGTGTAAAGACAGAAGAAAGAAAGATCAAACGAGTTGTGCAGCTCCTTCACGCGAGAATGTCGTTCACGCTGACTTAAAGGATAATATGAACTCCCTCCTCACCGCTTTCATTACAACTTAAGGTAGAAGTAATAATGATAGCAGCAGCAAAAGAGGTGCAACGACAACGATTGGGCCGTGCTTTACGTAAGTGATCTTTTTAGAAGTTTTTTTTCTCCTGCTGAAGCCTCTGAAAGGGTTAGCAGTTGTGCATGTTGCTGCATGAACGCCTCTTCTAGCCTCTCTGCTGGTTTTCCTCGTAATGAGCGAAGTGTCCTGCATATCAAGCGTTTTCTCTGTTGCGTACTCTGTGCCTTTTCCTTATACCTCTTGTCTTCTATTTTTCTCGTTCTTTGATGACGGGCCCCTTCGTTGGACCACAATCGCTTTTCCAACCGCCGCTGCGTCTTCGCTCTCCTCTATAATAATAATAATAATAACCCCTCCAGTTCGTTTTTATCGAAAGGTATCAGCTGTGACCTCCTCGCTCCCTAACGCAAACGCATTGAGAAAGAAGAGAAGGAAGCCGGTCACACTCTCCGTCGCCCTTTCTTCTGTCTGTCCTAGTAGCTAACCTTTTCTTGTTCTTTGTGCACACGACATCGCAATGCTGCGCCGCACGCAAGCCTCCTTTCTCCGCCGCACCCCCGTGCGTCTCAGCGGTGGTGACCTCTACCACCCACCGAAGCTGGAGAACATCCCGCCCACGACCGGCACGCGGGGCTTCTTCGGCGCCTACAACGGCCCTCTCATGGGCTGCCGCCTCATCGACATCAAGTGGATGATGAACCGCGCCGTCGAGCTGGGCCGTGAGTACTACATTTCTGCCCCGACGCTGTATCTGTTCTTGTGGATGTTCTGCTGGAAAGGATTCGTGATTGTGCGCTACGGCGACGGCAAGCCGCCGCGCGCGGTTGATTGGAACACTGAGGAGACCGGCTACCTGCCGCAGGGCTTCGAACAGTCTAAGGTGACGAAGCAGGTCTAAAAGAAGAAGAAGAAATGAGGCATCCAGAGGGAGAGAGGAAAGAGAAGCATGAAAGAATGCGGAAAGGGCTCTTTTTTTTTTCTTCATGAAGACGCGCTATCGCCAACAGTAATGTGTTTCTTTACGGCGGGTGACAAGCTTGTGTTGCTGTTGTTGTTCCTCTGGATTGTCTTTTCCTTCTTTTTCTTTTGTTGATGCAGCGGCTTCACCTTCGCGAGAAGGTGCGGCGGCGACACAAATCAGCACGCAGCGATGCGTGCGCTTAGGGACGGTTGTGTCACGGGTGGGGGGAGCGTATGTCGGTCGTAGTGCACCTGTTCGTTCTTACATATTCAAGTACTTAGGAAGCAAACAGTAAGTTCTCTTTTCCTTTTTTCTTTCTTTCCATATCACGAATACTTACGCAGATGTTCTCGTCGCTTGGCAGTGGATGGGATTTCCTGAGTGGCGGCTTTAAAAGAAAAAAAAGTATTGTCTTCCGCCATCACAACGGGGGCAAATTACATCCACCAGGAATATGAGGAGCTTTTTTTCTGGAATACATGTCGCGGAAAAGTACGGGTGTGTGGCATCTCTTTTGTAGGAAAGGAAAGGCGAATGAACTGTTTGTATTGTAGTGTGTCGTTAAACCAACTATATATGCATAAAAGACTGAGAAAAAAGAAAAACAAGGATGTTACAGTGGCGTGATACATGTACAAGACGTGCGCTGGTCATCGAGTTGTGATCCGACTTCGCGTCCGTGCAGTGACGTTGACCATCTACTACTCTCTTGGTATGAGGTCGGTCAACTCAAGAAGGAAGTGTTCACTGATCTTGTTGTTGCCGCTGTTGGCAGCAACAGGATAAGCAGCGGCTTTACTGCTACGGATGCCACTTCACGAAATTTCGTAACAGTGATTCGTGGCGATGCTTGCGAGAGGTGTGCCTTTTGATGCCCTGATGCCCTGCTGACTTGTGTGTGTCGTTACGCGGCTTTCACTTCGCTTTTCTTTCTTTCTGCCTCTCTTGTGTTTTTCTTCGTCTGCCTCACTTCATACAGCGGTTTTTTTTCCCCCTATCTCCTGCTGTCTCCGCTGCACGCATTTTCTCTGTTTAGTAGAGGGCACAATTGGTGCACGCAGCCGCGTTGACTTTTATCGGCTGACTTCTCGTGTTGATGCTGTGGGTTGTGTCCGTTTTATTTTTTGTTACATATCGCGTACAAAACGAACTGCTTTTGCTCTTCTGATTTGTCTTTTTAAAAAAAAATAATAATATCGATAACTACGTTGAACGCTGCCATCAAGAAGAAAAGGGCGTATGTAAAAACACGAGTGATCGCGACAGCGGTGATTGTTTTTCCCTCTTTGTGAGGTGGCACTTTCCTTTTCGAGTTGTCCGAAGCAGCGCTGATATACATATTTGGCACTGCCAGTTTTTTTGGTGTTCATACCTTATCTGTTATGTGTTTCAGCGTCCCGATCGTTTCAGTGTGTGTTTCTTGTCATTTCTTGTGATGGATTTACTATCTTCGTTACGACCCTCTGTGTTTTGTCGAATACGTGTGATCTCGCACCGTGTGCAGCACGCACGTCAACCTGCTCGCTGAGCGGTAGACATAGTCCTCTCGTTGCGTTCCTGGACTGTTTCTACAGGTTTTTGTTTTATCACTGTATTTGAGAACACACGAAAAATAAAAATCATATTACGAGTTATTGCGAAGTTTGCTAGAAATGGACTTCTTTTACGCTGCTAACGCGGCAGATCTCACGCCGCTGAAGACGGAGCTGGTGGATTTCGTCTCCTCCTGCTTGATGAAGGAGCCGCCTTACGAGGCTATCCGACCAGATCAACTCTCGCGTCATCACAACGCCAGTCGAAAACGCGAAACACCAGAGGCACCACAGCACCTCCCTCAAGAAGAGAAGCCGCCGGTGAGCGATGGTGTCGCGACTGTGGCGCATATGCGAGAGCTGGTGCACCTCATTTCTCGCCAGGACGGTGAATTTGTGCTGAAATTGGCTCTCTACACGCGACGCACGCTGCACCTACGTAGCTCCCCGAACTACCTCGTCGCCCTGTGCGCACGGGAGCCAAACTGCATTCCCTTTCTGCAGCCGTACATGGAGAAAATCGTGATGATCCCGCCGGACTGGCTGGCGATAGCGAACTTCGCCTACTTTTACGACTGCGACGCGGCGCACGACTTCTCTTGTTTCCGCGCGCCGTACACCGAAGACGAAGACGGCGAAGCAGAGGGTGACACGGTGAGTCAGGTGTCCGCCGGCCTTGTGCGCTCGCCCGCCACCGTCATGCACAGATCTGTCAGCTCGAAGGACTCTCCTGCAGGCCGAACTACTCCCTCGTGGACTAGCCGTGAAGCGCGCCCCCCGACGCGCGGTGAGAAGAGCGAAAGAAAGAGGCGGAAATCGAAGAAAACCCCCACTAGCACAGCGGCGGACCCGACGCGATCGTACCTGCCGACGGCACTGCGTACGAGCCTCGTGCACTGCTTCGCGACGTTCACGCCCTTCAGCATGTCCAAGTACGACAACGAGGCGGCCGAGCACCGTGCGCACCGGAAGGCGCGGCAGCGTCTGCAGAAACAGCAAGCGCACGACGAGGATGCCGAGCGATCTGGCAGCGAGTCAGCGGAAGACAGCAGCAGCGATAGCGACGATGAAAACGTCAAAGCGGAGGGCATGGGGGATATTGCGGCGTCCGCCCACGCTGCGCGCCGCCAGCGCAGGGCGACCTTCACCTACAAGCTGCTCATTCGCGTGTTGCACATCACTCAGCCAGCCTTTTTGGTGTGCTGCATTCTCGGCAAACAGTACCCGTCGAGTGAAGAGGCCTTCATGCAGATGGGGTTACACCGCACCGATCCAACGTGGATGCCCGCTGCAGACTTAGCCCGCAAGGTCCTCCCATCGAAGCCACAGAATAGACCTAAGAAAGCTGCGACGCGAGAAGAGACGGCTGAAAGCGACGTAGCCGAAAACACCGAGGCGGCGAGGCAGCCTTACTGCATCTTTCACCCGACGTTAAGTGGCACACGCATGCGCCTGCCAGTCGTGCAGACCTGGGAAACGTTGCTGTCAAAGGAAGGCAATAAAGGCAAAGTCTGGGACTTCCTCATCGCCTCGCGCGCTGTCGGCTACATGGCGCTGCTGCGCAACTTGCGGAACATTCTGACCCGCACGTGCAGCGCGGCGACGCACAAGCTCGTGTTGGAGAAGTTAGTGGATGAGCAGCAGGTCGCGATGAGCCAGCAGCTGCCGTACCGGTTTTACAGCGCCTACGTGGCCGTAAAAGAGGTGCGCGAGATGGCGGTGTTACTGGCATATCAGCGACCCGCTTCCAGACCAAAAGCGCAGCCCGGTGGCCGAGGTAGTCGCAGCGGCCGTGGAAATCTTCGTGGAGGTCGTGGTAACATGCGTGGAGGACGGCGCGGTCGTGGGGCCGCCGCCGGCACCGTTGTGGAGGGGAATGAATTCGACGAACGAGTCCGACGTGCACACGCCAGCTTTGAAGCCCCCGCGGCGTCGCTGAAGTTCCTGCACCGGTATTTGGACCTGTACACGGCCGCCGTCGACTCCGCCGTGAACACCGCAGCGCGCCTCAACGTTATTCCGATGAAGGGCACGTCGGTTGTGATTCTGTGTGTGACGCAGGCGCTGATGGAGTGCATGACGGCGACGGGTGCGGCTGTGGAGACCGCGTCCATTCAGCGCAAAATCGATGTGGCCGCGTTGTTGATTGCCATGCTGATGCGCAGCTGTGAGCAGTGCGTGGTGCTACTGTACTGCTATGATGAGTACGTGGTGTTTCGCGAAGATGATTACGCAAATACGGCTACCGAGGCAGACCTCAGCGCCGCTGCGAACGCGAACGAGGAAGCACACAAAAACAGCGGAAGCAGCAGCAACAGCAACGGTGACTGGCGTGGCAGTGACAGCGCGCTGGACGACGGCAACACCAACTTCGAGTCACGAAGCAGTGACACCTCAGACACCGATCCCCTCGAGAACACCTGCACGCTGCAGACGCCTCACAGGCTCAGCTTTATGAAATTGGTGGATGCGCTCGTGTTGGCGAGTACGCAGCTGCTCACCCGTAAGACGGACAGCGAGGCGGCGGTGCAGAGGTGCACCTGCGTCGCCACGTCCTTCGACATGTTTTCCGAGGGCTCCGGGGCACAGTTCCCCTACGCCTTTCTCGACGAAGTCATCGAACGCAGCATGCGCGTCGAGTCCCTCCTCGTCTTTGATGAGGGTACGCACCGCACCTACGCACAGATGAACCCCAACGCACCAGCCTTCGGTGACCTGCCCACCTATCTCTCGCGCATGCGCCGCACCGGCAGCCCGGATCTTGTATACGTCGGTGTGAACTTAAAAGCCGCCAGCCCACTCTCCTCGCAGCGCGCCCTCAGCGGTGGAGCTGCACAGGTGGCTCTGCAGCGCGCCGCCGTGAAGGACCGCTTCCGCCACCACAACGATCTTCTTCTCACCGGGTTTAGCGACGCGATTCTACGCCTTGTAGCAGAACGGGTCGGTGGCGGGGCCCTGGCGGTGATCGAGCGGGCGGCGGAGACCTACGAGGTGGCTCGCTTTTCCGCTCGCGCAAATCATGAGGCGTTGGCGGAGCGGGCGAGGGCCCTGAAGCTCATCAGCGCCCTCCGCGAAGGGAACTACGACGCCGCAGGAGCAGCTGCAGCCGGCCGTGGCTCGCCGCCCGTAACGCCGCCACCCAGTGCAGAGGCAAATGCAGCGGTGGACGACAGCGTGAACAGGAAAGACACTCCGCCGTCTCATCCTCCTCCTTCGGCTTTCGCATTGCCTCACAAGGACCCTGCAATGCTCTCCGCTGCAGCTGCAGCAGCGACGACGACGGTCACGTTGCCTTCCTTCGACGCTCTCGGCAAGGTCGTTACATCTGCGGCGTGGGAGGTGGACTGGGGGCCCCGCTCGCGGAGCAGCGAGCGTCAGCTGCAACAACTCACCGGCAGCTCCGCCGGCCTCTCCTCCTGCAGTTCACCAACCTCCCTCGTCGCGCCGTCTGCGGCCGGTGCGGAAAGTCTGGCGACGAGCGGCCCTGCCGCCCTGCCCAGCATACGACGTCTGCTCTCCAAGCGCTCCATCGTGGAGGCCGAGGCGTCGGAAGTGTGGAGTCGCACCGGTGGCGTTTTCTCTTCCGCTGCAGAGGACGCCTCGCCGTCCGAAAACCACGTTACGGGGGGCGGCGTGGTTGCGGATGTGGAGGAGGCGGCGTGGCTGGCCCCGCAAGGCAAGCAGGTCTCCTCCATCTATCACCCAAGGCCGTTTATTTCGCTCGTGAAGCTGCTCTCCGCGTCGTCAGAGCGGTCTGCGTTTACGCCTGCCGACGGCGGCGTGGACGACAGGGTAAAGGGAGCCGCTGCGAGGACGACGGTGGGCCGATGCCGTCGAACGGCACACGTGCCATCGCGGTCTGCAACGCCATCGCCCTCCACAACGGCCGCACAAACAACACCACAGAAAGCAGCACAGCGACGCGACAAACACGTACGCGGCTGTGCGTCCTCCGTCTCGCCCACACCGGCGTTCTCCACAGCATCGAGTCGGCATAGAAAGGGAACGAAGATGCACGCGGTGTTCCCGTGCACGCAGCTCGGTGTTGTCCGTCGCCTCCTCACCTCCTACCGCATCTGCCGCTTCTTCATTTCGAGCACGTTTGTCGACATGAACAACGAGCGCAACGCCATCACGCTCGACGTCTTCCCCCGCCTGCGCCGCTGGGCCGCAGAGGTTGGGTTGAAGGTGACGCTGCTGGAGGTGGATCTACGCTGGGGCATCCCTGCGGTCGCGACAACACGCAATTTGTCGACGTCTGTCTGCTTGAATGAGGTCTCGCGGTGTAGTCCGTTCTTTATTGGCATGATCGGCGCCCGCTACGGGTCGTGCCCACCTACGCCGCTGCAGCTTGTCGTCGACGAGGACGTCGAGGCGAGCGACTACGGTTGGATGACCGAGCTGACGCACCCGCACGTGTCGGTGACGGAGCTAGAGATGCGGCACGCGATGTACAACACACGCCGCCGGCTCGGCTACGACGACACCGCCACGGCGCTCTTCTTTGCGCGCGACTTCGACCACCTGATGTCCACCTTCAGCCCTGCGGACGTCGCTGCACGGCGCGTGTACGAGGCCGACTCACCGACCGCGACGCAGGCGATCTCAGCGCTGAAGCAGCGCATCGTAGGAACTGGGTGTGCTCTGACCATCTACAGGGCAGCGTACAACCAATCGAATAAGAAGTCTCTCACCGTAGAGTCAGCGGCAGTGGTGACGAACAGCATCCGCCCCGATGGCGTGGGCGATGTCTCGGAAGGTAAGTACAGCAGTATCACCAGTGGCAGTGGCGGGGGTGGCGGTGATCGTGTTCGCACGGCACAGCAATCGAGCACGCGTGCCATGCTGGAGGACGATTTGGGTCGATGGGCCGTTCGCGACGGCCGCGCGCTCGACGCGGTAGGACCGACAGCGCACACGACGGAGCGCAACGGCGAGAACGCCGACTCCCTCTGGTCGCTCGTGACCACCCGCATCAGCGACACCGAAGAATCGCGGCCGCTGACCTCGACCGACGTCCCGCTCGATATGAGCGACTTCTCTGCGAAGGTGTTTGTCGCGTTGCAGGACGTAATTCGACGCATCTGCGGTGTGCACACGGGCGACACCAACCGCGCAGAGGCGGACTCAGAAGCCGTGACGCAACGCGGGGAGGTGAAAACACGTAGAACGGAAGAGGCTGCGCCACGCCACACGAATGGGACTCCGTCGGAGGATAAGGCGAATGTAGTTGAAGTTGCGTCCCCTACCTCGCCCACCGCCGTGAACGCGCCCGACCTCTACGGGACGCTCATCGTGGCGCAAAGCGAGTACGCACGGAAGCTGTCCGCACTGTACGCCGCGCCGCGTGGGTTGCTGGAGCAGCTCTCGAGCTTCGCGGTGGCTGGCACACTGCACACTTCTGCCGTCTCTTCCTCACCCCTGCGACCTTCGCCATTGTCGACAGAGGCCGCCACCGTGAGAGATCGGGCAACGTCGCCGAGTACGCTGGCGGGTGAGAGAACCACGACGGATTCCTCGCAGGACAACGGCGCTCTTACCACGGACGAACAACGCGGAAGCCTCACCACGCGCAACGGCAGTGTGAGCCATCACGGTCGTGGAAGCAACGGCCTTCGCAAGGCAAGCGCGCATTCGGTGGGTAGCGCGAGCTCCATTTTACTTGTGGAAGGCGGCGACGGCGACGGCAAGTCGTCGGCTCTGGCCGCTCTTATGGAGCGCATGCTGCTCCCCATGCACAAGGCGGCTCCCATCGCGGAAGCGCGGCCTTTTCTCTTTTACTCCACTCAAGCCGGCGACGACTCCGTGCGTTCGCTGCTGCTCTTCCTCGCCACCACGTACAGGGCGCTCTTCCACCTCTACGCCGAGGTGTCCGTGCAGGAGTCCGACTCGATAGAGCAGCTGCTGCTCATGCTGGACCAGGCCTACGCCACAGTCCACCGCCGATACGAGGCGTCTGCCACGGGCAGTGCGGGCGGTACCGCTGCGGCGGGGCCGGCGGCGCTGGTTGTCATCTTGGATGGCCTCGACAAGTCCTCCGAGTCGGTGGAGTTGGTCAGTCTGCTCGGTACGATTTTGCACCCCCTTGCGGCACCGCACATCCGATTTATCGTCTCTGCCTGTCCGCGATCGCAGCTGGCGAGCGCGTTGCGTACCCGCACCCCCGCCGCGCGTGTGGTGCCGCTGCCGCTGCTGAGCGAGGGCGAGCGGGCGCAGCTGGTACGCCTGCACCTCGCCGCGTACGGGAAATTGCTGGAGGAGTCGTTCTCTGCGGATGAGTTGAAGACGCTGCTGCGCAAAGCTGGCGCCGGCCGCCCCAGTCGCCTCATCTCCGCCATCACCTACCTGCGGCTGTTCAGCACCTTCGACACCCTGCGCGAGGACATCCGCGCCCTCCCGGCGACCTCGACGCAGCTCTACGTGAAGTTCTTCCACCAGCTGCAGACCCGCTTCGACGGGCCGACTACTCGTCTCGTGCTGACGCTTCTCCTTCTCCGTCATCCCGTCGGGGGTGTGATGGAGTACAACTTGTACCGCCTCGTCTCGAACGTTGCGGTGGCGTCGCGGCTGGTGGCGCTGCTGCGCGGCATCTGCGTGGACTCGCACCACGGCCGGCTCTTCATCACCTCGGCGGCCTTCGTCACGGCAGTCGCGCGCACGTACCTCCCCTATGCGTCGGACTGGCAGAGCGCCCAGGAGCGAGTGCTCGTCGCGGAGCTGCGGTATCAACCTGTGGACATGACGATGGATGCACAGGAGGTGCGGCAGGCGCTGTGCCGTACGCGGGAGTCGATCGAGCGCAATGCGTCGACCCCGCTCGCATCGTGCCTCTTCTACCCCGAGCGCTACAGCCCTCGCGAGTTGCTCGGTGTGCTGCAGGGATCTGTGCAGGCAAGCCGACTAGACATCACGGCGACACTCGTGTGCTACCTTCCTTTTCTCGAGTGCGTGATGGTCAGCCGGCGAATGCTGTCGCAGCTGATCGGGCTGCTCTCCTCGACGATGCACGCCACGAAGCGGCTGGACGACACGGTCACACCTGTCGTCGCCGTTGCTGGTGCTGTAGATGGCGACGTCGACCTGATCAACGGCGGGGATGCGGTGGAAAGTGAGGGCAACGTCTTTTCTGGCGGAAGTGTACCACTGCAGTGGCATCACTACCGCAACGAAGTGCGCCGCATCGGCAACGCGTTGGAGTTTCTGCAGACGCATTACCACATTCTGCTGCGGCAGCCATCGCTGCTGCGGCAGTGCGTGTGGAACGCCTTGTCTAGGGGCAGCTGCATCAGCGTCTACGACACGGCGTCGACAGCGCTAATGCGAAGCACTGCTCTGCAGAAAGCGCCGCTTTCCTCACGTGTAGCGGAGAATGACGAAATACCAAAGGAGCCACTTCACGACACCGGCCTTCACCCCTCAGCGGGGAGCACAGCAGTCTCAAATACGAAGACAGATGTAAAGGATGCTGCGGCGCTGTGGGTACATTGGCTCAACCTGCGCCAGCACGGCGGAGAGACGCGTGTTTTACTCACGACGGCGTCCCCGCTGGCCATTCGGTGCATGGCGTTGAGCCCCGACGAGGCGGAAGTCGCGCTCGGCGGTGACGACGGCTTTGTGCGTCGCGTCCGCACGAGCGACGAGGAGGACGCTCTGCTAACCTCTCAGCAGAGTGGGCTAGAGAAAGCGGGTGGTGGTGCCGGTGCCGGTGGTACAGGTGGGGATCGCAGTCGTCTCGGCTCTATGCTGCGGCACGAGTCGGCCGTGGCGGCGGTGCGGTACGTGCCACCGCAAACCCATGGAGGGCCCGCGAGCGGCTTTACCGGACGCAGCGTTGGTAGTGGTGGATTTGCTGCCTTTTCCGCCTCTTCCTCCTCTTCTCCCACGCCGCAGTTGTTGGTGTCCGGCTGTGTTCGTGGGATTGTGTACGTCTGGAACCTCGAGGACAACTCCCTGCTGCAGCGTGGCACGGGGCACCTACGCAGCATCAGTGGCCTCGTGTGTCACCCGCTGCAGCCCATGCTGCTGTGCAGCGGCAGCCACGACTCGTACGTGATGCTATGGAATTTATGTGGCTCACCATCGCAGCTGAGCGAGGAGGTCTCGACGGCCATCGCGCGCCGCCTGCCCAAGTACCCGGCGAACTCGCCCGAACGGCGACGACAGCAGCAGCAGCAACGGCGGATGATGAGCAGCGACCAAAACGGGAGCGAAAGCGAAGGCCGCGGCGCCGCGGCGGTCTATCAGAGCTCCCTCGCAGCTCGTGCCACCGCGGCACGGCCTGCGTACCTGACGCCGCTCATCGCCTTTCACAAGGAGCGGCAGCACCGCGGCCCGGTCGCCTGCGTCGACTTCCACTGCACGGGCGACATCATGGCCAGCGGCAGCTGGGACGGGGCACTGTTGCTGTACAACACTCGTGCGCTCTGCACCCCGCCGCCGGTGCTGCCGTGCATTCCGCCGCCGCCGCGTGGGTCTGCGAGTGGGCAGGCGGCCGCCGTGAAGAAGCCAATGAAGTGGCGGGTGCGGCACGGTGCGGAGTATCAGCGCGTCGCGTTTCGCACGATGGAGTTTGACCTCAAATCGCCGGTGCGGTCGCTGAGCTTTACGAACTCGCTCGCTGTGACCTGCATCGTCGGCTGCCACAACGGTGCTATTTTTATTGTCGACTACGCCTCCGGCTCCGTCGTGGCGCGCTGGACCTCGCTGCACACGGCTCCGATTACGCGTGTGCTCGCCTCACCGGACGGGCGCTGCGTAGCATCTGCCGATGAGCGCGGCGTGGTGCGACTGACCTACATGGGCATCTCTGGCACCGTCTTCGCTACCCTCAACGGCCACCAGGGCGCCGTGACCGGTCTGTGCTTCCGCGCTCCATTCGAGTCTGCCGCGGAGGTGCTGGAGGCGCCGCAGCTGATACTCTTGACCACTGGCGAGGACCGCACGCTGCAGGCCTGGCGGGTGAATAGCAGCAGCGGGCCCGATGTGAAGTCCTCGACACAGTGTCTGACAACGTCGCACAGCACGGCCGTGACAGCCGTGGCGACCTCCGCAGACGGGCTGAAGCTCGTGACCGGCTCCGCGGACGGCACGGCCATTGTATTTTGTCTCTCGGAGGAAGGTGGCGTGGGCGGGGGGTGGACGAGTGGTGGGCACAACGACGCGACCACCACCACCACTACGGGCACCAGCAGCGATCACGCGGTCTTCACGAACAGTCTTCGCACGCTCGCAGCGTACAAGAACACCGCGGCGCTATTGCAGTCGAGCGCGGCCCGGCCAATGACGCCGTCGTTCGTGCTGCGCCACGATGACTGCCGCATCACTTGCATTACATTTGCGCTGCAAGACACCAAGATTGTGGTGGGTGTCGTCTTTGGGCTGGTGTATGTGTGGTCTGCCGCGCCGGGCCTGAATCGAATCGAGGGACGTCTGCTGCTGCGTGTGCAGGTGCCGGAGCACGGGCTCTACCCGGTTGTCTCCTTCAACGTGCAGGAAAGTGTTGCGGCGGCAGCTGCCTCACACTGGTCATCGGAGCTGTCGCCGGAGGTCTTCACCTCGCTTAGTGTACGGCGCTGCACGGCAGAGAGCAGCAGCAGCAGCCTCGCATTGCCCTTCTTCACCTCTGCCGCTACCTCTTCGCCCTACGACACGGCCGACGACAGCAGAACAGCCCACGTGACGGCCATCTGCGCCAACGGTGATGTGGCGGTGGTCAAGCTGCTCAGCGAGGCCGCCTCGCGGGTGATGGTGGCCGATCAAGACCGACGTCGGCATCAGCGACGACTTCGCCACCGCAGCAGCAACAGCTTCAGTCTGCGCGCCGGCAGCCTTAGCAACAGCGGCGGTGGCCTTGCGCTGTTCGAGGGGGACCGGCTCTACTCCTCTGACGTTGACATGCTCAGTCAGACCGTGCCCTACCCGACCACCAACCAACCCGCACCCGCCGCGCCCCTCCCGCAGCCATGGAGAACGTTGAAGTCGCAGACGAGGGAAGGACCGATGGCACAGCCTTCTGTGATACTGGAAGTCGCCACCACCCTCGCCCCGCACCCAGACCCGAGCATTTTCGCAAAGAGGCAACGGGCGGCCCACCGTGAACTTCTAGATCGGCGGGCCATGAAGCTGCAGCATCTTCTCGCACGGTGTCATGTGAATGAGATGGAGCTGCGCGAGAGCTTTCAGCTGGATCTCCATCGTCACCGGCTACAATGGGCTGACGTGGAGGCTGCAGAGGAAATCACCGCCGTGGTATGGCTGACTGAGGGGGTCGGCGGAACAGCTGCGCAACACCCACCGCAACAGCAACCATTAGAAGGAATGAAGGCAAGTTCAGGCGAGGGAAGAGGGGGCGATGGCGAGAGCCGGCACCGCAAGCTAGCGTTGGTCGTGACGCAGCGCAAGCTGTTCTTGATGCTCAGCAGCGGGTCCGAGAGTGCGGTGAGCGGCGGGCTGAACATCCGTATCTCTCGGCAAACACCAGACGCGGCTCTCGTATTGAAAAACGCGGAGCAAATGCCGGAGGAAGGCGTCATCGTCGCGCGTGCGTCTGACTCTGACAAGGAGGAAGAGAATGCGACATGGAGTGTCGGTGCGCCGTGTCTGCAGACGGATCTCGCACAAGGTGCAGCGGTCATCACTCACGACCATCTACGCGAGGCGGAGGTGGACGTGGATTACTTACTGAGCGAGGAGGAGTACTTCACCGCGGCCAGCACCGCCATGCTGGTGGCAACCATCACCTCCACCTCCACGACAGCAACATCAGCAGAACGCAACGTGTCGTGCGGCGTCGCCTCCACCGCACACATCAGCAGCGGCGCAGCGGCACAAAACGCGGAGGCGGCAGCAACGAACACGGACAGAAAGCGTGATGCCACTGCACAGTTGTCGCCGCTGACGAGCGCGTTCGTTGTTGCGCTGACGACTAGCCGTGGCGAGGTGTTGCTGCTGCGCATTCACGTACCACACCTGCACCGGCGAGATGCACCTCGTCGCTCCTCGCCACCGCGTACATCGTCTTCAAAGTACAGAGAAGAGAGTGGTCTGAGAGGAAGTACAGCCGCGACGGCACTTGAGCTGCGTACGCACGTCCTGCCGCTTGTGCAGGTGCATCTGTGTCAGCGTCTGAGCTTCACAAAGGTGTCCGCGGCCGACGCGATGGGCGAAAGCGGTACGGCGGCAAGCGGATCTGCCGCACCACAACGAATGTCTGTTACCCCTCTTGTCACCACCGTGCAGCTCAGCGTGCTACCGAACGAATTGGCGGCGGCGCTACCACCCTGCCCACCCTCACCTGCGCTCGAGAGCGGGAAGGCCACGGCTGCTGCCGCTTCTTTGCAAATGGTCAATGCAAACACAGTGGATAAAGTTGTGTTGGCGGCAGGCTGCAGCGATGGATCGGCGCGTGTGTGGATGGTCCCGACGTCACCGCTCGCCGTGCGTGGTGGCCGCGGCAGCCGCACGCCAATTCTCACCTCTTCCGGTGACTTCACTGATGGACCGTCAGCGGCCTCGTCGTCCCTGTCAGACGTCCCTGTCGGATGCTTCTTTTGCTCGAGCGCGGTCAACGTAACCTCGCCGCTCCTGCAGGTGGTGTCCACAGCGCAGGAAAGGCACAAAGGCTGGATGCGACGGTCTGCCACGTCTGCCCCGCTGCCGCTGCCGCCGCTTCAGCAGCCGCGGTGGGTCGTTGGCGATGCCCTCGGCAACGTCTATCAGCTGCAGCTGGAGCGCGACGCACCGGGCGGGGCGGCGACAGCGCTATTGCGGTGCTCCGCCGCACCGGAAAGATCATCGACCGCGGCACTGTATGGCAAGACACAGGTAATCGATGACGATGACGACAGCAAGCGTCGTGCACTGTTGAGCAGGATCATGACCGCAGGCGGTGCTGAGCTGCGGCCGTGGGTTTCTTCCTTGCAGAAGCTGGTCGGTATGATGGAGCATCTGCCCCCAACGGCAGTGCTGCAGGCCCTGACAACGAGCAGCTCATCTACAAATGAAATGGACGCTGGCGTGGCAGGCAACGGCGGCAGCCGCGATGATTACGATGGTGGTGGTGGTGGTGGTGGTGGTGGTGGTGTTGGGGCTTCGTGGTCAATGGGGGCGTCGCAGACGCCTGCAGACTGGCTGACTTCTGTTGACTTTTCTGCCCCGGTGAGCGCAACGCTGCTGAAGCGCAGCCGCGTCACGCCTTCTTCTACGTTTACCTCCTCCAACGGCACTTCAGCTGCTCACGCCGCACACGAACGCACAGGCGCCCTTCCCTCTGTCAGCTCCTCTGCAGATCAAATCCCGCACTGCCTCCCAGCGCAAGAGTGGCTCATCTTGCCACGCCTACCAACGGCGCTGCATACGACCCCTTTCACTTCTCCTGATTCTTTCGCTGCGCTGACTTCCGGACCGCAGCAGTCGCTGCTGCGCACCGCCGACGAAGCACAAGATTCCTTCAATGTACATGGCCTTGCGTTGAATGTGCTGCCCGCACCTTCCGCTGCTCTTCCCTCCTTTGGATCGTCGCCGCCGCGGCAGCAGCCACCGCAGCGTTCTTCATCAGCGCGTCGCACCAGCAACGACGACGGCGACGCGGCTCTCCACGCAGACTTTGTAACGCCCCTGTCCGATCTGCTCACGGCCTATCGCCGGAACGGGCAAGAGGGCGAGGAGGGCAAGACCGTGGAGGGTGAGATGACGCGACTCTCAACGATGCTTCGCGGGTCTTCCACTTCGAATTCCTCACACAGCAAGAGCTGCACGACGTCGCCCTTCCTCGCCGCTCGGTTGGTGCCACACACGGCAGGTGGGAAGGCAGCGCAAACATCGCATGTGCGTACTCCAGAGGATACCGTGCCGTCTGCGGCAAAGAAGAAGCTAAGCGAGTTGGACATTTCTCGCTCTGCGGCGACAAGTGTAAAGCCATTTGTGCGATTTGAATTGACACCCCCGCCTCCGCTCGTGTCTTTATCATCGGGTGCTACACGGAGCGAGGCCGCGGCTGCACTTCACAGGGATGCTGCTGTGCCACCGTTCACAAGCGTTCCGATTGAGAAGGGGAGCAACGGTGTACATGCGGAGGGAAGGGACGGGGAAGGGGAAGACGAGGAGGAAGAAGAATACTTCCACATTCTCTACAAGTCGGGACCGCCACCGCCAGTTTCGCCTGGCGTGGTGAACAGCGCCGAGATGAAGCGGAAGTGGCTTCTGCGGCAGCAGGCGGTGTTGAAGGAGGCGACGCGTGTGCAGCAGTACAACAAACAGGCGAGAGCGGCGCTGCAGGCCTATCAGCAGCGCGTGGCATCCGCCGTAGGAATGTAAAGCAGACAACAAATAGTAATGCTGTAAGAGGAAAGAAGGCGGAGCTGACGCGCTGGTTTCAAAACACGTAACGGTGTTTTTTTTTCTGAAACAGACTATCTTCATTTTGTTTGCATTGGTCTACTGATTTCTCCACCACGGCTGACCCTCTCTCTCTGCGTGTGCAGCCGGGCGCCATACTGCGATGAAGCGATACATCGTAACGAGAGCAATTATACCCCTTTTTCCCCTCTAACGATATAGGTGAAGTGCGAACGACGATGGGGGAGGGGGTGGAACGAGCCCGGGTGCTTGTTATTCAGTGATCCCACGCTAAACAAGAAAAGGCAAAGAAACCCGATCGATGGTTGTGGTCTTTCGAAACGACTGCCGGTTACTCTTCTCTTATATATGTACTGCTACCTGTGGCCCCGATATCACAACTTGCCCATGTCTGTCAATCTGCTACTTCTCACACACACACACACGAACGCATTTCTGCGTTACGCGTCTTTCGCCTCTCAAGTTGCAAGGCGCCGAGGGCGACTCTTCTGTTTGGTCTGCCCAACTCGCTTTCATTCTGAGGAGAAGTATATTCTCGTCGTCCCTTGTAATATATATTTATATCTTTCCTGCGCAGCACTGAAAATCACATAGCATAACTACGACCACCTACACAAAGAACATGGCGACTCCAGAAAACGGGAACATCTACGACACGCTCGGGACGGTGTTGTACACCACTGTCCCCGTGGTATCCGCCGCAGACGCAGCGCCGGCGCAGGACCTCGCCGATGCGCAAAACATTCCTTTAGACTACGAGACGGCGATCGCCATGCTGGAGGCGGCGCACGCGCACGTCTTCCAGAACAGCGTCCTCGGGAAGAGCACGGCGAGCGCGACCGCTGCAGGTGTGTTGAGTGGCGGGGCCGCACAGGCCGCCGCCGGTGTTCGTGCGTCGTCTGCTGCGGCGGATGGACACCTGCAGCCCGGCGGCTCTTCCTACGGCAAAAGTAGCATGGTTCCCACCCCGCCTCAGCAACGTGGAGGCCCGTCCAACGTATCTGCCCGCTACGGCCCCTACGGCAGCACACAGCGCGGCGGTGCTGGCGGCGGCGCCTCGTTGGGGCAGCCATCGCAGACATCAAAAAGCGGAAGCAGCGGTGTGGGTGGTCCGCCGAAGGGAGACTCCCGCTCGGTCGGGTACGGAGAAGGAGGGGCTGCCGCGTTGGATAGCGTGGCGGCGCACAACACCGCTGTCGCCACGGCGGTGACCGCGCGTCTTTCCGCAAAGGAGGCATCATCCTCGAAGAAAGCACTGAGTGGCGTGAAAGGGACGAGCACCACGACGGCGGCGGCGGCGTCGTTGGATGGCGGCCCCCGCGCCGGGGATCGGGTCTTGACGGCCGCCGGCGCGATGGAAATGCTCTTCCCCATTGCGCCTGTTGCTGCTGCTGCTGCGGCGGCGGACGGTACCGGCGAAGGCGGGGGCAACACCGATTCGGTGGGTCACGAGCGGGGCAGACCGATGTCTACCTCGTCTGCGACCGCCGCACACGGCAAGCAGAGCAAAGGCGACGGCGCGGCGCTCACGCAGGCGGGGGGCGACGCCTCCTCCACCGCTGCCGCCAATAAGACCCTCCCTCGCCTCTGGCGCAGGGCGGACGTCGGCCATGTCTCTCGTCTGGACGTGGTGCTGCTCTATCTGCACCTGCAGCGCCGCTGCGCAACCGAGTCGGCTAGGCCGTGCGGGGTGGTGTGCCCAAATCGCGAGCGGCTCTACAGTGATGTCCTGCAGGAACTGACGCGTCAAATCACCCTGCTCTGTCCGGAGCGGGGACTGCTGCTGGATGAGCTGTCACGCGGCATGCAGCAGTCGATCGAAACGTATGATGTGCTGCTGGATAATGCAAGCCAGTACGCGGTTCGCAAGAGCACGGAGCGTGATCTGCACCAGCACCTCTTCGCTGAAAAGGCGGAGTTGGAGACGGAGGTGCGTCGACGGGAGCATCGCGTGAGTGAGTGGCGTGCGAAGTATGCAGGTCTGCAGAAGCGACTAGAGGAGCAACAGGCCGCCGATGACAAGTTACATGAGCAGGAAATTGCGTACGCGAAGAAGGCGAACACGCAACTGGTGAACGAAATCAAGCGGCTCGCCTCCGAGGCGGAGAAAGCGAAGGAAAACTGAAGTCCCCTGCTGACACTTTGTTGTCGTTGATTGCTTCTTCCCCCCTTCCATCCCCCTTTTTTGCTCAAGACCCCCCTGTTGTGGCAGTACACACTGCGCATCGATGCACCGTCGTTTATCAGCAATCCGTGCTTATCTTGTGCTTATTTCTTCTCTGTCTCTTTGTGTCTCTTTTCTTATGTACTCCTTAGAATGCGGAGAGCACTGAGATGCAGTTCGATCGATGTACATACAACTCGTATCTCCCCCAACACCACTAGACAGCTATGTGCGTGCGTGTGTGTGTGTGCGGAATGAATGAATAATAATAAAAAAGGAAGCAGCAAGTGTATCTCGTCCAAACTGGAGGCCGCCACCCTCCATGAGCGGAACGTGCCAGCGAGCGCGTCTTTCCCTGGAGGTTGCGTGATCTGCCAAGCGCAAAAAGAAGACGTCATGCACACACGGCTACGGAACGAAATCGAGCAGGCTTTTCAAAAAAATGTAAGGCAAGGTGAATGGTCCACAAGAGTGACATGAAGCGCAGATTTTTTTGTTCTTGACTTCGAGTGAGGGCGATGTGCAGCCTTTCCAAGCGCCGCTCGTTCGCCACATCCGTGACTCCTATGTATGCTCTTTATTATTTCCCTTTCTTCCGTGCGATTGCGTCAACATCACCTGCCACGTTTTCTCTCTCGTCCGACAACTCCTTCTTCTTATCGCCACCTCGTTTTCTCTTTGTTTTTTCTTTGGGCCTACACTCGTGCAGGTAGACTGTCGATGAACTGAGGCTCCCGTAGATCCATTTGCTTCGCGACCGTATCATCGCCTCACTACCGCTTACGAGCGCGTCTTTCGTCGCGTTGCCGCAGCGAGACGTTAGGTTTCAGCACACACAGGTTTTTTTTTCTTCTTTCTGTCTTGTGAAGTTCTTGTCGACTGTACAAAGACACACCCACACCCTTGTCGTTCGGAGACTTGACGGCAACGTAAAATTTCTAACGTATTTACGTTGTCTTGTCGTCAAAGGAAGCGTCTCACAATTGTTTCTTCTCTTTTGTAACTGTATTTCGTTTCTCTAGGTATACTTTGATTTATAAATACGTACTTTGAAACTCGACACTCTGTGCTTCTTCTTCTTTCAGATACGCTGCTGTTTCACGACCGTGCCGCCCGGAAAACTCTTTTCCCGATTTTGTTTCGGTATTGATTTGCGCGTAAGCGCGAGTGTTTTTTCTTCTTCTTTTCTCCGTCTCTTGTTTTTTCGTTTCTTCATGTAAATATAGAAGGAAAAATTATCTTTATTGAACTCCTTTCACTGGAAAATAATCTTATTATCTCTCCCCTCTTTATCCATTCACCAGTGCTTTCTTCTTTTCCTTTTTTCTTCTGGGCTCCTTACCTCCCAGCCGCAGCAGACTCACACAAACACCCCCCCCCCCCAAAAGAAAGAAAGGAAAAGGCCGTGGCTGATCGAAAATGGAGTGCGCACAGCCCTCCTCTCGGCCTCATCACACAGCCGTGGCGCAGTATGAGAGCGGTCTCGTGAAGTCCCCTCGCGCGGCGCACGCGCACAACCACAGCAGGGGCGACGTGTCCTCGCATCGCACCCCCCGTAGAACTCCAAAGGTGTCGGGAGGGTCTTCCACGCCTGCCTCGCTTCCAGCGGCGAAAAGCAAAGAGGCGGCGCCCGTTAAGCGCAGCCTGTTCCCGGTCACTTCATCCATCCCTTTCGTCGTCGGAACGCCCATCTCATTTACCACGCACAGCGCGCCACCGACGCGGCCTTTCGTATTCGGTGCCGATCCTACCTCCACCCGTCCACGGCGTGTCAGTTCTGCGCGTCGCCGGGGCTCCGGGGTGGCTGCGAGTGCCACCGCCGCCAGCCGCTTTAACTCCGCCTCCATCCTCTCCACGCACACCTCCAGCGTTGTCTTCACCAATCTAGCAAATGGTCAGCCCACCGCGCATCCGGCACGTCGATCACGTTCTGCCTCGGTCATTATGTTGCATCAGCGGCAGCTGCAAGACTTCCTCTCCGGGCGCGGTTCTGGGGGCCCGCTCTTCTCCTCTGTGTCGATGGCCCAACTGTCCGCTGCGGAACGACGAGGTAGCGTCGCCTCCAGCAACTCTCTTATGCTGCCGCCGCCGATTGCGGCCACGCCGCAGATACGCGCCTTCAGCAACAAAACTCTCTACGTGCGTCCGCGCCCCCCTAGCTGTTCCTCAGACTCCTCGTCCTCAGACGACTGGCAGAGTAGCAGAAGCAGTATTAGTAGTACTGGCAGCGACAGTGAGGCCGATGAAGACGACGCAGCCGGCAGGACACCGTTTCAGGAACGCAAGCCGCACAGTCGGACGGCGAGCTGTTCACGTCGTCGTCGACCCACAGACTCACCTCGACCGTTTCGAAACCTCCAGATAACCGATTTGGACCACCTTCTGTTGGAGACGACAGACAAGGCGAACGCTCTACAGGCAGAGCCGCAGAGCATTACCATGCGTTTGGCCACCGCTGCCGCTGACGACGCCGTCGTGGCCGGCGCAACTCCGCTCGCGCTTTCTGCAATACGAAGCAACGACGCTTCCGTCGACAGCGTTGAGGCGGACAACGTAGAAGACGATGTCGCTGGTGGTGGTGCGGTGCAGCTGGTCGGGCTCCCGCTGACGCCGCAGGCCGCTGTCGGGGCGGCAGGGATGGAGATCGGTCCTGCGGCCGGGGAGTGGAATTTGCCACGGGTGCAGCAGCGCATTCTCGCCGCGCGCGCGCAGGCCGAAGTCTTTCAGCACTTCACGAGCGCCATGGAGATCTTACTCGCCGTCCAGATGAGCCTAGACGTGGATTATCAAGAAGCAACCACGGCGGAAGAAGACGGGAGCGGCGGGTCTGCCATGACGCTAACTGCGTTGCAGCGGGCGTACTACGCCGACCTTGTCGGCCGTGAGCTACAGCACGTCACAGCACTTTGGATGGCCAAGTTGCAGGCAGACGAGTCATGCTCCGCCGCTCCACTAGCGGCAGGGTCGCAGCACCACTCTCTCACTGTGGGCGTGGCGTCGCGGAATTATTCGATCGTCCCATCGCGCCCCAACACACGTGGGACCGCTGTTTCCTTCTCTCGTACGGCGTCCGGTGGCAAACGACGCGCCCGTGCGCAACGTCGCACCGAATCGTCTTCTCAAAGGTCGGCGCGCGGGGTTGGGCGTACGGTGCAACGGCGACACAAACAAGCGTCGTCGATGCGGCGTTCGCCGTTTAAGTCGTTCCGTGCAGAGCTCGTCGCACGCGAAGTACGCCGTTCGACTCGTTTTCCCGCCAAAAGCAAGGCAGCGGCGACGGCAATGCATTCCGCACACGGTGCCACGGACAACGCCGGTGGTGTGATCGCTGCGGGGCGTGATGGGGAGCCGGTGACGAACCGGATCGGCGACGTACACGAACACAGCAGCGCCCCGAGGACGTCTTCGGCATTCAACACGAAAGCGCCAGACGCTAAATCTACCGCATCTCCCGCCTCCACACCAACACCTCGTCACAGCAAAAACAGTAAAGCACGTGCGAAGCGCCGTAGACACCGCAGAGGAGCACTTCTTCGCCGTCGCACCTGTAAGATAGACGCAATCGAGCTGGAGTTTGATGCTCAGATGGAGCCGCCCGTGTTGTGTGACGACTCCGTACTGGGCCAACTTCCCCACTGCCCTTTTGAGCCTAACTACGCAAGCCACTCCCGTCAGTCCACCGTCATGAACACGAGTGCCAACAGCATCGAGCCGGAAAGGCGGGAGGTAACGTTTTCTTCGGAAACAAGCGCCGTTGTGAACGCGGCGCAGGATCAAAGAATATCGCTTCCTTACGGAGAACCACAAGGTGCGCATGCCACGCGAGGGCAGGCACACAGTCAGGGCTCTTATCGTCGTATATCGAATCGCGCAAAGCGCCAGATGGGCTGGACTCCCGGATCGAAGCCGTACACGTCCACGAAAGACATTCTTTCAGTTGTGAAGGATCGCAGTGCATCGTACGTCACGGTGCCGGCGGGGCAGAATCACCAACGCAACAGCAGTAGCAGCTGGCATGAGCAAGAACACTCTTCGCCGTTTCCAATGTCCGCTACGAACAACGTCAGCAGCGGCACTACAGAAGCAGAGTACTCCGGACCTCAACACAGCACCGATGGACGTGAAACATACGGCTCGACAGCAGCGCGTACGGCAGGTCCCGCTGATAGCTCGCAGTTCCCTCAGCAACCCTTGCAGCCCTATTTGCGTGGTAACTCCAGTGAACGGGCAGCAAATGCGACTGCTGCGGCAGCCCTCAACACACAGGAAGCCAGCACGGTAACGAGGACACCAGAGCGGCCGAGTAAAACGACAAGAAGTGTCTTCATGCGCTACAAGGCAAACGCGTACACTTCGATTGAAGAACTCGCACTCCAGCTGAGTGAGAAGCGGCTTCTGCGTTCTCGCGCGTTGGGGGAAGGCGGGGAAGCATCTCTGCCGGCCACCCCACACCACTCACGGGCGCTTTTCGAAAAAGACCTGTCCTACACGAGTGCATCGCAGGGCGACAGTGCGAGCTCCCAAAACGTTGTCTTGTCTCCCGACTCCTCTAGACATCTTTCGAAGTCCTCCACCAACAGCAATGGCGACGAAGAAAAGCTCAACTACGACAGGAAAGCACAACTCTCGGCACCTGGCGCCGCCACGCCTTCGCCAACGGGGTCCGAAACACCGACAAGAGAAGAGAAGGAGGAGCTTGAGCGCGCCCTGCAACAGGACTTGGACCGCATGCATTACAACAGCCAACTGTCCTGCATCAAACAGCAGCAGCAGCAAAGACCATCGACCTCTTTCGACCAAAACTCCTCGTTGAATCCTCTATGTAACTTACCGCCGCTCAACGACCAAGAGGATGCCGTGAAACCGACTCGACATGCCTCCGCCAATCCAGCGGTGTCTCGGCAGCCACGCTCTCCGCCGCAACAGTCCAAGTACGCACCGACCAACGAGCGCCCGCCGTGCGTTCCACGTCCGCAGTCCCTCTTTCTGACCCCAGGTAAGAGCAAAGACTCCGATGAACCGGCGGCCCAACGTGAGCGTCTAAAGTCACCCTTTCGCGATTTCATGACGCAAAACTGGCCAAGAGAAGGAACCGACCAATCGACTGCGCACCGCGCTTCGTCAGCCACGGGCAACGCACGGCGATACAACTCGGTGCAGGTGGATAATCACAGCTGGGCACAACTAAACAATCCGTATTCTTGTGAGGACCGCGTGTCCCGATCACTTCTACCACTCCCGTTCGCCTGCTCTCGGCCTGCAAGCAGTCATGACACAGCGAAGGCATATCATGAGTCGAGCAATCCGCTCAAACCTTCTCAACTGAACTACGTCTATGAGTACAGCACGATTCTCGACTCTGACGGAAGCCCACGTCGCCGACTGACACTGCGTCGACAGGGAGTAATGCACCGCTACCCCCCAGGGTCCGGAGAACGCACCCTCACGCTTCCCACACCCAACGCCACAAGGGAACAACACAATGCGTTACTGTCCTCACAGCCAGGCCGCAAA